CGTTGCAAACCGCTGCTTTATGCTTGATCAATAAGAGTGAACAATTCCGGATTAGGACCAGGTCGTCGGTGGGCAGACATCGTAAGTTATCATTAGGCCTGCATAAACAAACATTGCGCCACGGCTGAACTTGCTATTCAGCGAGAAGCATTCGCACCCATTACATTGAATAATCTGAGGACAGATGTTTTTGTTATTGAGTAGCCCTATTAAAAGTTGAGAATTAGCTGTGTCAATAAAATATCAAAAATGCATATTTTGAACTGTTTAGCATTATTAGCGTGAACAAGGGCCGCGAAAAATTTTAATATATTAAAAGGGGCCGCGAGCTCAGAAGTTTGGGAAGCCCTGTTCTAAAACACTTACTGTTAATATTGCATGTTATATGCCTACATCAATGTCACTGCCCGATTTCATTTCCTAAATGATTATTTTCATGCAACGTTTTATGCGAAACAGTCGATGACCTATTTCCACACCCATGTTCAAGTGTTGCTTTTAAGTAAGGTTTTAAGTGTTTATGTTATTGTCTGGTATTTGAAACAATTCAATTCGATCGTGCAACTGTACAATATACGACCATATGCTTATTTGACCTCGGAAGGAGTCATTTGGGTTTTATTCCTCCAAGTACGTTTTATAGCAATTTCAAAATTAATTTTGCGAACAGGTGAACCTTCAAAATCAACCCCAAATGTGAAAAAACACAAAACATAATTGAACGAATGTAATTATGACAAAATACTGCAATTCAAAAGCAGACAATTTCATTTAACGACAAATTTGCTGCTGTTGCTATCAAATTTTTCTAAATTATACTGTCAAATTAGGGAACGTCTGAGTTTTTCATTCAGTTTTAATTTTAACAAGGCGTTATGGCGCATCGTGCTAAGCGTTAGGATTACGCTTACCATCGTAACTCTGATTACTCTGCGTGGGTTTGTGGCTTCGAATACCATGGGGGATGATTATGTGCAAAGGGATTACCGGACTCCTCGCCGCCACATGGTGGTTCACGTAAACACTGGTTGGTTACGGCTTCCTCCGCCACCAAGTCTATGAATTTGAAACAAATATCATGCTAAATAATCCTATACCCAATGTGAATTGGTAACCAGACGAGAGGCCATATCATTTGGCCGTCTTATCGACTTTTTTATGTGCTCTTGAACTCCTCCGTGATGATGTTTGCCGTTATGACGTCATAGATTTAACAAAACATCCAGCCGTTCAGAATTTGAAATGAGCGTAGGACCTCTGACCAAGTTTGGTTTACGCATCCATGGATCTTTCCCCGACCTTTGACTCCCAAAAAATTCTCCCCATACTTTATCATTGCAAAACTTTCGGGACATATTTTAGGAGAAGTTTTACGAGTTGGCGCCTGTTAAATGAGGTATTGGTTTCAAACCATCATTATGATTCATCGCATACAACAATCTGTTTTTCGAAAGTACCTGTAAAGAATTTTAGCCCAGTCTATCATAGCTATTTCTACACTCATTTTCATTACTGCCATTAAATTAAAACTCCTAAAACGACAGAGTGATCATTGAATTATCAGATTAATATTTGAATTTCCGACTAGCGACTAGAGTTCAAAAACGCGAAAACGAGGTAATGTTTACGACCGCGCCTGAAAATCTGTCTGAGTGAGAAAAGTGTCTGAGCGGATGCGAAAAGGAAGCATTGTTACGTCACATTTTGCATCTTGCTGATTGGCCAATGTCATGGACAAGGAAGTCAATGCTCGGGGAAAAGTTCACAGAAGATAAAACTTACAAAAAATTTACATTGTGCAATTGAGGTATAACATTGGAATACATTTGGCAGACGGTGGGAAGGATTTTGCGTCGATTAAGAACCATACTGTTTTGTAGTACTGGAAATAGGGCACGCAGATTAAGGATCATAGACTCATATAGACATATACAAGGATTGTGGTTTCATGGTGGTTTAAAATCGTGGTGGTCCAACAATCACCAGATTTGTTAGGGTAATAGGCATCATGGTTTGGAGTCAGTTTTGCAAAAGTGCCGTATTATTTCGGTTAGGAACTTTTCGAATCCGAAAATACAGTTTTTTTTCTTATATGTGAGGCATTTTTTGTTATCTCGGTGATGTGTTGAAGAATATCATTCAATTTAACAAGAAAATGATCTCTGAGAATGTATGAGAGAGATGAAATAGGCTATTTTAGTACTGACCAAATCGGGGATTGGCAACGGACATTCTTGTTACTGTACATTAAAACTCACCTAATATTAGCCTCGCGGATGTTTCACTCTATGTAAATAGAATTTGAAAGAGAATGTTGACAATGCTATGTTTGTTTTATTGGTAGGTGGACAGCCTACGTTGTCTCTGTGTAAAGAGTATTATCACTAACTAACTATTTCATTTGGATGCTTGTTATTCGGGTAAACGACACATATTCGCCAGATAGCAATTTAGCCAGAATACTCTGTGGAATTGAAATTCCATTTCAATAACGATCAACTTACCATTCGCAGTGTTATAGAACAGGGGTGTGCAACCAGTGGTGGGATTCAATATTTTTGTCAGCCGGTTCCATCACAAAAGTCATATTTTTCACCCGGTTCTATTACAAAAAATAATTGACAGTAACCAGTAATGCTAACCGGTTCGCTGATCTCATCAAATTCCGTGAGACGGTTCTATAGAACCGGTGCAAACCAGCTGAATCCCACTACTGTGTGCAACCTATATTACAGGAAGGCCAGATACAAATAACTGGATAAAGTCGCGGGCCGCACCTTTATTTAAGATAGCCTTTATAGTAGTTGCAGGCACAAAAAATGTTTCTTTTTGTTATTGATCTTACGGCATTGTTAAGAGTCCTTGCAGGAATGGTTAGTTAAAACGCATACATTTTCAAAGAAAGGAAATAAGTCCCACTAATAAGGTTATTTTGTGCTGCGAAGAGCACGTGATAATGAGAAATACAACAACAGTGATGAAGAAACAGCGAAAAATTTGATAATAATTAGTCTATTATGTAAACAAAAACAAATGAAGGTAACAACAAGCAAGAAAATGTTTTGCACATCTGAACTTTCAAATAGTCTGAGAGACATTCTTAGCTACTGAAAAGTTACTGCCAGTTGTAATCATCGAGTTAGAGATTTTTTTAGAGCTTGTTCGAACGAATTGTATCATGAATCATATTCCATAGTTTCACACCCATGAACTAGAGAGACAGCTTTGTGGTCCAACAATCACCAGATTTGTTAGGGTAATAGGCATCATGGTTTGGAGTCAGTTTTGCAAAAGTGCCGTATTATTTCGGTTAGGAACTTTTCGAATCCGAAAATACAGTTTTTTTTCTTATATGTGAGGCATTTTTTGTTATCTCGGTGATGTGTTGAAGAATATCATTCAATTTAACAAGAAAATGATCTCTGAGAATGTATGAGAGAGATGAAATAGGCTATTTTAGTACTGACCAAATCGGGGATTGGCAACGGACATTCTTGTTACTGTACATTAAAACTCACCTAATATTAGCCTCGCGGATGTTTCACTCTATGTAAATAGAATTTGAAAGAGAATGTTGACAATGCTATGTTTGTTTTATTGGTAGGTGGACAGCCTACGTTGTCTCTGTGTAAAGAGTATTATCACTAACTAACTATTTCATTTGGATGCTTGTTATTCGGGTAAACGACACATATTCGCCAGATAGCAATTTAGCCAGAATACTCTGTGGAATTGAAATTCCATTTCAATAACGATCAACTTACCATTCGCAGTGTTATAGAACAGGGGTGTGCAACCAGTGGTGGGATTCAATATTTTTGTCAGCCGGTTCCATCACAAAAGTCATATTTTTCACCCGGTTCTATTACAAAAAATAATTGACAGTAACCAGTAATGCTAACCGGTTCGCTGATCTCATCAAATTCCGTGAGACGGTTCTATAGAACCGGTGCAAACCAGCTGAATCCCACTACTGTGTGCAACCTATATTACAGGAAGGCCAGATACAAATAACTGGATAAAGTCGCGGGCCGCACCTTTATTTAAGATAGCCTTTATAGTAGTTGCAGGCACAAAAAATGTTTCTTTTTGTTATTGATCTTACGGCATTGTTAAGAGTCCTTGCAGGAATGGTTAGTTAAAACGCATACATTTTCAAAGAAAGGAAATAAGTCCCACTAATAAGGTTATTTTGTGCTGCGAAGAGCACGTGATAATGAGAAATACAACAACAGTGATGAAGAAACAGCGAAAAATTTGATAATAATTAGTCTATTATGTAAACAAAAACAAATGAAGGTAACAACCAGCAAGAAAATGTTTTTGCACATCTGAACTTTCAAATAGTCTGAGAGACATTCTTAGCTACTGAAAAGTTACTGCCAGTTGTAATCATCGAGTTAGAGATTTTTTTAGAGCTTGTTCGAACGAATTGTATCATGAATCATATTCCATAGTTTCACACCCATGAACTAGAGAGACAGCTTTGTGAACGACTGAAAGAAAAGCGGATTTATGAAAGTTTGTAATATTTAAGTGGGAATGGAATTCGATAGCTTATTCATACCAGGCGCTCCTCGGCTGCTAAGGATAACGAAGTTTATTGATACTGTTACTCAGATTAATGTTTACCATTATATACGTCACTGATTGAGGACAAAAATATCGTGTGGTGGCAGAACCGATGCTATAGCGCATTATCAGCTTCGTTGCACTGTGTAAGCGTCCGGTATGCCCGCCAGTGTGCATTGTATAACCTAATAATAAAGGGATAAGTGATTCTTTGAATAATAGTACTGAGCTGTAGTTATAATAAAGACAGATGTATGTATTGTATAGCTTATTGGAGAGATAAATAATTTATAACCGTAAATAATACTACGAGATGATTAATTATGTAAAGACAGCTCACAGTCCCTATGTTTGCTGCCCGTCACATTTGAATTTTTATATATGTATACTATGTGAGATCGATACACATGACTTTCTTTCACTTACAGGATAAAACTTTAGCTTAATTGAACGTCTCGATGAATAAAATGTTCCGCGAATTATAGCGGGCATGGGTTTGGATTTCACCGTGAGTTTACGTCGATTTAGGTTCGCTGTATTGTTGCTGATCGTATATGTTTTAGTGTATATAGGAAACGGCCCCGATGATGTAACTTTTTCAAAACCTTCCCACTGGTACGAAGGACGTACCGCTTTCACACTAAAACATCATAACGACTGGATAATTCATTTACTCGATAAGATACGGGATGAACTGGAAATGATGATATTGAACGCAACAGATATGAAGGTAAGGATGTCAATGGAGCGCAATATTTGGTGTGGTGAAAATATTAACATTTTGGCCACGGTACACTTACGCTTTTTATCTTTTCTCGCGGAACACCAAAAATTGAAAGGGTAATTTGAGAAAGAAAAACGGTGTAAAGCAGCGGTTCCCAAAGGGTGCGCTCAGCGCCATTAATCATTAAACAATAAGAGCACGTGCTTAGGGCACCAAGCAAATAGGGGCACCATAAATTTTTATAGCAAAATGTTCAATGGTGTTTATTTAAATATTACGAGTTCATCAGACGACTCAGACTTCAGAATGTTTGCTTTTCTCTTCGAGTATCATATTAATTTTCTGTATTAAAAATAAACACTGAAGCTTTTTTATTCGACACCAAATGGACCTCTGAGTCGTTTTCCTAAACTGTTGTTGTTGTTGTTCATCCTAATATTTTCCTTGTTGCATTTTTGCTTTCAAAATTTTTTTTTCAACTATTAGCCGTAAAACTAGTCTATTTCTTTTATTTGTTTTAAAAGTTTTTATGGGCTTCATGGGATTCGTTTTCACTCAAAAGTTTCGTGTGGCGACATCTTCAAAATTAAAAGTATTGCATTATGTCGCGGTTCCGCTATCACATTTCAACGATCGATCTAGTGGTCAGCAAAGTCGGGAGTTTTTTGATAAGGTAGGCCAAGGTGGTCCAAACCCTGATGTTTGTTAAAAATCACGTAATATCAATGCTATATATATAAACTTCAAGACGATACCAATATGGGAATGGCGTCCTGTGAGCTGTGATCGGTACAAGGAGAATGAATTGTCTTGTGCAGATAGGACCAAGCTGTTTAGATGGGTCACGCTTCTCATCTCAACTCGCACCTTAAGCTCGCGACAGGTCTCATTTGAAGAGACGTTTAATGCCTTTATTTCAGTAAAAACAATCCTCCGTTTTCAAACGTGAGCCATGTGGCAGTAGTTACAAAACGCAAAGTTGACTTAGCGCACAATCCATTATTTTCAACTAGGTCCCGAAATCCCGGACTTGGTTGATACTTGACGTAAATAAAATGAGTGTCAAAAGAAATGTGGCAGAGGAAAACTGATAGGAAAGGGACTTCCTTGCCCACCACAACGATAAACCACAGTGTCTGGTTTGACAAAACCAAACTCGATATACGGCGGTAATTAATTTTAAAATAACTAAACGCTTCATATATCTTCTTTATAAGAACACCACCCATGCGACCTAATAATAGGCTTAAATTTAAAGTAAGTAAACTCGCGGTATTTCGATCACTTTTGGGTTTTCTCCGACTTTGAAGGTTTCTTGAGGAATTGTTAACACTTACGACTAAAAATTAGAGAGGCCATATATCTGAATTGTATGATTTGAATAAATCCTAAATAAATGATAAAACATTCAATCCAGGTCCAATTAAATAATCAAATTAACAACTTAAATGGAACAATAAAATGCAAATTTTGAGTCGATTCCAATGAAAAATGCGCTCACAAAGCCGAGTTTATTGGCAGTGGTGAAATTTTTCGTTTGTGTGTGTGCAGTTATCTGCGTATTCAGTATCCATTCGTTTTTGTGTATGACCTTATTACCGATCAGTCGATCGCAAGCTATTTTGAAGATTTTAGTCGATCGTGGTCAAAAGCAGGTTGCTAACCCCTGATCTATATACTATAGGAGTGTGAACGTGCGAACCCTGTCAGAATCGAAAGTAAAGTCATGGGGCATTTCTTATATATACGTAATAATAATATAATAGCTAAATATCATTTAAAGGCAACAACATCGTCGTTAAACGCAAAGAGTTTTTTTGATGAACACACATATCAAACCTGGCTTGACGTTGTCTGGGGGGAAAAACTTGTTTATATATTCATTCTGTGCACCAAAAATATTTTTCGATGTTCGAAGACGATTTTATATTTTTATGTGAGTTTATGTAGTCAACATTGTATCAATATTAGATATTGTCATCCTATATGGTACGATATTTAGAAAAAAATATACTTTTTAAGAAGCAGGAAGCTCTTCCGCTATACGTGTATGACAGAACATCTTAAGTCATCATATTGCATTTCTTTATTAATTTTGTTTAGTATTTTAAATAGTGAATATATCAAAATTCGCCATACAAACACAAGAGAAATACGAAATACACCTTTAAAAATAATATTACGGAAATACATAATGAGCAAGCTACTTGTTGGGAAATATACTTATGTCTTGTGGGTAATTAGAGACTAATGGGATTCAAAAATTGAGAAACACGTTTTGTTTTGTATCGAATTCCCAGACAACAGGTTCCTTCATTTCAGAAACCATGCCGAAGTTTTAGTTCTATAATTGTACGTCATATTTACGAATGCATGTCACCACATAAACTACATTAACATGGCACGCTTTACAAAAATTGATACATAACTTTCGAATTAAAAACACCAAATATAACGCCGTTCGTAAGCTCGGTGTACTTTACACGTTTGCTGAAGTCCAGAGCCCAAAACAAAAAACACGTTGCTGAGTATCAGGACATGACGAAAACGGATTGAGTGCGGAAACCCTGAATCCCACCACTGGTGATGGGAAATATTCGAAATGTTTGTTCTTCAGCTGTTGATATAGTTTTCCACGTGTTTCACAACCATATTAACACACATTTGCATCGTTCGATTGCATAATTTCAATTGTTTTCAAATATTCTTTTTTCGGATTACACATTACGAATTTTGTTTATCAGCTGGTCACTGCCACTCTTCGAAATTAGCTGGATAGTCGCATATCGATTCCATGTATTTTTTGGCAGTGCCTTGCTTTTTAAATATTCTCAGTGTCAAATGTTATGGGATTTTTTTAACATTTAAGGTAATATAAAGTTAGTTTTGGTTTGAAAAAAAAAATGCCAGGAGAGTTGTTTTGATTTAGTGACCGTATGGTCCTTCCAACCTCCTATCAATTCCGTTGTTAGTCGATTATCCTCTTTTTACTTATTGAATGAATGTTGTTATTTGTGTTTTTGTTTGATTTGTTGGCTAATAACAGGATGATGAATAAACTTTTATCTATTTATCTATCTGATTATTTCATTACATGTATATTTCAGATAATACTGGTGTGGATTCCAATGTTTGATATGAATTTACCACACGAAATCAACGCAAAAAAATGTGGTAATTGTAAAATAACATACGACAGAGGAAAGGTGAGCTTATCCAATCTAGAAATTGATAATCTTTTTTGAGCAGGGCTGGGTTCAAGACTCTAACATTTGTGTCGTGACGCCACGAACCATTCGAGACTCCAGTGAAGTCGAGTCGCAGTAAATCTCAAACCTCGAGACGAGTCACTGCACTTCCGAGTCCAAGTTAAGTCGAGTCGTTGTCAAGTCAATTTCGATTCGTCGTATATTGCATAATTAGAGTAGAATATGGGCGATTATGAGTCATATAGACACCCTAGAACTTCAGTCTTAATTCTAAAGATATTCTTAGTAAAACAGACTACGATTTTGTTATATAGTTGTGGCTCGACTGTTAGCACAATGTAGTAAATGTAGTTAAACACCACTATAAAGATCTTTACGGCTTAAATAACAAGTCCCGTTGACGAAAACAACCGGAGATTTGAACAAAATGCAATCGCAAACGTCATTAGCGACTTTATTTTTCAGCGGTCAAGAGCTGAGGAAACGCCCACATGCATAATAACTATTAAAAAATGAACTTTATTTCTTTATGCTAAAAGAGTAAATAAATTCATTTGCACTTCTCCATTTTCTAAACTGTATTTTTGAACCTGGTGGTCGTCCAAAGGTATTGGTAGTGAATTTTGGAGACGTTAGGCAAGCCAAGAGGTCTGTAATTGTTGTGTATTTTTAACACACAGTAAATAATTTTTGCATTGCTCAATAGGGATGAAGTGAACAATTGATTGAAATTTGATTGTCTCTTGTAAACGTTTAAGCAGAAAATACATGAAAGCGCAAAAAGCATACGTTTATTACGTGTTTAGTTTTACCTATAACTTGGTTTGACTTCACCAAGTATTGCAAACTGAGTGGAAAAATAGAGAATGTATAAAGACCAATATTTAATTAAGTATGGCTTTATACAAAGGACAGTGAATGGGAAAGTTGTTCTCCGATGCGTTTTATGCCCAAACAATCTGAGCAATGACGCTATGAGGCCAACACTTTTACATCTTAATATAAAGCAACCTGCCCATCACAAAAGCATTTTTTCAAAGCAAAAAAAGGGGGGGGGGGGGCGAAGTGTATACAATTTTCCAAATGGGGACGCGGCTCAAAAAGTGCTTTATGCGGTTTGCCAATTCGGATGTCATGGGGATAATCAACTTTAGGAGAGAAGCTGGTTGGACTTTTTGTCGGTATACCGTTCGTTACCTATTCGCTGATCCACCACCCTCAAACCTATTCACCCGAAATAAATAACTGACTATCACCATACACTACAGCAGGAGTCACCAAACTACGGCCCGCGAGCCAGATCCGGCCCTTGGCCTCCTGCCACCTGGCCCGCAATAACACAAAAAATATCGATTTTTTTTTTCGATGGATGTTTCCCCGAGCATCGACTTCCTTGTTTATTTCATAACATTGGCCAATCAGCAAAAAGTGAAGCAACAATAGGCTTTTTCGCATCCGCCCAGACACTTTTGCCACTCAGACAGATTTTTAGTCATGGTTGTAAACAATACATCGTTTTCGTGATTTTGAATGCTATTCGTTAGTTTTTGGTTATGTTTCGGAAATTTAAGTATGAATCAAGTTCATCATCATTTTGCCTTCTTAGGAGTTATTGGACACGTTTAGTGGACATAACGATCGTTTTGTTGTTATTTTGTTCTTGTTCTTGTTGTTCTTTGACACTTTTCGGACACCTAGTGGAAATATTAAAAAACCGCTTTTCTCTTTGATCACTGGACCAAATGCTTTGAAATTTTTAGAGGTGAAAGATGAAATTTTTCTCCAGAAGGCTATTACTTTTATTTATTTCAAATATTTTTGTTAGCTATGTGAGATTTGTTTTTGTTTGCTATGACGTCACCGAACGTTCTGCGGACATCGGACGCCATTTTGTGTCCTACTGTACTGCTTCGCTTGGTGTGAATATATTTGTAGACTGTGATCTGACAGTACGGTAAACCATACTGTACTGCGAACAGACGTGTCCATATATTTGGGCGTAGCTCTCTTGTAGTTTAATTGCAATAATTTCCAAAAATTAGTCTATGAATACCCGTGATAAAATAGGCTAAAATTTTCTACTCGTACGCAACGTTTTATGCGAAGGATGCACTCGTACACTCGAGGCAGGTGCTTTCGGCGAAACTGTTGCTTTGTACGTTTCTTGTGCCAAAATAAACGTCGAACGTGCATTTTGCGCTAATATATAGTACTGTAATTTCTCACGTACTACTCCTATTTCACAAGTCACCTTTTTTTGTACTGCTCACATGCGGATATATTCATTACAGCAATGTTTTGCTAACAGTTAACCTCAGGATAGTTGTCTAGAAATCTTGTATATTTGTTTTTCTATGATGTTCTCAATCTATATTCTGCGGTATAGAATTTAATATTCAAGTCTCAGGAACGTAGAATTTATATTGTTAAATAAATTGAATGGACTTCCCAACTTCTGTGAATTTATTGCATTGTATTGACAAAAATATTTGTCCGGCCTGGCCCGCGGTCAAAAAAGTTTGGTGATCCATGCACTACAGGAGGAGGGTCGATATATATAGGTCGTAAAGTTGGCTTTTCTTTCGACTCGGATAAATATGAAAGTCTCATTCTTATGACCTAGCAACATTTACATTGTCATCAACACTGCATAATTCCCGTTTTTCATCAACGTGCTGATAGCAAGTTTTCGATTTTTCAATACAACAATCGAAATGATAATCGTATTTTTTTAATTTCTGATATTCGCTCAAAATTATTTTTGAGTCTCAAGTCCATAACCTATGCTGGTTGGTCGAGTATGACTTTGAGTCACTCCACTCGAGTGAAATCAAAGACTCGAGTTTCCTTGATATCGTTTGCATGAAACGCAGTAACCTTTTTAACTTCGCTTCTATTTTGTCAGTGAATATACCTAACATCAGGGTTTTATCCAATATTCAATAGGAAATACAGGCTAAAATGCACATGCACAATACCTGTTACGCACCATCTACTCATTTCAGCTTTTTTTATTGATGGCTGTATCAGGGGCGGGCAAGGTTTTTTGGACCAGGGGCCAAAATTTTGCCCACCTCATTTTATGAACAATATTTATAATGTTACAAAAGCAAAAATGAAAAACAATAAGTCTTGTGCCAAAACCAAATTTAACGTCTATCTCAACAAATTCCTTGAGCTATTTTTAGCTAAAACATCACAATTTGGTTTTAGTTTGGCTGTGGTAGCATCAGGCCGGTCAGATTGAATTACCCAACGGACCGGATTTGGCCCTCGGTCCGTAGTTTGCCCATGTCACCTGTAGATGAATATGAACATTATTTCTAACCAATATCATTCATTCTTATTTGTTACATTCTCATCTTAATAACCATTATTCACTTTGTATATATCAATTGATTCGAAACAATTAGGATTGTTTTCATTCCTAAATGAAAAATGTAGCATTTTTAGTCTCCTAATTTTTATTTTCCCTCATATGCAGATAGACGATGAAAGAACTGGAGCGGTTGTTTTCCACTTCGATGGAATCAGAGACGATGATTTGCCACCGACAAGGTAAGTAATGCAAAACAATAATTACCCTACTGTGTGGAATAGTAAAAAAATCAAGTTATCGGGTTCTATTTTGGCCATATTCATGACTGATGGATATAATCAAGTTGCAAAATGACGTATCAAGTCCATAGGCACATTTTTCACAGTGCGCAATTATGACGTCACGTGATTACGCAATATAAATAAATTTATAGGCGGTCACAACTAAAAAATTGAACCATGGGAGATTATTTAGCCTTGAGGAAATAACAATATCTTTTCCAAACTCGAGTTTTCCAAGTTTTTTATACTCGAAAGTTGAAACTGATACAAATGACTTGATACGCACCTTTTATTAGCGTGACGATATGTTATATATACATTCTCTCCTAACACACAGTGTTATTTTTACCAACTTCATTTCAGAAACCTTAGTCAACTTTACATATACTGGGTCCTGGAATCGACTGCAACCCTTCGCATCAACAGAAAAAATTCTTTAGAGTTCGAGGACAATTTTCATTTTAATGCAACTATGACATACAGGTTAGAGTTATTTAGAATGGAAAATTCAATTTTTCTAAGCTTGAAAACTTCGAACACCCTATTTTTACTTTTTTCACAGAAGGGACTCCGATTTCTATCAAAGTTATGAACACCACAAATATGGTGTGACAAGAATTATGGAAGAAAATACGCTCACACTAGAGGAACTGCTTGCAATGAAAACTAAACTTTCAGTCGCAATCGTTTCAGACTGTGGCTCTACTGCTGGAGCGCGTACTCGAATGAGATTGTTGAAGACTATAATACGATTAGGATTTAAACTGGATAGATTCGGTGCATGCTTTTGGGGAGGTGGCAAGTTTGCAAATGGTAAAAGCCGACACGAACCTAAATTCTATGCGGAAGTCAGAAAATATAAATTTTACTTTTCTTTTGAAAATTCCTATCACTGTAAAGACTACATTACTGAGAAGTTTTTCAACAACGCTCTCAGATCCTTTACTGTTCCTGTTGTCTGGGGTGCGACGAGGGAGGATTATGAAGCAGTCGCACCACCTGGATCATTTATATTTGTTGAAGACTTTGATTCTATGAAGGCTTTAGCGGATTATCTTAATTATTTGGACAAAAACGATACGGCATATCTAGAATACCTCAAGTAAGTAAACCATACTTGCCACTGTTAACACATTCGATTCGTGCATTTTTACCGGCAAACTAAAACTCCAAAAAACTCGACTTTTTTCATTTTAATCCTTGCATTTCATTAATTGCATTTTAGTTTGTCTCGCCCTCATTTACATTGGTTCGCCTAGATTTTTTCATCCATATTGTTAAAATCTAGTGTTAATTTTTTGTGGGAAATAATTGACAGGTATTTTCTGCAACTATATATAACAAGTGTACGTATGCAGGTGGGTGACAATAAAGCCAAGAGACATGCCTAACTACGGAAGAGCAAGGGATTGGTGTTCAATATGCAGAGCGTTACATGGAATCAACATTGACGACATTTACAGTCCAAAATACAACAAGACTAATCCAATTAGACCATTATTTACAGACGGCGTCGCAACGAGGACTGTCGAGCATTTGAAAGACTGGTATTATGGAGAAGATAATCCCGAGTGTTTTTCAAAGTATTGACTATCAAAGAATCAGCGGACTTTGGCCTTATAATTTCAGGATAAGCGTACATTCTCTGATTAGACACTGCCCTTTTGTATTCTATGCAACAGGCATACCTATCGATACTTGTTTATTTTTGCCTCTATTGAATGCCTTCACCTCGGACAAAATATTGAGCAAAAACCTTACCTATCTTTTTTTTGACATACACAAGTATTTGCAATACCTAATTAAACGCGACTGCAGCTTTGTTAAGATTAATTAGGTGTATATAATAATTAACTTTGGTTCCCCACGGTAGCCATTACGATTACAGTCTAATTTTCCAAATTTTTTGTTCTACCTATTTTTCAGTTTTTTAATAAAAATAAGATCCTTTTTATGTCAGATCGCGATTCCACTGCCTTCTGTAATTAGATGTACTAGAAGTTATGTTTCTCATGCTGAGAGAACGATTATTCTTTCCTGATTTATCACCGCGTAGTACATGCACCCACCTCACTGAATTTGATAATATTATTTTATATAGCTTGTATGTGTGCTAATGTTCTAATTGCAATTTGTGTTTTTGTTCCGATAGCATCCTACACATTTCTGTGATAATCTACACTTTCAATGATTTGCCGTATGTCTGGGTTTGACATTGATGAATGTGAACATAGTGGATAGACAGATGCTCCTTGTTTACATAAAGATGCTTCTGTTTGGTACAGGTGCAAAAGCTTTGCATTCTTTCGTTTTGAGCTTTAGGCCAATGACTAACATGATTCTTGGCTTGGCTATCGGCAACTGAGTGATATTTCACGATATAGGCAAATATGTGACTGACTGACCAAATGTTAGTTTATTTTGTTGGAGTGTATCACTGATTAAACGTTCTCCTTCGGAACTTCCATAGAAATCAGAATCTCTCCTGTAACAAGATTTCAATTTCTAAATTGAAATCTTTAAAATGTTTGTCATAAAACGTTCTTTTAGGTGCTTGAAATAGTATTATCAAACAGAAAAATCTTCATCTCAAAATATACGATCATGGATTCAACTTCTACTTAGACTGGCTACCAGCTTACATTAGTAATACGGAAATATTTTGAACGTTGATGACTGATTACACGCTAGCCATTGTACAACACTTTAGATATATATTCGTATACATCGACAATTGTTATATTAAAAGACGAAACAACGTGTTAAATAAGTGTTTGCTCCCAGGTTTACCTGTATGTGAAAGTTCCATTAAATCAAAAAGATTCTTCCAAACTGCAAGAAAATGTTCTTTTACATTCCGTAATGTAGGTGTTTACTCAAGGTCCCAGTAAATATATAAATGTTCAAAATTCCTAAACAACAAAAACAGTCTTTCACTTAATAAAAAGATGGAAGATCATAAAAGTCCAATCTTCTTATGCACTCCCTGTTGGGATATCCACCATCCATCAATGAGCCAAACTGTGACCCAGTCATAGAAAACTCATGTTCGTGACTGTGTGAGTGATTTTTGCACCTACCGGTATATGTTTTATAATGCAGCAGTACCATTATAACTCAAATTCAAAAAATGATCTACGAGACCAATCTTCCTGTGCCGCACACATATCTTCAATATATATATACAGACAGAATGAAGAATGTACTTATAAATAAAAATGCTATAAAGCCAACCTTTTAGGTGACATGTTTTTAGATGATATTGCATCAAAGTGAAATAGTAATGCTTCTGTATTTTCGTCTACAATATGTAGATTGATATGATTGCAAATACAATAATAAACTATGACCAAATACGGTTGATGCTGCTATAGACTTCTTGAAAAAAACTCAGGCGGTTAGTTGATGTAAATCCACGACGGACAAGGTAATGCCGAAGGTAACTCGGACTAGGACTGAAGGAAAGGCCGAAAGTGTAGGGGAACATCAAAACTGCATTTTGCGGCAAAATAACAAAGCAAAAATAGCATAAATCTTTTCAGCTTTTTTTGAGTTTCACATTGTAATAAATTTCCAATTTGTCACCCATAAATTATTGAATATGCACCCAATCAAGTTTTGACTGTAATCTCTAATCTTCGCAGAAACACCGGTAATTTTCCACCTGCATAAAACAATGATATCATATTCACAAGAAAATAAAATCATCGATATTTCTCAATTTCATCAATTTAACAATATATTTGATCCTAATTACTGTGCCGATGGTATAAAACGGAAAAAACACCGTGTGTCACATCAAATTCTTCCTAACAAAATTAAAATGAACTAGTCCCTGATTGGTAAAAAAAAAGACTTTCTTACCGAAAGAGTGAGAAATAAGGATAGAGAATTCATCCAGTAAAAACGGAGAAATTCGAAACGCCTCAAATACAATGACTTACAACCAAAATAGATAGGAGAGAGAGGGAGGGAGAACTAACGCACAAGAATTCTATCTGAAGCAGTGTTTCACAATTCGAGTCCGCGGGGCGTTTGAACGAGTCCTCAAGGAGCAATACCGTTTCAGAAAGCTATAGTAGTATATTTCATGTAGGTCACTAACCCTTTTAGTGTCGCAAAATTCATTGCGGGGCGAAAACGTTTTTACCAGACGCAATGAAGTACCAGCCATTCACGTTAGTATTTACATAATACATAAAAGGCAAGTTTATTCACATAATTAACAGTCAATAATTACCGATTACTGAGTAGGGCTAGTTGAAATATTCGAACAGCAAACTATTAGAATACCTGATGACATGTCAATCGCGCCTCGCTGAATAAAACGAATGAATTGCACAAAGAACTAGCGGATTTCTGACAAAATCACGGGTCTAGGCGCACCTTTCCCTTACGTTCAAATTGCAAGTGCAGTTTTAAGTATTTTGTGGCGTCTGAAGCTGTCGCAAAAACTTGGCGGGATTTCCAAACCACGGCCGCCATGGTCAAACCACGGCGGCTGATTTTTTAGCTGCCATTAACCAATGGCGTGAGAAGGGCACCACGGCAGCAAATTGAAAACCAATGGCGGGAAAAATGTTGCTGCCATGAACCAAGCATGTTGGCTGTAATGACAGGGCTGCCCCTGAGGGTGACAAACATTGGGTAAGTTGGAACATTTTTCTTGTGGATATAGTTTTGATAGATTCGGGGTGAGGTTTCAGGTTTAAGTAGATATAATTCTGCAGGATAAACTAAAATCTGGTACATGACTTTGTGAATATACCGATAACAGCGCCATAAAACCATGGCAAGAGACGCCGCGGTTCGTTCGTGGCAGGTGCTGCCATGAAGTGGTAAAAACTGCGCCTCTAAAATTGGGTGTTATATTTTTTTTTATCTATTTGTTTCGTGTAACTCCATTGCTCCGATTTTTAAATGATCTTATTGTGCACCAATGTCGCATGGGTTTCACATCTTTTTAGTTGGTCATTTGGTAAAATTTGAATCACCAATACAAATAACAAAAAAGTAACATTTAAAAAATTTCCGAGCGGACATATCAGTTCGAATATAAAATACCATCAGGTCAATTCTATCAAATTTCAACAGATACGCAGTAACAACATTCCAGAGGTTTTGTTTTGAAGCAAAAATAACATAAACTCGATAGAAAAATACAAACAGAACAAGATAGCGAATCCAGGATCAGTCATATGGATATTGTTAATTTGACGAACGCGATAAGGGCAATCAAAGCCGACACGTAACATAATAATCAGAATGAATATATTTGGAAATTTAGGCCGCAAATTCCTTTCCATAATTATCATCAGCGAATCGTCGCCAGTTATCGCATAATATATTTTGAGTTTGTCAGAGCGAGCGGTGCTCAATGATGGACTTTGAGGGCCAAAGAGCAATACAGCCCAATATTACCATTCACACAAATGAACTATAGCTCATTTCAGCATGTATACATGCTTTTTCAAACATATGATAATGACAATGTTATTCATTCTTCCAAGCACATCGGTCACGTCACCTCCACCAATCCAACAGCAATCACAAGTTACTTCGCCATCATTGGAAGCATCAAGAGTGGATACTGAGAATGTATTATCAAGCCAAACGAGCCTATACAGTATTTGCATCTCTGTGGATCCGTTACATAAGTGCTTTATACATAGCCATCGCATCCTTTCCGTGGTCACGTACATATCTGTAAAACACAGATTTATTTAATAATATGACCCTGGACCAGTTTAGTAATTATTCCTGTCCACTCTTATAATGATCGCATCGGCGATCATTGGATATTTTACATAACAGAAAAACCATTATTCGTTAAATAGTTCGACTCTTTTCCCGAGTGGCGTAATTGAAGCTAATGTTTCAGAATCCGTTACGCATGGAAGTTTTCGAATTCTGAATTTGACCTTCTAGCCCTCCATCCCCCATCCCTTTGCAAATCTTGGCTGTGCGACTGAACGCATGTATTGTAACGTAAGTCTCATCGAACCTACATTTATGACTATTTCTGTCGGAACAATATGCAAAATTATAGTTATTTCATATAATGAGTGTTTTGCAAGCCTCCGGGTAAGGAAATTACAAAGCACTCCATCATCTGAGAATTAACCAATTTTTCTCAATGTAAACATCAATCAAGATATCTCATTGGCTTAATCATTGAACAGAAGTTTCACAATCCTATTACTATCAAATATCTCACTTATCGTGCACCAAAACGTTACATTATCACAAAGTATGGTTGCCCTTTCACCCATTAATTCCTTTGCGTTCGACGACAAGAAAAGCGTCGGAACTCGGAAGAGAAAATCAGTCGAGCCAAAAATGTTACATGACAATCTAATGCATTGTCTCTGGTCGAGCGTTTACTATCTGTGGTATAACAATGGTAAGACAATGGTCATTTTGATATATTGTTAAAGTATCGATCGCGTAAGCGCCCGTTTGCCCACCAGTGTGCATGGAGCGACCGAGGGAGGGATAAGTGATACACTGTATATTCTTAGAATAATAGTACTAAGCGACAGCAAGGACAGAGATATATGTATTGTATAGCCAAGGGTTTCCCAAACTGGGGTCCGCGGACTCCTGGGGTCCGTGACGAATGCACAGGCGGTTCGCGACGATATTAAAAAAGTCTAATGGATCTTTAATGATTGATTTGAAGCCATTGATTCTTTTCTTTGGAACGTTGTAGACAGAAGTTGCTGATAAAATTATTGTCAGAAAGGGCAATTAGAAAAATCTACGTGTGTGAAGCAGCATTTTTATCTCTTACCAATTTAATGTAAAAATATGGGTCGAGAATTGCCGTAGAGTCGGACCTACGAGTTTGCTCGTCTCAAATTGCCATGACAATTGATAAATTGTGCGGTCAAAGGCAATCTCATTCAACACAATAATATCGTTCGTGAAACATTACTCTTCCTCGTTTGTTAGGCATAGAATGGGGGGCCGTCAAAAATAAGATTCAAAATCCGCGGCCGAAAAAGTTGGGGAAACACTGGATAGCCTAATGAAGAGATAAATTTATAACCATAAATAATAATACTAGACTAGACTATATTTATATAAACACAGCTCGCAGTCTCTACTCCCTGCATAAGCTGCCTGTCACATTTAAAACTTTTATGGGAGGCCGATACATATATATATATATATATACATATGACCTTCTTTTACCTAAAGGATAAAACTTTAGCTTAATGAAAGGTCTCGGTGAATGAAATTTACCGCGAATTATGGCGGGTATGGATTTGGAATTGAACTTGACTTCACGTCGATTTATGTTGGTTTTATTGTTGCTGATCATATATGTTTTAGTGTATATAAGGAACGGTCCCACTGATGTAACTTTTTCAAAACCTTCCCACTGGTACGAAGGACGTACCACTTTCACACCAAAACATCATAACGACTGGATAATTCCCTTATTCGATAGTTTACGGGATGAACTTGAAATGAGAATATTGAACGCTACAGATATGAAGGTAAGGATGTCATTGTACCGTAATATTCCTTGTGGTAAAAATGCTTTCGCAAAAGTATGCTTATAACATTCCATTATCCAATCTTAAGTTATGATGATCTATACTAGGATGCTAAACGTGCGAACCCAGTCAGAATCGAAAATAAAGTCATGGGGTATTTTTCATATACACCCTCGAGAGCATAATATAATACCTAATTATCATTTGGGGGCAACAACATCGCCATTAAACGAAAACAGCACTTTTACTGAACACATATAAAATCGATTAGGCTTGACGTTTATTCAGGGCGCAGAATATTCATTTTGTGCACCGAAAATTCTACTCCCATTTCAGCCTACGACAGTGAGTTGTAGTCCACGTTGTATCAATATTTAGATTTTGTCATTCAACATAGTATGATATTTGGCAAATATATATACATTACAAGTAGAAGAAGGCGCTACCGCTATGTGCAACAGTACATCTTAAGTCATCATATTGCATTTCTTTATCGATTTTGTTTAGTATTTCAGTACTGAATATGTTACAATTCGCAATACAAACCCAATAGAAAATACAAAGCAAACAGTATAACAATAATATCACTAATATACTGAAGTAATACTTAAGTATTTTTAATAGGACATTCCAAAATGATGTTCACACATTATCCTATTCTGATTTCTATTTGTTATTTTTGTTCCGTGATCACAATCGGTTATCTTGTTGTCGAAAATATTAATACTTTAATGAGCGAGCTACCTGTTGGCTGATAATTAATAGGGAACTGATGGGATTCGAAATTTTAAGAACCGAACTCGCTTACACCAGGTTTCTTCATTTCAGAAAACATACCGAAGTTTTAGTTTTATAATTGTACGTCATATTTACTAATGTATGTCACCACATTAACACGGCACGCGTTACAAAAATTGATATATAAATTCCTAATTCGAAACACCAAATATAACGCCGTTCGTACTAGAGATGGGCCAGGATTCGAGTCGAATCCACGCATTTCTTGGACTCCGATTCGATCTCGAGTCCACGTCATTTTTACCGAGTCTATAATCAATGCTGTTTTTACTAATTTACGCCTATATTTGTAATTTTGCCTCTATAAATCTTACTACATACCTCAACTAGTTAAAATTCAAGGGTAGATCTGAAACAACATCCCTCGTGTGTATTATAAACACTCCTAATAGAAACGACGGCAGATATTCAGATAATATAACGCAAGGTAAAAACTATTGGTCGCTTATAACAATGATCTGCTCCAGTCGCCTTCAAGCTATTTATCCTGTTTGGTATACATGTGTGGTACACGATAAAATATGTGTTAGCGCAATATTTTTAAGTTTTCGATTCGCGTAAAAATGGAACATGCTCTGGATCAACTCAATGGGGGATCTCATCAATACGTCTTTTAAATCGAGTTTATTACGTGCAATCTTTTCCTCCAAAAGGGAGCAATGGAAAGCATGGAGAATTTCAGAACGTTTAAATGAACTACTAAATTACAAGCAGATGTACCACATTTTGTTGACGACGAGTGGCATTTCTCTACCATTTGCGCACGTGACATGGTAAATTTATGGCTAGAAGTATCTGCAATTATAGAAAAAGCATTGTAGTCTAAAGCTTTTTATTTTTCATATTGACATGTAAGAATTTTGGTTGGAAATGCAGTTCACAACTAATGCGCAAATTGATTACGTTTGTATTATGGCCACCAAAAAAGAGGGAAAATATATTTTTAATATGATTCAACAGCTATCTGCGGAACCATTAGGCCAGTGGTTCCCAATCGCCGGTGCCGGTCCGCGAAGCTTTTCTGTCGGTCCGAGAGAAAATTTAGTTGTTTTTATGTCGCCTCAATCGCTTTACCCAAGGCGCGGTTGCGTTGGTTTATTACGCAAGTTCTCTTCCGCCGTCATATTGCGACGTCTTTCGCGACATTGTGGCGACTGGCGATGTCTTTGGCGACATTGTGACAACGTCTCCCGCGACATCTTGGCGCCAAGTAATCACACTTTTCGCTTTTTCGGCGAATGCGCTCAATCGAATCTCGCAAGATTCAGAAACCTAAAAATCGGCACGCATGCTTTTTCTGTTCTGCGTGCTTTTCCTGATTAATATAACCATCCACATAAAACGTTATGCATATATCTTTGTTTGAACCAGAAAACTGTCAAGAACAGTATAATATTCCAGTAAGACATGAACTTGTTGCAGCCCTGCAGGTGGTCACGAGACGCGCAAAAAGCATGGACCGCAGAGATTTTTCCAAGTTTTTTGAGCAGGCACAGTAGAATTTTGATCCTGGTGCCAAGTTAACGACGACTTGTCATTGTAATTTTATTTCGTTTGAGACGATTCGATCAACTACAGGAGGATAAATATGATGAACCCGATAAAAAAGAAAAAGCTTGATTAATATTTGTAATTCTACTTTACAGTCCAGATTTAAAAAAAAGAATCACTGTCACAATTTAGGATATCTTTTGATAACGAATACCCATCGCCAAGTAATCGAGCAATCAAACTGTTTGATTGCTTACTGCGTTATGCGAAAAAGTATTTTCATCACTAGCTTTAATTGAAACGAAGCAAAGAAATCGGCTGCACGCCGGTGAAGAGCTACGTATTGCAGAAACTTCTTTGAGGCCTCGTTTGCAATCCTATATTGGAAACGAAACAGCATCATCATTATCACTAGAGTTAATAATGTTTGTACATGATTTCGCTTGTACATGTTGTTTATGTCAGATGTTTCATGTGTGTCTTTCTTACGCATAATGGGTGCCCAACACTGCATTTCGTTACGAAAATATAATTATGGGGTTGTTTTCTGTTTCACCCATTTCAATTTTTGGCCACATTATTTGATAGTTTTTTTTCGTGTGATATGTTTTAAGTGTGCCTTTTTGTCTAGAAGCATATTGAGTGCCCGACACTCCATTATATTACGCAAATTTATGTTATGCTTTTCTGTTCCGGTCATTTCAATTTTGGCCGGTCCGCGAGTACATTTAATTTATTTCTACCGGTCCGCCAAGGTAGAAAGGTTGGGAATCACTGCATTATGCAAAAAATATGAGCTACGACGTATGTTTGTGAGCACACGATGCTTTAGCATGGTCAAAAACGTGTTTTTCTGGTTTTACATTGTGACGTCACGGACTCGGAAGATTCGAGTCTTCGACCTATTACGCGGATTCGTCGAATCTCTGTAATGCCGGACTCGTCCCAACCCTAGTTCGTACACATTTGATGAAGTGTCCAAAACAAAAAACGAGATACCGATCGGGGATCGCCGACTTATCGATCGTCCGCATGTTGGTATCCCCCAAAACAGAAACTGCGGTTTCGATTCTTCCGCTCTGACTCAATAGCGACACCACGTGTCACATCACTGTTTCATTATTTTTAATTATTTTAATTTTTTAATTAGACGACATAATACATTCAAAATCGATATGCTTCTGGTCCGAGATATGATGAATGCACGCGTAAAATTTGGAGCAGATTCAACCTCGCTTTCGTAAGATATCGTGTAACTTACGAAAGTGTCTAACAGACAAATACCTATCAACATACTTACCGATTGAGATCGATGAGTAACGAGAGTATCAGGACATCGAATTGACACGAAGCCCCTGAATCCCACCACTGGTAATGGGAAATATTCGAAATGTTGATTTTTCAGCCGTTGATATATAGTTTTCTACATGTTTCACTGTCATATTAACGCATACTTGCAACAAATAACAATTTCTTGATTATTCCATTGCTTGTATATTTCAGATAATACTGGTGTGGATTCCAATGTTTGGTATGAAGCCGGTACACGAGATCGACGCAAAAAAATGTGGTAGTTGTGAAGTAACATACGACAGAGAAAAGGTGAGCGCTATCTGATCGAAAAAATGACAATCTTCTGCCTGCAGTGCTGGGTTTAAGACCTTGGAAGTCGTGTCGTTAATCAAGTCAAGTCACGGACCTTCCGAGTATTGAATAAAGTCGAGTCCCAGTAAATCTCAAACTTCGAGACGAGTCACTGCACTTTCGAGTCTTTAGTTAGGACCAGTCGTCGCTGATCGCTTCTTTCTATTTCGGATATTCGCTCAAAATTACCTTTGAGTCTCAAGTCCATAACCTCTGCTAGTTGGTCGAGTCAAAGTTCGAATCATTCCACTCGAGTAAAATGACTGACTAAAGTCACACTAATACCGTTTGCCTGAAACGCAGTAACTTTTTAACTTCGCGTCTGTATATTTTGTCAGCTATCATTATGGTTTTATTCAATATTTGGAAAGTAAGGCTGAAACTCACATGAAAAATTACTGTTACGCACCATCTACTCATTTCATCTTTTTTGTGATTGCTGTAGAGTAGATGAAGATGAACAGCATTTGCAACCAATGTTATTATTGTTTGTTTCATCCTCATCTCATTACGTAACCATTGTTTCACTTTTATATATCAATTAATCAAATACTGTAAGAACGGATAAGAAATGACTGCATGGTATAGAAACAATTACGATTGTTAATCTTAAATGAAAAGTATTAGTCTCTTGATTTGTATTTTTCCATATATGCAGATAGACGATGAAAGAACTGGAGCGGTTGTTTTTCACTTCGATGGAATCGGTCCCAAAAATATGACACCGACAAGGTGAGTAATGTAACACAATAATTTATGTGTCATGTTATTGGGTTCAATTATTGATATATTTTGTCAATGATGGTATGTGTGAATGATTTTACAAACTATTTGTATAATTTTGACGTTGAGTTGGAAACAAGTTATGTCTTTAAAATGAAATTGCTTTGAAATATTAACTTATTAAAGTGATAACGCATATGTTCTTGAGTTAGACTAATAATTACACTGTGTAACACAGTTTTTGCTCCTGGCTTTTGATTGTTATTTACTATTTGATTGCCCCCCAAAAACTGAAGAAAAATGTTATCAATTTGGTTTTGTGAAAAAGGGGGTGGGATTTCCCCAAAATCATTTTTTGTAATATAAAACACCGTAAAACTTTCATTATAACATTGTCTTGAATTGAAAAGAAATATTATCTAAATTTCCAACTATAGTTTTAGTCGATTTCACGAACAGGCCCTCATATGTAGTCACTGTCGTTCACATTGTACTATCATTGGTAACGGACGTTTACAATCCAACCGTGCCGCGTTACTGTGTAAAAAAGGCAAATTTTAAATGTAACATTGTCATCAGCTGGTACAGTTGTAGGGTGACATTTGATGTCGCCTTTGCTGTCAAGAAATTCAAATCTTTTTAGTCATTTTGGCCTGCTGTAGGGTGAAACTCTGTGTCTCTACTATCTTAATTTACTACTCAGTTGACCACTAAAGCTCTTTATATCTAAGGCTTAAACTTTATGATATGCTATCTGGTTCTTAATCTGCCAATGACATTGCATAGACCGGTTTCCGACGTATTGATATATATATATATATAGTATATATTCTCGAATACAAATGAACAGTTCAAAACAGACTGACAGCCAAAGAGAATCCAAATTGTTGCATGCCTAGCTGTTGTTGTTATTCTCTCTTTTTAGTTCATTCTCTTTCCGAATCAGTGGTCATTTTATATACTTGTTTTTGTTTCCCGGGGGAAATAATTTCTAGTTAAAAAACGTTTTAAATGTCCAAATATCAACCAATGTTATCGAACCAACTATATTGTCACTCTCATAACCAACTTGTGTAAGTCACTATTTGGCGATTCTCAGTTTTACATACAACCAATTCATATTTAACGGCCTTTATACCAGAATGCATTAATGATATTTTATTCTTTGTATTTAAAATTTATGGAAAATCTGATTTTTAGTATAATGTGCAGAACGCATCATTAAATATATACTTCAAACATAAAAATTGAGGTTATCAAAACAGATATTCTATTTCAGGATTGAACATCGTAGATACAAGTTGCAAAATTGCTTGTATTCTGCAGTCATAGGCACATTATTTGTAAGTTACAAAGCGCTATAACGACGTCACACGATTGCGTCTTACTAATAAATTTAAATCTGGCTACGGCTAAAAAATGGAATCATGAGGGAATATTTACTCTTACTAACTTAATAATATCGTTTTTATATTCTGTACTCGAAACTGATAAAAAATGACTTATGACACGCACCTTCGTTATTAGCGTAACGATTAGCTACATCCTCACTAAACATACCGTGTTATTTTTCTCGATTTCCATTTAGAAACCTAAGTCAACTTTACATATACTGGGACCTGGAATCGACTGCAAACCTTCGCAGCAGCAGAGGAGATACTTTAGAGTTCGAGGACAATTTTCAGTTTAATGCAACTATGACATACAGGTTAGGCTTATTGAACACAAAGTCGACTTATAGATTGTTGTGTTAATTCTTGTTCTTGCTCATGTTGTTGTAAAAAAATCGCTTTCACCACTAATCGACCAATCGATTATATAGCTTTCGTGAACAAGGTTTATTATGTCTTGTGCACACTTTCATATGACATTCAATAGGTTTTTTACCATTTGTCTGGAATTTTGCTACATCGTGGTACGCATATTAATGATTTGCCCTTCCAACCCAACAACAAATGTCACCTCAACAGAAACAACAACAATCCATATGTATACCTATGACTTTGTCAAAACCTATATTTGTGCGAATCAGGTTTTTCTGATTTTGTTAGCGTCAAAACCGCCTCAAGTTTGACAGTGACATTCGTCTGGCTATACAAATGACGGTCCCTAGAATTAGGAACCTCGTCAGACAATTCAAAGCGCAAGATACCCATTAGTTGTATACTGAAAAGCTTCGTCTTCCTTGTCGTTGGTTTGTTTTTGCATTCCATAAAAAGACGTAAAAACATACAATCCAACACGTTTAGTTTTTGGAATGACGAACAGAGGGGCCACGAGAGCAAAAAGGCGCCGGAAGGGGGACACGAACCATAAAAGGTTGAGAACCACTGCTCTACAAGATGGTGGTCTTGAAAACCTGAATTTTTCAATGATAAAAATTTTAGCTGGAATATAATAATTTATAGAAGTTGAGAACAAAACAGACCTAAGTTCCGATTTGATGGACATTAGCCTTTTCGGCCCCGTATATCTGCAGTCAAAATTAAAATAGGCCGATTTTACACTTAAATTTAGGTTCAAATAATCCCAATAAACAAGAGGTAAAATAAATGTTATTGCCCTGATTGACTAATTAATTAATTGGTATGCAGACAATTGATAATGAGTTAGACTGCAATCATACTAATAAGAAAAGTTCAGATGAAACAAAGATCTAGCTTGGAGGAATTTTGGTATTTAATCGGGCAGAACCTAGACGGATTGAACAGCTATAACTGTATATGCTTTAAAAAGTGCTCATTTTCAGCCTTCAAAATTTGAAAATGTGTTAGCTCATTTCATATTATTGAAGCAATATTCGGATTGGAATATGAACTACCCATGGGCCATGGTACAGAATTAAGTACTCCTGAAGTATGCGCACCAAGATGTCGCATAACCTGAACCCTAACCTGGTACACAACCTGAGCCATCTTGGTGCGCATACTTCAGGAGTTCCGAAAATTTAATGAGCACCTAGAATCAAACTTTACATATACAGAAAAAGGTTTTCCATTCTGCTACATATTTTGATAATGAACAAAGCAAATATAGTACAAATTTATCATATAAAAATAGATACTGCTAAAAGTTAGTTGGTGGTAGTTTGTATTCACTCTTTTTAATTGACAATTCAATTATTTTAGTTGCTGGAAATTCTTCAAATTTTCCCAAAAACAGTGACAATAAATCTCTCTGAGAGACAAACTAATATTTAGATCAATCCCTCGTGCTTTCGAAGATTGAAGGATTTGAATCAATCATTCTAGTGTTACGTTTACGACTTCGTAAGAATTGGTAAATTTTAAATATTAATTTTTTGTTTTGTAATATTAAGTTCTGTTGTATTGATTAAATACACAATACCCAAAACACAATAAGGGTGTGGCAAAACTGAAGTAGGTTAGTAATAATAGGTAGTAAGGGGTTAAGTTAACAGAGCGCAGGTCCTGATTATGAATGTAAGTTTTAGAATTTCTAAACTAAAATATTCGAATCAACATAAATTCGAATTGATTCGAAGCAAATCAGAAAATACGTCTAAAAAATCGGATAGAACGCTTTTTCGAATATTTTTCTTGCATTCTCAGCTTTTGACAAACCATAACAATCTTGGGGTTGTAGTTATGGTTTCGCTCAATTTTTTTTCGACTAATCAAAAAATGTACTGGGTTTACAAATATATTTTTTATAAGCTTCCTTTTAGAACCTCAATTTAATAACATTGTGAGGTATTTATTCGTCATTCAACATAATTCTGCGATGTTTCACTTGAACGCATTTCTCCCTATAAAATCACAGCAAATTGATACTGAACCACATTTAACTGACTTGTATCAGAAAGAGCATTTGTACAAGAATTCTAAAAGTCAGTTCTAAAAGCAAATTATCATAATAAACTCATTATTGTTTGCAAGAAAGGCTATGTGCTGTAAACTTACACCCATGCGAATTTGTTCAGTGCAACTTAGGCCTAGGAAGTCTTGTATTACAGCAGTCCATACAAAAAATTTCAAAACTTGTTGACAACGTAATGGGCCTAAGTTCTTTACGGGGGTAAAAAAGTAAGAACGAATCAAATCTGAAGTATCAAAAAATATTGATTACAAAGATATTCTCACCCACATAGAAATAAGAAGAGCTGAGTTCTGTACCAAGTGTGAATAAATTATGAAAATCAAAATTGTTTTTTTGCGCTTTCTCAAAACTCAAATTCGTTACTTAGGCTTGTTCTCATTCAGTGATATTTACAATGTACAAGTTATTGTTTACATAATTACTTAAATGTTACGTTAGTATTTTATGCATTCTTTTGTACACCAGCAGAGAATGCTAATCAAATGATCCGGCTAATTTGAAGTGAGGTCGCTACGGGGCGGTGTCGAGGTCTAGTTGGCACTTATAAGAATGCGCTAGGGATGGCGAACCTTTCTCAATGAATGGGTCAAAAATTATATTTTTATCGTGGAACAGAAGAGAGTGGGTCACAGATATTTAGTCAATGCTTGTATCTATAATAAACTTCTGAAACAAATCTTACAAGCTTTTATTGGTGTTGGTGTAGTTTTGGGCTTTATTTATGCAGCACTTCTCTCAGGTACTTCTTATGGCACTCGATTTTATGAAATTAGAGTACGAAAACACGCATGTGAATTACCAAAAACGTGTAGAATCATGCGGAAAGTTATTTTACGGTTCCAAAGAGTTTGGAGAAAATTCCATTCTGATATTGTTATATTTTTCGATCAAGGCACTTTTACACTGCCCCATTGTTATTTCAGATTACTAGATTTTTATTTCAAGTATGAAAGATTTCGTTTTCTCAACGCCATTGTAAGCGAGAAACTAATAAAATGCAAAGTAGCATCTAGTTCTTGTATAACCCCTAAAACAGTCCGCAGATACACTTCCGAAAGCGATAAGACGTTGCGAGAAATGAACAGATTAATTGCATTGTTATGTCATAAACGATGCAAATAGCCGAATAACGGTACATGGCGGTGCAGACATGCGTCCAAGATTAGGGGTTTTGAAAATTACCATACCGGCCCGAAAATTAACATTTTGTATATGAGCAATCGCAGCTCTGACTTCCCAACTGACGGCACATTATAAAAGTTTAGTTATTGTTAGATTCATTTAAGGCCTGTTTCATCAATTTTTATATCACTGATATGATAGCATTTTTCGTGCCTTGGCGGGTCACGAATGAAACGCGGTGGGTCACTTTGTGACCCGCGCGTCAGTGGTTCGCCATCCCTGACATATACAAACACACACTCCTTATTGGAAATGCAATTTTGTCAAGCTTGAAAAACTTCGTCATTATATTTTTATTTTTTTCAGAAGGGACTCGGATTTCTATCAAAGTTATGAACACAAATATGGTGTGACAAGAATTATTGAAGAAAATACGCTCACACTAGAGGAACTGCTTGCGATGAAAACCAAGCATTCAGTCACATTCGTCTCAAACTGTCGTGCTAATGCTAGAGCGCGTTTTCGAATGAAAATGCTGGAGCATATAATACGATTAGGATTCAAACTGGAGGGATTCGGTGCATGCTTTTGGGGAAGTGGCAAGTTTGCAAATGGTAAAAGCCGAGACGAACCTAAATTCTATGCGGAAGTCAGAAAATATAAATTTCACTTTTCTTTTGAAAATTCCTATCACTGTAAAGACTACATTACTGAGAAGTTTTTCAACAATGCTCTCAGATCCTTTACTGTTCCTGTTGTCTGGGGTGCGACGAGGGAGGATTATGAAGCAGTCGCACCACCTGGATCATTTATATTTGTTGAAGACTTTGATTCCGTGGAGGCTTTAGCCGATTATCTTAATTATTTAGACAAAAACGATACGGCATATTTAGAATACCTCAAGTAAGTAAACCATCCTGGTTTCGTACTATTTCTAGCCTAATAATTCAAATTCGATCGTAGTTTGAAGATGATGCCATGTTAAGGAATGCTAGTACAATATATGGTGGCCTCGTTTAACATTGTCACTGTTAACAAATTAGTTTCGTGCATTTTTACTAGAAAACTCAAAAGAATCCTTGCATTTTATCGCATTTGATTTTGTTTCGCTTTTATTTAAATTAGTTCGCCTGTTAATTCAGGGGGAATTTTTTGTGTTAAATAAATGGCTGGTATATTCTGCAACTATAAAAATTGTACGTTTACAGGTGGTTGACAATGAAGCCAAGAGATATGCCTCACTACGGAAGAGCAAGACATTGGTGTTCGATATGCAGAGCTCTACATGGAATTAACATTGACGACATCTACAGTCCAAAATACAACAAGACTAACCCAATTAGACCATTATTTACAGACGGCGTCGCAACGAGGACTGTCGAGCACTTAAAAGACTGGTATTACGGAGAAGATAATCCCGAGTGTTTTTCGAAATATTGACAATCAGATAATTAGCGGAATTCGGTCTTATAATTCCAGGATAAGCGTTCATCCTTTGATTACTCATTGTCCTTGTACATTCTATGTAGCGGGCCGATTGTGCAGTCGATACTATTTTTGCTCACACTGAATGCTGTTCACCTCGGACAATAAATGAGCAAAAACCTTACCTATTTTTTGTCGACATATACAAATATTTGCAATATTCAAGTGGACGTGACTACAGATTCCATATTCCTTGTTTTTCAGATTCAATACGAACAAAACTAAGTTCATTTTATAGGTCAGATCGCGATGCCACTGCTCTACTCCTGTTTATATCGTTTACTGGGTTAAAATTTTGAAATTCGTTTTTCCTCTTGAGAAACCGCTAATACATGAACCAAGAATACGCCGATAGAAGAAAGAAATTTATAATACAAATCAGGGGTGTGCAACTTTTCTTACAGTTGGACCAGATACGAGTAAGTAGGTGGAGCCGCGGGCCGCACCCAACTTTTGCCGCCTCCTCCCACTATCCACGGTCTTTGTTTAGCGTAGCCGAGTCGCCCAACTCAAAGATAAAAAACCTACCGTTATTAGTTTGTATTCGGTATTTCTCTGTTCTTTTGATGTGTACCTTTTCTATTTACTACGCAGTAACCTAATTTTAACGAGTTTTGTGGGGGCTTTGAATGGATTACATTAGGACATTTACTGGTAAAATGTGTCCCTACTTACGAAATGTTGTATCTACAAAGGGGCTTCCGAAACGAGTTAATTTTGTAGGTAGAGTTTCTACTGTAGTGGCGAGCACAATTTTTTTTGTTATTGACCTTACGGCATTGTTGAAGGGTTCTTTTAGAAATGTTGAGTTGAAACGCATAAATGTTGAAAAAAAACAGCTATTCGAATTTATTGTCACACCGACGTTAAACGAATTCAGTGAGATGTTTTTATAACATAGTGTATTTTGCAACAGGATTTTGATAGCTTGTTTTACTAATATGTTAGTGGCACTCAGGCACTGGTATAGGCTTCGCGATGCAAAGAGATTGGAATTGCTCGCACGTACCAGAATAACTAAACAACAACTCTTTAGGCGGGCACACTATTCAGAATCGCCACTTCCCCGCGTGCCGCGCAATTTTTCTGTGCGGGCCGCAGTTTGCTCACTCCTGATGAAAATGATAAATACTAGAGTGTTTCACATGTGAAAGCAGGTCAAATGATCACTTTTGTATGCATATCGTAATTTCGACAGAATTCACTCTCGACTCCTGGGAGATTGAGAATGCGACTCTACCTGAAGTAACTAAATTTGATCTCATTACCGCCACGTATTTGAATGTATAACATTAAGGCGTCAATGAAAGTTAGACGGAATCAAAAATTGAATAGCGAATATCACTGGCTTTTTATTGGCAACCAAATTGGATATTTTTTCTCACCGACAAAATGTTGCGTCGCTGTGTCTATTCTACCTATTAAATAGCTATATAGCATTATCTTCTTCGATCCTTTTTGGCTTTTAGTCGTCAAACTCGGTAAGCTTTCATCTGTTTACTGTCAGTGTGTCAGACGAGAAAAAACCGTTATGCGCAAAGTTTTTTTTATTTTTGAAGAATTCCTGTTTCGTGGAGTTCGCTACCTCCTGGTTGTTTCGTGCAATCGGTATTTACTGCACTCGTGATTTCTACGCTTTTATACGTTGTATCTACTCATGTACTCATTAGCTCTATTCTATTGGTGCGGGCGGGCTAAAAATGAAGATTAAATTGAGTAATTTGCCGGACTATAAACACGTTTTAATTTGCAATGATAATTTTTGTTTGAGTGCGCACCAACCTACATGCGGGTTGTTAGTTCAGTTTCAAAAACCAATAGCGTTGTATATTTAATTACGATTATTTGCAATACAAGGGGGGATCTTAGTTGAAACACATAATAATAATTATCACAATATAGTTTTGGTCGAAACGTTACAGAACTCAAATGGGAAGACATTTTCCGGATTTTAATTTCAGATATATTGCTGCTGTTTCTCTATTTTTGCAGTATAATCTTTGGTCTGGCGTATTCTAAATGAAGTGTGTTTTAGTGGGTAAACATGTAATATAATTGAAACGTTTCATACATAAAACACACAAAGAGTACTGCCCGTATCAGCACAAGTATGTAGACTACTGATTCCGAGAAGACTACCCAGCACGCTATTATAATATGTATACCTAGTCCTAGAGTTTTGTTTTTGCCCTATAAATATATATATATATATGTCCTCTGAGCCTAACTATATACGATTTCGTAATAATACATTATTGGGCGTCATTGTTTCAAAGTAAAGACAAGGATAAAATTGGCGTAAATCTGAATTTACATCCTATATGTAACGTGATATATATAGCTTGTGCAACAAAGGCGTGCATCAACATATATAAATGAGATTCCGCTACTCAAGAATGTGTCGGTATTGCAGTGGTATCCACCGGGCCGCGAGAATTGCCCCACGGCTCTTGCTAACAAACACCAAATTTGAGGAGTCATATTTGGGTATTGTTTCAATTTTTAATTTTGCATGAAGCGCGCCAGCACCGTTTCGTATAATTGAAAATGTCATACAAGTAACAAATTGTTGTGCGAATTTTTTTTTAAATTTTACCAAGGAATAAGATCAAAGCCGGCACAAAAGATAAAAATCGGAATAAAATCCCAAATTCATTGCCCAATAACTGAAACTGAAGCCGTTACGAGTGTGTCTCCCTCACATTCGTTCACAAATTGCAGCAGTGGTAAAGAAGCACCTAGCACAACAATTACATGCATCATTATAATTCTATACTTGTCACTAAATACAGGGGATGTTTTGTTTACTTGAATAAAATTCCCGTTCATCTGATCTTCTTTATTAATATTATTTTATACCAAAATGGCATTATAAGTAGAAAATGTTGGGTTTTGTGATAGGTGTGCTGCGAATATTTGAAGTGCTCAATAGTGTGCCGCGATATAAAAAAAAACTTTGGGTACCACTGCGGTATTATGATCAAAAAGAAAGAAATGACAAGATTGGGGTAATCGATTATACTTACAATTGACAAATGTGGTCTTGAGTCCTACAACCTTGCAAAGAAATAGCGAAAACGGATTGAATGCATGTGCAATCTTTAGTTTTAAATAATTCAATTACACCCCGAAAAGGAATGCGGAGTATGTTGATCCTATATCTCGGTCGATTCCTGATATCGATTGATGATATCCATCCAGCGCGATTCAGTTATAGGGATAAGACGAGGAAATTCGCAGGTTGGCTTACTTCTACTGCTGGTTACGCTGCAGAATTATTTGTATTTCAATTATGGTATATTTATTGATACGCTCCATTGGAATTCTAACCGCTTTACTTTACGTCATATACACTTCTCCATTTTTTTTGAAGTAGATAGTGTTCGTCTACCATCACTGTCATCCGTGAGTATATGCTACAGAAAGACATATTTTATTCGGTCTCTCTTTAGATAAATTGTATAACTGGATTCATATATCTAGATTTAGCATTGAGAAATATAATTGGACTTCAGTTTGCTTGATCGCGCCTAGCGAGTTTCCATGAAAATGTCATGCACATGGAAGTCTTAATTTGTAAAATATTTATGTAGTCTGCCGCCCTTTTCGTGAAATTCATTTGCATTTTAGAAGGTTGTGTGTTACTTATATTGATATCTTAGCCGGTCTGTTCAGTTAAGTTAGTGTGCAGAACGACTCTTATGAAGATCCACTGGCACAAGGGCGGAGAGTCAATGTAGGATTGTAGGTGGTTAATGTCACAAACAAAGACGATTATATTTAGGCACTCATAATCTAAACTTTTCGTGACTAACAGTTTCCGTTTTATAACGCGTGACCTAATTACTTTGCCATTATCCGTTATGCTGCGAGAGAATTATTATTTGCTTTTCACCCGTAGTCATAGCTTACATCTCATACCTGAAAAGGATTGCCAGTAGTTATGGAACTGCGACACTGATATTGCGATTTCAGTGATATTTGGATATAGTAAAAGTCGTGAAAACGTCAAGTTTGGTTTTCGGACTATACAAATTTCAAGCTCAGCAAACCACACAGACACTCCGGGGATAATACCGTATATATGACTACTATAAGGATATTACTATTTGTAATACATGTTTTACAAACATTTGCTAGATTTAGGGTTACCATATTTTTGTGACTTCAAAGCGGGACGCCTCCAAAGACAACGACCCCTTAGCTGTGATTTTGTGACTTTACATTTTCCAATTACTGCATAGGCCTACATTTAAAGCCATCCCGACTGTCTTCATTGACCTTATTGCTATCGAGAGTTCATGCGCACATTCTCTGTCCAAATATCGGGTTCAGTTCGAAAAATAGAAAGGAATTGACATTAATGATACAAATAATTCGAATTTAGATTTTTTTATGTACAGCAAAAGGAAGAAAGATACCCTGCCGTTTTCAAGCATTGAGAATTTACTTATTCGCCCAAGCATGCTTTTCTGTAGATAGCGCCTTCGTCAAAAAGACTATATTCAATGTTACATTCATGTAAACGTCAGAACAAGACCAATTACTATTGATTTTACATGTGATACGTTACGGGAAACAACGTAACAAACAAAATAACGCATTTACCTCCAGCAAGTGGGCTAGCGCTGCACAGGAACAACAGTAACGAAAACATGTTAATTGGTAATGTTCAACATGCTACAAAGCGGGACGTATGGTAAGCCTAGCTATATTGATCATGCGGAATTTGTCGTTGATGCGAGATTGATCATAAGAATAAAATGAACAATTCAGCATGCATTCGAATATATTTTTTGTAAAATCAATATACCAGGACCAGCAATTGTACGGCTAAAAGGAAATGCGTGCTGACTTCCTTCAATGTAGGCGTAAAGTTCGTCTATATTTTTACAATATAAAAGAATGAGCTAAAACTTTATTTGATCTTTGTTCTAGTCTTGCGCAATATTAAATTTATTTTTGCGCATTGAAACTCTAACATTTTTAAAGTGTAGCCGTTACCTCTATCTATTTTCGTCGGAAACCGGCCTAACACACACGCACTAACGAAATATTATTGCTGGAGCTACTGTTGGCTGGCGTTACAACTATTGTGATTCTGTCTTTCTAGACACAGAGTTGTTTTTGCTATTACATAGCGAATGAAGCGAAGCGAAGTCGTCCTAATGTATTTGAGTGTGAGCTCTTCAGGTTCTACGTTTGACCGATTGTCTCGCATGAATGATTTACTTTTTCAATACAATGGACCCGGCCTTCTCCTATCGACTGTATTTACTTTAAGTACTGTACGAGGCGAGAATGGCTAGCTTTGGTAGGAAACACTTGTTTGAATAAAGCAAGCTTGTTTGTTGAGCGAGGTTATCTGTAATGGAGTTGGTAGATAAAGCGTAATTTGTGTTTGGGTTTGAATTATTAATTGAGTAGTTTCCCCTGTTGGGGCTGTTTTATTCCGCTAAAAACAAGAATTTATATTTACTCTTGTTTTCTTATTACGATATTGTTTTATCTTGGGTTAAACGTAAGCTATGGATCAGGCAACTTTGCCATGGATGTTCTCAACTAGATGCAGAATTCTAGCCTTCTTAACGGTGGTTATTATATTCATGGAGATTACAATGGTGAACAGATGGGAGACATTAAATACCACCAATCCTTCAGCAACCAGCAGTCTGAACATGAACAAATGGAATATAAAGAGTTCTTTCCGCGAACTTGAAATTGACTTCAACGGAGGTATTCCCTCTATTAAAAAAGAGATAGATGATATATTGAATATGAAAGGTGGCGATTATAATTCAAATGAATTACCGGAAGTTACAGATGATGCAACACACACACAAGCACTGGTAGAACCACAAACAACTACCATACGTTCTTCATTTACAACAACTAATAATGACTCGATGTACATACAATCAGAGCTGATTCGTAGGCTGAAGGCTGCGACTGACAGGAAGGTTAGTGACTCATTGTTATAGCGTTCGTTCGTTGGAAGCTCGAAGCAAAAATAAATGAGCCAAAATACTACAAAATAATCCACTTACAAGTTCGCGTTCCGTATTAGATTCCGTTTAGTAAATTTGAAAAGTAAATTTCTACTTTAACCGGCTAGTATTTGGAATCTTATTTGACTGAAAAATGATATACTCAACAAAAAAATATTATATAAATATATGTTGTCAAAAATGTCACTAAACATCGGGACACGATTGGCTATAGCTACCTTGAATCAAAGTGGCTATAAACCAAGTGGAGACACCGAGTGAAATGATGCATATCGGACGTCATTTTGTGTCCAGCGAATCGGGGGAACTCGGCAGCGTTGGTTTGTTTTAGCTTCGTCAGAAGGTCTCTCGTTCGTCAATTTGTTCTTAGATTTTTTAATGTTTTGCATTTTATACTGGTATCGTTCGGTTTCGTGAAAGTTTCGGTAGGTATCTTATCATCCCGTGTGAGTTATGCAACTTTGAAACCTCATATCTCACGAACCTTATATTATATGCAGATAAGTTTTATATTGTTTGAGAGACAATCTAGGAGATTATTTATAATTATGAGATGGAGATAAAATGTAGTGATTATTATACAAAAATTGACAAAATTGAAAAGCTTGGTTTTTTTTTGGAAAGCTTTTGAATTAAATAACAAAAACTTCGATTTGTTCTTGTTATAACCTAATATGACATCGACACATTTGCAGAGGTTAAATATAGCTTTCGAAATTACATAGAATTTATCGTGCACCAGTAAAATTGTATAAGTTATTTCATTCAATGTTATCCAATTCTTAACATGTCAACTGCGCCAACTTGTGTTAAACAACAACGTTCCCTAATTACTTGTTACGCAATTACGTCGCAACGTGGCAATGTTCCGTATGAAAGAAAAACACATTTCGCTTTCTTTCGAAAGTGTGTAACGTCATTAACCTAATGCATACGTTTAAATCAGGTACTACTTAAACTGGTAATATGATACTTGTTCACACCACGCGAAAGTTTAAAGCCTGTGTTTTACATTAATCATTCCAGAAACTGATGAAATGAATTTTCTCGGGAAAATTTTCCTTAATTTAACGAGCTGTTGCAACAGTTGCTCCAAAAATTATAGAATGTAAACGATCTCATGGCTAGCACATTGTGCGGCCTCATGAATTTCATCAAAGCATGTACATTATAAGGTACAAAATTCAAAAACCAGCCGCCGCGAATGGTGTTGCAGTTTTTAATTCTTATCAATTTATTATTGGCAGGATATTTCGATTTCTTTGCGTCGGAAAATGTAAAATATATACTAGGTGATCTAGCGACGCCATCATGTCTTCTACGTTCTCGTTGATAAAACTTAATTGTAACTAAGCCTTGATGTTTCCGGAGGAACCCTATAAAGACACGGGGTTCAAATTGTTTGTTTGTTTCTATGGAAAGTGTCAATCCCGATGAATGCCCACAATCGTTACTAACTCTTTTTAGGTCTTACACACATGATAAATATTTGAAAATTGATAGTTTTACCCAATATTTATGCCACCCATTTAATCAGTAATCAGTAGTTAATTTTATCACCACATCGAAAATACACTTTTTTACACGAGATCAGAAAAAAAGATGAAAAGTTGCATTCCGCGGTGAAAGGAGTCGCGATAAACCAGTAGTGGTTATCGAGCAGCGACACCCGTGAAATGAAATAGTCTACCATTAAATTATACAAAAGTAAAAGTAGGATTGAAAAAATCATTGAATCATGATAAGAGTAAAAATACTAACACAAATAGCATATGAATATATTTGCGAGACCGGATATTTCCGGTATCACTAGAAGAAAACAACTCCGAGCGACAACAGGCAGATAACAATGGCAACTACAGGACGGATAATTCAAATAGCTAATAAAGGCATTGGATGCCGCTGGCTAGTTGTGATTGTGACTGAATGAAAGTTACCGTACTGAGGCATGGCTCTTGAATGCTGGAGACGGATTTGTCTATGAAGGAGAAATATGAATTAACCCAAAAAATCATCTATAAATACCGACAATTAAAAAAAGCAATCGTATTTTTGCGCGAAGCATAAACTATATTTCGCACCAATATTAATGCCTTTCATAATATATATATATTCGCCTGTTACTTTTCTGACAGATAAAGTTGCTTGAAATATAACTTCCCATCTTGCCACAATATCGCTTTTAAAACTTTGAAACGTTTTCTCAATTTAAGGTTAAATCTTCACGCGAAAGAGGAGACAATTAAAATTATTGAAAAACGGTATTCTGGTAGACCTGCAACAAGAGCTCAAGTCAAATAGATAATATATTATTTTTCATACACTCCAGATTATTAGATGTTTTTGTGAACTTGATTGATATACGCCGTTATCCTTCATTCCATGCATGTAGCATATTATTTAATATTATTTTGGCAATGTACACCTTGTTGAAAATTTGCGATACACATATATATTTTAATATCCTGACATGTACCGCAAAAACAGTGCAAGTTTCTGTAGTCAGTTTGTTAAAATAGGTTTTGTGCAAGTGCAATTAGGAATTTTATAATAAAATGTGTATATTTTGTTTAATATTTAGGTCTCATTGGGTGTTGATTTATCGAGTGAAGTTGGATGACTTTAACCTTAACTTCGTATATGCTGGCCATACCGCCGAGCCGAGTTATCCGAGAAACATCTGCGGATAATTAATTTTTCAAAATAATGTTCATTCGTTTTGCCGCTGCGAAAGTTTGGTCCAAGTTATGAGCATCTTTTTTTCTATTCAGCTGTTTAACGATCGCAGGTTTAAATCACTTAGTTGGGATCATACAGCGATAGAATTCTGGACACAAAATGGCTGGTGTGACGTCACACGAGCGCTTAATAACGTTACTAATGCATGTCCTCACTTGGTTTATAGTCACTTTGCCTTGAATATGGATCTAACATTTCCGAATAAAATGAACTTCAAGGGGAAGGATGTCCCGGCTCGTTAAGCAGCATAGTTATTAAACTACGTCTCCTTGCACTATGAAATGACATTCGTGATTTCACTTTTACATTCTGTATGTACAACGTGTAATTTCAGTGTGGTAAACTACTGGACCATGCATTCATTGCGTAAACGTGTCATCGAACTCGCAATGAAAAGTAGAACCGATGCGTAGTCATTTTTTCAACCAAATATTTATTTTAGATAATACTTGTCTGGATTCCAATGTTTGGTGTGAAGGATCCACATCCCATCGACGCTAAAAAATGCGGGAACTGTGAAGTAACTTATGACAGAAACAAGGTGAATTCTATTCAAATTCCGTCTTAAATTATATTTTTACCTTGATGTATTTATATATTGATGTATTTATTTCAAAAATTTCAGGTTGTACATTTTTGCGCATAAACAGTTGAAAATGTTTTGATCTTTTAGCATAGTTAGTGTTAGTGGTGATAGAAATATGTTGCCATGTTCACTGAATTAAAATATCAGAACTGAATCAAATGCATTTTTTTAGGTAGCATTATTTTAACTGAAATATCGTTTAAATTTTTGTTCGAATTATATACAATTCTCAGTATGGTGGAAATCATAGGTATATAATATAAAAAATATATGAATGACTGCGTGATACTATTCACCCGACTTCTATTCAAATGCAGATAAATGACGAGAAAACTGGGGCAGTTGTGTTTCACTTTGATGCAATTAGAGCTAACAACATGCCATCTACAAGGTAGGTCCAAAAATTTGAATGCTAGTTGAAATTCAATATGCAGAAAGCCAGTGGGCTCAGAGTAGGATCAACTTATGCTTATGTGTTTCATCTAATGCCATTTTAACACGGGATGTGTGTTTCATATTTCCAATACTAACAAGTTTCAAAACCTTCCTTACTGAGTTATAAATATATCGTTCAGGTTCCATTCTTTCCAAAACAGCTACAAAAATATTATACAGTGATGTTTATTCGTTTACGGATTTCTCTTCAGAAACCTTAGTCAACTTTACATATACTGGGACCTGGAATCGACTGCAACCCTGCGCGTCGTCAGAGGACAGTCCTTACAGTTCGAGGACAATTTTCATTTTAATGGGACCATGACATACAGGTAAGGTTCCTTTAGATATTGCCAAATCTAAAATTTATATGAAATCTTTTAGATAGGTTTTTTGTTTTGTTTCTAGTCATATCTATGTTGCAAGAGATCAACACACAAATAAATAGACACAAAACTACCTTATGCATCTTTGTCATATGTCGTTTGTGGGGAGTCAGCTTTCCATTTCTGCCGTGTCGCATTTTTTCTAAAAGCCCACAAAACTTCGCGGTGGCTCAACAGCTACATGAACATTATCAACAATAAATTTATCAACATGTCTAAAGTCACAAAAATCGATCAAATATATTGAACTTCATTGTTAATCAATTTTATCTTGCTCATAAACATAATCCAGGCGAAGGTCGCTACGCTACCCGCGAGGGAAATGTAAGGAAAAGATTTGAGTATAAAAAAGCGGATGTTATATAATGAATTTGATGGTTGCACCGGGTCGTTGCGCCGGACGAATGGTCGTCCGGCGCACTGCCCCCAGACCCTTTAGTCCATTAAGTAGTTTAAATAATACGTCATAAACAGATCACTCTTAATGGAAGTCGATTTCTATCAATTTTAGGGTCCGTGTTCACTCAACCGTGACGAAATTTTTTTGTCATTATCTTCACTGTATATACCTTGTGTGGCCCAAATATGACATCCCCATCTATTACCATTCTCGAGATATGACCTAAAATCACTGGAGCGTGACTGACATGTGGGAGAAAAAAATTCTACCTAAAACTGATTCGAATAATTTTTCCGATCATGCCCATGCCTTCAGATTCTTGATAAGACCTCTCTGAAGCCGGCAAACGGCCAAAATCACTAGACCGTGACGGAGGCATGGGAGGAAAAAAATTCCTTGAAAAAAGTATTAAACTAATTTTTCTCAACCTACCTATATACTTTTTTTACTCAATATCACAATTCCGAAGCGCAACATTCCGAAGTCACTGGAGCTTTACGGGGAAGGGGAATCCCCAAAGTTCAGGTGGTGGAATATTCTATTAATTAGTCTCTTCGACATTTATCCATCACTTTGCCCAAAAACCGATGGCAGTGCCCCCACCCCTAATAGTACTTGTATAAATTCCCAATACTCGGGTATGAATATGTTCATGAGCTGGGCCTTTTTTGGCGCTGATTCATGTAGGCTGCTGTCCGACAAGTGATAGGTAATAATAATACATTCTCGAGCTCGAACACAATTTTAGCTTTCATGGGAATCTTGGCACGTAGGTCTTGGATAGTGTCCACATAACCCAGGAAATTTCATTGCGATCTGGCCAGAGGAAGGGGGTTTCTGTGAGTTGGAGGCGGGTACCTGTCACTGAAGACACACTCGAATAACTTTGTGATTTAGAGGTTTAGCGTCGTTTTCCAGGATGGCAAAGCGTTTCTCCGATCATTGCAAACTTCCAAGTATACTTTTGGCAGTGAGGTTCGTGGTCCTGAATTAGAGTAGTTAGACAATACTTCTGAATTTTAAACCTAACATAACCAATCAATTTTGTACATTTACTGTCTCTTTGTGCATGTAGTCATATTTAGTAGACATCAAACCCAAATTGTCATACATTTAATATTTTCCAATGGGAATGCCATGGGATGGGATAGGACAGGCATAAATTGCTATGGGCTGAAGTGGGATGGGACAAAAAGATATGTCCCATGGACAAGCTTGCGTATCTGTAAACACACATCTACGAATGTGGTGTGAGAGCCTCTAGTCTAGAGTCTAAAGATTGTTTCATATTGCGTTTACCTACGAATTCGCGATCACAAAATTGCGCTATATTTGTAAATATTTACATTATACTTTTTTATTGAAAGGCACTTCTCAAAAATAAAAATATCTCATGTTTTCATGCGGTGAAAACGTGATATTTGTCAGTATTCATAGTTTTCCTACTCCATCGACAAGCGTTTAATCGACAAGAGTTTATTATAATATTTAACCCATCGTGGATCGCCCTGTATAAACATGTTTGCAAAATAACGCCTTCCAAAGAAAGGCCTATTCAAATAGCATTTTGCATTATTATGTGAAATGTTACGGTATTCTTTTCAATAAATGATTAATATTTACTCAATCGAATTTTATTTTTTTGAAAACGAAATCACCACATCAGGGTGTAGAATAAATCCCTAATTTCATGAATCTAGCTAAGTGAATTTGAAGCAGCCAAGTTACGTATTTTTAAATGTTTACAGGCGGGATTCGGATTTCTATCAAAGTTATGAACACGGATATAATGTGGCAAGAATCTTGGAGGAAAACACTCGTACACCCGAAGAACTGCTCGCTATGAAAACCAAACTATCTGTAGCAATTGTCTCAAACTGTGGCTACACTCCTGGAGCACGCACTCGAATAAAAATGCTTAAGGAGCTTATCGGATTGGGATTTAAGCTAGAAGGATTTGGTGGATGCTTTAAAGGTGGTAAATTTGCTAATGGTAAAGGCCGAGGCGAGCCGGAATTCTTCGTTGAAGTGAGGAAATATAAATTCTATTTTTCGTTTGAAAATTCTCATCACTGCAAAGACTACATTACTGAGAAGTTTTTCAATAATGCCATCAGATCATTGACTGTACCTGTTGTATGGGGAGCAAATAAAAAGGATTACGAAGCAGTGGCCCCACCAGGATCATTTATATTTGCTGAAGATTTTGCTTCTATGAAAGATTTAGCAGATTATCTCAATTATCTAGATAAGAACGACACGGCATATCTAGAGTATCTTAAGTAAGTTATTACGATCAATAAATAAGTTCTACTACATTGTTTTTCTAACGCTCGAGATGGTGAGAAAAAAATAAGCCTAAAACTATAGAGTATAAGGGTACTCCCGCAGTATGTCTACCAGGTTATGGTTAGACCATAATTTTATTCTGATTTTTAGTACTATTACGAGTTCGGTGGCTGTCTGTGTTAGCCAAGTGAATATACCATACCCCCTGTCCGTAGGTTTCAGTCCCTTCACCCAACTTGATGTGAAGTGGGCGAACAAAATTAGTTACCTTCATATTGGTACACACTACACACGCTTCTGGAGGGCCGTATTGAGAACATTATTATGTGTGAATTTTGATATATAAATTGACTAAATTATCCGTTTATCCGTGATGAATTTTATCAACGGAAAATTTGATGAAAGTCCAGTTGGCTGCCGATCCATGATATGTTTTGTGGCCGGATTTATTTAGAGTTCTGTTACTTGCCACAAGCTGCTGAGATTAATCAGATATTGATGATTCGATGCGAGCCAATAACATAATGGTTTTCGTGGTTCTTATCGCGCGATTATTTTAAAAGATAATTGAATACAACGTTCGCCGTTCGTTAACAATTTCTATATTTGTTTTATTTAAGTAGTATTTTTGAATTTAGGGTTAATTAGACGAATTCTTTAATAATTTTACTTGCTTAATTTACAATGCAGTTGTAAATTCCGTTACTGAAGTATGCGCACCAAGATGGCGCACAACCTGATGTTATGCGACATCTTGGTGCGCACACTTCAGGAGTACCGAAATTTGACTACATTTTTGGATTCGCATCGTTTTATTCTCCAGAGTAGACTATTTCAATATGTTAAAAACTCAAAAAAGTTTTTTGGAGTGTCAGAATTGACTGTGATACTGTGTTATAAAAGGCGCGGAAATATCTTCGGCTTGTCGCATCAATTTACTCATTTGACTCCAACTCCGCCAGCTAGCATATGCTGTTAAACGAACCGTAAAATCGTATGGAAGCTGATCACAAAATCATGCTTCTAATCAGTTAGTCGTTAGTATATACGTATACTTATCTGTTCAATTGTGGGTTGTTATACGTATACGTCTTTTATATAGGTAAGTTTGACCCCTCATTTTCCTTGTTTCAGGTGGTTGACGATGAAGCCGAGTGACATGCCACAGTACGGAAGAGCAAGAGAATGGTGTTCAATATGCAGAGCTTTGCATGGAATCAACTATGATGACAGTTACAGTCCAAAATATAATAAGACGAACCCAGTTAGGCCCTTATTTACAGACGGTGTAGCCCCTAGAACTGTTGAACACTTAATAGACTGGTATTACGGAGAAGATAATCCCGAGTGTTTTTCTAGGTAAAGTTATAGACCAGGCAAATTGGCTACAAAATTGAGGTGGTTTGAACACTCTGCTTGAAAATGATGAATAATTAGGATTTGAGTTGAGAAAATAATTTAAATCTTTCCATTTGCTTTCTACAAATGCTTATAATAATGCGATGGGGCGGAGATACTGATGAAATTGCTGGCTCCCTATGCACTATGCAAAAACACAAGCTGTTTTTAGCGAGGTTGTAATATTGACTCGTGTATAAGGCCGGATTGGAGTCTTCTGGCAGGTACACGCAATTTTCCCCTAAGTTTCTCAAGCATCGAATCGACGTGGCCTATATGACGGGGAAATATTGACGGGATCGATGAATTTCTGCACGTGCCCATGGGAAAGCATTGAAGACCCCACATCATAAATTTTTTAAAAACACATTATCATATACCAAGTAAAATATATTATATCTTCCACTGTTTGCAAAATTTATTGCTTCATGTACGACAATTAGAATAGTTGTAACCTTCCACGATTTCATATTTCTATGCACGATTTTATTAACGATGACATTAAATAAAACAAAAATATTCATCGTTATTACAAGTTTCCTATTTACTTAATATATAATGTCCGAATGACAAAACGATTATTTGGAAGTGTTTACTTTCTTACTCAATTCTTACCTTGTTATACGTGACAATATTAAATGTTTGTGGTGCCCTATTGTTTTGGATTAAAAGTAGAAAATAAGTGTTTAAATATAGGCTTATTTGCATTGTTCTGACCGTTTATAGTCCTGGCTGGAGCTTACACCCGATATCTGTGTCATGCGATGCCAGTGAGATGCCGCCAAAGTGGCCTTCTTTTATTAACTGCGTAGCTTTTTTTCTTATTAGATCTTTATTGATGATTTTTATATTGGTTTGATTGATTTTTTATTGACTATTGATTTGCACTCGAAGGACGTCAGTAGGAAAGATAAATATATGCACGTGAACAAAATAAAATAAATCATTTCAGACCGAGTGAGTGGTCATTTCAAATCTTATAATTCAACCTCCGAACGATTTCATTTATTCTACCCAACTGCGCTGACTGGTCCAGGACATGGCAAACTATTGTCAGCTTTTAAGACAAATTCATGTTGGCACCCATTTGGCAGAAGTATAGCTTCGCACTCGTCAGGTATGGTTGGATTTTCCATGCTAGAAATAGAATGTTTACGTTATTAATGTGGCCATTGGTAAAAACAGTACATTTTAAGATACTAGAAATAGCAATTACGTTATTAATATGGCCATTGGTACAAACAGTACTTTTTAAGATGCTAGAAATAGCAATTACGTTATTAATGTGGCCATTGGCAAACAGTACTTTTTACTATTCAACAATGAAGTTTATAAGAAGCGTATTCAAATATGTTTTGACATGAGTTCAATTAATTTACAATGCATTGACTTCAATTTCGCTTTAAACTATAATAAATAAATTATGTAATTATACAGTATGTGATTTAAGGCAGATAAGGGAATCTTGGATGAAAGAGAAATCAAGTGGCAGCTTTAAACACTGGATTCTATTGTAACCATATGAGCAACTTGATAGCCTTAGCAAGTAAGGGGCAAGAATTTTAATGTGGTTGGTCGACTTAAAGAGTTTGTAATATGGGTTGCTTCAAGCGGCTGTTGTAAACGCGTGCGTAACAGTAATTCTCCAAGTACTGTAGTTCACGGAATCTGCATTACAATCACTGGTTTCACAAAACGTCACCCTGGCCTTTTTCAAGTGATTCAGAACAGAAATTCGTTTCATCGATAACGTACAACAAGAGTAAAAAGTCGATCGCCATTATGATTAAATATAGTATATATATCAGTGCATTTATAAAAAAAATGTATATTTTTTGCAACCTTCTATAAAATTTGAAAAACAATGCGCAAGTGAAAATTTCATTAAAATGCACTATGAAGTTGCATAAAGTGAAATTTACAATTTTATTCAACTTACTTGTTACAGCATGACCATGCAACAGAGTCCACGATTCGATAAACAACGAACACTTCAGACCGTTCATCTTTGTTTTTATCAGTTACAGTTGTGAAGCCAAATGGACAAGATGTTGGGTAGATATTTTCAAGATTTATAAAATAAGTTTTCGTTTCCTTGGTTGTTGGCAATGTATTTTGTACAGGAAGAGTGCAGTTTAAATAAGTCTGAAAAACGATTAAATTGATAAACATGAGATGCATGTTGTATCTATAATTGTCCCCTTTCACAAGTATAAAAGTATCCTTGTTTCGTCGATGTAAATAATGGTTGTTCTATCTTATGAAGACAGTTACGTGATTCGGGACTCTGGAAGGTCGATATTAAGTTCTCTTTTTAGATTGGCAATAGTTAAAAATTTCATTTCCAATGTTCATTTTGTCCTTACGCTTATTGCGATACTCATGCATCGTCGTTTAGATTTAGAGCACCACAAAACCTGAGGCATTTTGTATGATATAATATTTTTTTTATAAACAAATGCAACGGTAAAAGTTGGCGGAAGTCAGACATAAATATTACATATCGAACCTTCGCGTATGGCATATGTCGATTTGAATGCTAATCTTTCGCGACGTTATAAAACTATAGCACTGTTAGTACCGTGACATTTTGATATTGATGTAAAATTGTAAATACGCACCTCATACGTTACTGGATCGCAGCTACATTCAAGGCAGGGACCACTGTTCCATTTTTGTCCTACATGATGAAACTGCGTGAACGTCATTGAGTCAGTTTTTGTAGTATGCAAACACCCTTGACCCAGTTGAGTTTCTCCGTGATTGCATGCTGCGTTGACACAAGCAAATGTAACAATCCAAACAGAAATCAAGATGGAGTATTTCATTCTGGATATTTTTGATGAAAATGAACACTGTATCATACAATCAACCGTAGCACCCAACTCAATTATGTAGACGTTATGCATTGCAACGCGGATTTATACTTTTCCATTTGTTACGTCACATCGACAGAAAAATTAATCGTAGACAAGAGAAAGTGCCTATGACGACGATAATAAAAAAATCACAAACACATTAGTAAACAATGTTCTGCTGAATTCTAATTTTAGTTCGCAACTGCTTCTCACACACGAATCAATTTAATCCTACATTCTGCAAAAATTGGAAAATTCCAATTCGGTTTACCGAATCGTGACAAGGTATAATTTAAGCTCGTAGCGTCCCAATGGTTCCAAGCAAACGTGATCTTATTCCCGTGTTGCTCGAAATTATTCATGGTTCCCGATAGTTTCCTGGTCGCTCTTCTGCCGAAGTGTACCGTCAGATAATAGTGTATTCAACGGGACAGGCACTGAATAGACGCTCTTGCAATAGAATCGTGAACGATATATTCTGACCAGAAAGTGATTCAGAATTTATCATTGTCAAATTTTATTAATCAGCAATACTGGTACTTCAATTTTTTTTTTTGTGTTTTAGTGCTTAGCAATACAGTTAGCGATATTCTTTTGAATTGAAAGCCACAGGAGATAAACACGCGATAAACTAATCATTTTTTAATCAATTGTACAATATAAAGATGATTTGTACCTGAGATGCCGGTTAAAATGAATAGTGACCGAACCATCTAAATCGGTCAACCGATTGATCATTCCAAGCTTTAACTATTACGGGTGGACGACTTTGAACGAATGACTATGGTCGATGAATGTCATTTCATAGTTACTATTTCACAGCTATCCTAATAGCATTAATTCATAACTCGGTATAGAAAGAAAGAAATAATTAATACTTCAATCGTTGTGTCTTTTTTTTTTTATATAGTATTTGTTTTTGCAAAGCAAGGCTTGAATAACACTTAACTGGCTAGCAATGAGTTACAGTTAAGCTGGCCCTTAGGGCTCCATGGAAACATGGAATAAACATCCTTATCAGATTATTAGTAGAACAAAATTAACCGAGTACGGTATTTCCATTTGTCAATCATGTAATTCGGTTGAACAGACCTCAGCGACTATTCGACTTAGCTCAAGTGTAAATGCAAATGAAAGCGCATTAAATTACTACCAACTTCAATTAATGTTAAACTGATATCTTTTTATTGCAGCTTCATTGAAGATGTATCATATAGTGGGAAAGTCCTACAAACACCTGAGGCATTAATCGTGCATAGTTAGAATAGAAACATCGTACTTTATTATTAGTGTGTCTAACTTAAAATAGATCATAATTATTTGTTAGGTTTTCATGTAAAGCTTGTCGCAAAATATTTGCAAGAATTCTTGACGTCATCTGAATGATATCACATATAAATCACTGTCTATGTTTTGAATAATTGTTTCAATTTCACCAGAAAAATATTATTTTTGTGATAAATTAGAATTTCAGTTTCCACCATGGTAACAATAACAACGATAACATAACTAGATTGTTTTAAAAATTGCACACTTGACATTTTTCTGTGAAAATGATTTGACTTGACTTACACATTTGAACAAGTTTGCATGAAAGTGTTTAAAGCAAATGAAGTGCAAGCTGGTATGATTAAATGCAAATCAAGTAGAGGAAATGATATTTCAAATTTGTCCGTCCTAGCACAATAAGGTACATGTCGCTTCCAACTGAACCCCACATAGACCTGATTGGCTCCGCAATTCTTTTTTAAAATAATGATCTGAGATATATTTTTAATACTTTTGGTATCACTTCAGCAATAAAAGTGCTGGCCATAGTTTAGCCGTATGTGTTGTACAAGAGTCACACGTAATAAATTGAAACTAAAGCAGCATAAGTGGCTCACTCTCAGACGGCATTGAAAATCCCAATTGCTCTGTGGTCTCATAAGATGACGCTTTTTCCTAAAATACCAAATATTGTGCTTTAAAAATATCTTTCCGCTGTTATTCACAAATTCGAATTGAGCTAGTTTATTTTAGTCATTAATTAGTACTCTTACTGATTCTCGGGAATACGAAAACAGAGTGTTCACGAAGGGCTGTCTCGAAAACAAAAATCGTCACTTTCGTTCTAATAACAAACGTAAACACCGTCGCGTCGCATATTTTTGTGCCACGGAAAAGATATAAAAGACTTGCGTTCACATCAAACGAAACATAACTTCAAACAGTCCTGTATAAACCAGTCAAAAGAAGCGTTTGTCGTAATATCAAATTGCATTGTATTAATTCGCACGTATTAGATTTTTTTTACTTCAAGTACAATGGAAAGTTGCATCAAGAACGCAGTTTTCCTAACTTTAATCTCATTCGCGATTTTTGTTCGCATAAACGCCAGTTGCGAATACGACATATTCGAAGACGATTGGTGTAAACATACTGTAAAAACCGCTACAATGAGATCTACAATGTTTTACCGAGCTGGTGAAAAGTGGAAAGATGGGCCGTGCGTTGATTGCAGTTGCGGTCCGGAGACTTACAAGGTATGTATTATTACAATGATATTAATAATTGTTTAGAAAATGAGAAAGTTTAATGATTTTTTTGTTAATTTTCACAGACTGTCCTGAACTGTTCGCTGGAAGTGGAAAATGGAAAGGCAAGATCTGATGAAGCCGAATCCTATTTTGTAAATATTGATAATGTATATCCAACATCATGTCCGTTTGGTTTCACCGAAATTACAACAGAAAACAGAGATCTGGCATCTCAAATGTTTATAGTCTATCGAGTTGTTGACACAGTTTCCAAAACGTGCTGTACCAGGTGAGTGATGTTGAAATTAAATCACTGAGCCATGTAATATATATGAAGACTTTCTACTAAGCACATATGTAACAGTAAATTCTTTAGTTTACAAACAATGACGCAAGCAAGCGTCATGTGCGATAGTAATTTTCGCAAATTGGAGTTCAGAAAGCAAAAATGTGAAACAGGATTCCTATTACTACAAGTTCATAATACAATATCATAGTTTGTTTATAACTCTAACGTATCGCGATTATGTTTTTGCAGAATGAATCCGAGTGAAATCCCCGAAGAATGTGAAGCAATACGCTCCGACGAATGCGAATATAAATTTGTTCTGAAATCGAACAATGGGATTCCATGTCCTGGACCAATTTTTATGTCTGGATAAAAAAAAAGAAACATGTCGATAAACTATGAAAATAATTGACATGATAGAAACAAAGCGTTAATTCTATATCTGAACCTTTCTGTTATTTTATTGTGAAATTGTGAAAAGAAATCAAATTTGGGTGATTTTAATATCTTGCTTATATATAACAATATCCGTAATGGTTTATAAATAAATGTTATATTGCATCCAATGCGTTTCTATTGCTGTGACAATTGGTAGATGCAAAAATACATGTTTTGTGCCTTTATGTCGAAGTTTTGTGTTACATCCTTCGAGGGCTTTATGAAAATACGCAAAAACTTTTCGAACAAGCCGCCATTTAGTGTCATCGAAGAAGCATCTCGTAGAATAGGATTGTTATACTTCCCAGAAAAGAAGAAAACCGACAAGACATAGTATAATTATATAGCAAACCTTTGGTCCAGTCACTTACTTCATTTAGGTATAAAAAATCCGGATGTATTGTGTACTGAACTGTAAGTTCTTTTTCCTTGTTCCTACTTCGGATCTGCATGTGTCTGTTGCCACAAGGATGCTTGACTGAGAGAGTATCATAAAGATAAATTGGAATAACATAATCTCTTTCCACGGAATAGCAAGTAAAAAAAAAACGCTCAATTGTTTGTTCCCTGAATATGGGAATATGAGAACCACGAGAAACGTTGTACTACGTTTCCCACTTGACACGTGGGATGAGTGGGACACGTGGTACAGTGGGACACGTGGTACAAGTGGGACACGTGGGACAAGTGGTACACGTGACACAAGTGGGACAAGTGGTACACGTGGGACAAGTGGTACAAGTGACACAAGTGGGACACGTAGGACAAGTGGGACACGACATTTTTGAGACACCCCCACTTGTACCACATGTCCCACTTCCACCACCTGTCCCACTCGTACCGCATGTCCCACTTCAACCATGTCGCACTTGTACCACGTGTGCCACTTGTCCTACATGTCCTACTTGCCTCACGTGTACCACTTTCCCCAGGAGGGCCAGATAAAGATAACTGAGTAAAACCGCGGGTCGCACTTTCATTCAACATAGGCTTTCTGGTAATAGCAAGCACAAAAGTTTTGGTTATTGATGACATGGGTAACAAATTATAACATAGTTTATAAGTGCCGGAATATAGCCGGGTTGATATCGGATAGGTACCGACATGGACGCAGCCAAAATTTTTGGTGGTGAAATTAAAACAGAGCACCCAAAGTACAATTCACGACGACGTAAGGTAAGGCGTTTAATAAACTGAAAAGAATGCGTCGTTCACAGCAAAATTCCACAGTTACGTGTAGCCCGCCTCTTTTTCTTTGCCTGGCGGTTTATGGAGAATATTTTGCAAGTCCTATTTCAAATATCGACCGTAGTCAGCAGTACCCGCATTTGAAAATGGAACATTAGAAATCGTAAAAATTAATTTTGGAGGGAGGTTCAACTCGCGGATGTCAGTAGCGTCAAAATCGTTCATAAGTACAAAATCACGCCCGCATGTGGCAACGATCAAATGCATTAAATGTGAAACTATTACTTGAATTTTAATGTTAAACAAATTGATTTTTAATTGGCATTCAATGATAATTAACATGCGCCGTAATTAGTGGTGGGCAAACAGTTTTTTTAGTCAAGTTATTCGAATATTTTCAACGAACACAACACCGAATAATGAGTATTGTCATTTCAAACAACCGTAATTGGGATGTCGGCCGCTGAAACGATCGCCGCAACAATTTTATTTTTCGGAATTTACTTGAAGACTGAAAACTTCGCAACAATGCGGCGTTTTTTATTTCCTAATTTTGTCATAATCCAAGGCCGCAGTAAATATTTTTGTCACCGCGATCCTTCCGGCGGCTTGACATCCCAATTAATGATGATAAACTATATTAAAGCACTTTTCATTTACTAGTTCATATTAATTCTCATGCAACGGCAGATATTGTAGTTTGTCCTTTATTTTTTGGACAGAAATTTGATTTCACATGGGCGACGATGTCAAAGACAACTATTTAAGGAGTGCATTCACAACACAAATTAATTTTATGCTGCTTGTTAATTTTTTTGTAGGATTTTATCACAGTTTGTAATTTGAGGTCCCAATTTTAAGCGAACAGTATTGCTGATCCCGGAATGCGATATTTGTGAAGCTGATAGTTGAATTTTTTATGCTTTTAATTTTATATCGTGTTCGTGGTACTTTCGTATTAAATAATAATAATTAAAAACTCCGCAAAATCGTAATCTCTTGAATACTCAGTGTTGAGAATTTACGTAACTCAGCTTTGAAATAAAACACTGATACTAAACACTTGAACAAATCGGAAATAATGGCATTTCTACGTGGTCAAAATAATATTTCTCCCCATCCCCAATATCTTGGAAAATTTCCATAGAATACAAAATTCACCAGTCGTACTTATCTGGTTCGACAATTCTAAATTTACAAAAACGGTGTTGGCGCGCTTTATTCAAAATTAGAAATTAAAAACTCTCACACGTAACTCGTTCTAAATTAATGGTAATAAATTCTAATTTGCTTTTCAATGCGCTGTGATTTGTATAATTAAAGTGATTGAATCAGGAATAGAGGGAAGGAAACACGCTTTACTGAATTGCAAGTGGGACACGTGTGACAAGTGGGGCAAGTAGAACAAGGCTAAGAACAGCCGCGGGAAACTAGCTCAAATATCTTAATTGTCCATACAATGGCAAATAATCGGTGTGTCAAGCAACGCAACGTAGCATCAACGCCCAATACATTGTGCTTTTGGCTCAAAGTTATTTCATGCCTCAATGAAACCACATTTATTGTAATCAGAGTCATATTTTCTCACTACTTTTCGGACTTTCTTTCATTTTTTCTTCTACTTCGTACCTTTTCTTTCAAAAAATTATTCATTTTGTGGCTTACAAATATATATCAAACAAAGTTAGGGTGTTGAAATAAAGTGTACTAACTCTGTTTAGCCAGTATTTAAAAAGCAACTCATTGGACAGTTCACCAATTACATATATCGGTGTCTTTGCTACTGACTACACGAATTCAACAAATTACTAATCTGCCTAAAAGTCTACCTACAGTTTACTACAGGTAGGGGTGTACTGAATTTATTAACGAGACGCAACGAATAATTCCAACTGTTACATTGTTTCGTAGTTGTTACTTGAAGATAATGGCACAATTTCCCGATCTAATTGTAAACTATATTTAAGATTTAGAAATACTTCGCAACCCACAGGCTGGGAAGCACTGTTCCAAACAGTCTTTAGCAAATGTTTAGAAAACTAACTTGTTTGCCTTCTGAGGATGTATTTTTCGGATTCGTTGACCTTAAAATAAATTTAAAGCAGTGCTCTATGATCATCTACTGAAATGAATATGAATCAAACGAAGCCAAAATTAACCTCAGAGCATTGTGGATGTAGAGTTCCAGATAGAAGATAAAATTCAATGTTCAAATCCGCTAGTCGGCACTATTACGTTTGCCTGTACACTTGCGGTCATATATATTTTGCATAATAGTACGGACTTTGGATCAAGGTTCAAATAACATTGCATCAGCATAGCAAAATTGTGTTATCTTCATACAGCACACTACATCATATGTATTTATTTTGCTTGAATTTAAATTGCCCAAGAAGGTATTTCACAGATCTCTAGATACGTTGCATAAAGATTGAAAAACATTGGAAATAGACATATCAAAAAGTCTATTCAATAGAAAATTCTAGTACAAAAATTGACATGTAAATCCAATCTCATACATGACGCTGCAAAATCCATCACGTGACCAGAGATTGGTTGAATCAGACATAAACAGGAATCGGATTTTTAACGCCAACGGCTATATCTAACCTAGTTCAAGTTTATGTAAGTGACCGTTGCAAACGAATAAAGAATAGTTCATGATGCAGTCGCCAGCAAGTTTAATTCTTCTCATTTTTGCATTTATAATCGGTGCAGAAAGCCATCCACAATGCTTGGATTTCAAACCACCATTCAAGTAAGTGATATTTTAAAAATATTCAAAAGTAATAGCTAAAGAATTGAAATTTTGAACTACTTATGTATAACCGTTTGTCTGTGCCATATAAACGGCGTACAACAAAAATGGTTCCAAACTTTTACCATCTAAAGATAAAAATATAGGTGTTTCGTTGGCACGTTTTTTATGTATTTTGGGTTAATTAAACTACTATATTATCTTTAAAATATATCTTATTTAATATTGTATTATAATAAGGTCATTATGTATATGTCCTGTATACATAAAATTACATTCCTAATTTTCTTATGTAATTGAGAAAAAATTCATGCAGACCTGCAGCAGGATCGTTGGAGTTTTGCAAAGAATATGAAAACTTCGGATGTTGTGACGCAAATGATGATTCGCAAATTTTAACCGAATATAAATCCATATTCAGCAACATGACATTAGTACGATTTGCTTCGTGTGCCATATACCTCAGGTCCCTGTTATGCCAGGTTAGTAAATGGCGCTATTTCATTTGATTGCTTTCGAGGTAACTTTAAGGTATATGTTGAACAAGTGATATTTGAACTTTCAATTGGTTTTCGAATAGTTATTAACTTATTCAAATGTACCTGCATACGTGTGTGTGTGTGTGTGATTTTCCGTGTTTGAATTTAGTTATCTCGTTGTCGTCATACTGAATAATAATGATCTGTTGAGTTATAATAATAAATAGGACGTGTGTTAGTTCTGATATTTTTGTCGAGGTGATGGCTTTATAAAAATAAAATTAGAGTCTTCTAAAAATTCTTAAACAGAAATTCTTTCAAACTGCTAACTAGTGTGATACGCTGTTAGAGGATAAACTTCCAAATCTCGACGACGGCTTCACTTGCTGACATTTTCTTCACGAAACTCCGTATAGACAGGCAACGATTGTTTTTTTTCGTCCAGAAATGCTCACCATATGCAGCGCATATATACGATGCTGAGGATGGACCGCAAGCAAAGACATTTCCAGGTCTATGCAAACCGTATTGCACTAACTTGATGAAAAAATGTTGGTTCCTTGTTCCAATGCTAACAAAAAAGAAAAGACTGTTAGATCTTGCAAAAAAAGAAGATTCCTCGGAATTTTGTAATACCGTGAAACCAGTAGATATCGATTACTGCTATCCACAACTTACCAGGGATCCTAAATTATTTAATGGACTCGGTACTGAGAATTTTTACCGTCAGACGAATCCCTTTAATGAAGGTATACAAATATAAAACAACAGTTTACTGCATTGAAAAGTTCTGTTTTGTTTTTGTAGTATTAATGGGATATACGGATATAGTAATTGATTAGTTTTGTTGTTTATAATTTTCAATCAGGATTCAATTTCTTTGCAGAAAGAACATCGTGCTTAAAAATGTGCGTAGAAGAAGTAGCAAACGGATTGAACAACCCTGTTTCTATGAAGCACGCGAATGATGGAACACAAAGGTATATTTTAAAATATGAACCAACTGCATCTCTAACTCTGTTCTATTTCCTATCCGCAGATTGGACACAAAATTCCGTTGTTTCCTGTATTTAACTAAGAAAATTCAGAGTTTTTATAACTTTTGAATATGATTACATTTGCTTGCATTTCCGACCTTATTTTGAAATACCTGTATTCTTTTAGGTGGTTCGTGGTAGAGCAAGTTGGTATTGTCTGGGTCTATCTTCCTGATAAATCTCGACTCTCGACGCCTTTCTTGAATTTACGTGACAGAGTTCTTGTACGAGAATAGTAAGTATGAAAATATCTTAGCATTGTTGTATAGCGTTATGCTTTCGCTGTGCCCCTGGAACATAATCATGAACAGAGTTACAAATAGGGTTTTGTTTTTTTATCAATTCTAAAAAAAATCGTGTTTTAAAACAAGGGCTTGTTTTAAATCAAATTTTATCTGTATTTTTTATTGAAATACCCCTCGCATCGCCGCGAAATTACTCCAAAACGTTGTATTCGGGCAGCTGTACACGCAGCCAGAATTATAATTTTAAAAATGTAAGTAAAAAATCCTATTTTGACGTTTACTGCTATTGCGTACATTATCGCGATTTTCGTATCTTCACAAAAGTCAAAAGATTTTAACCGGAATGTTTATCCGAGATAACAAAGAGAAGTTTTGAGTAAGAAAAATCGAGAAAATTAGCTCACAAGCCTATTATCAATTAGAGGAATGGCCGCCTTCGGCAAAACGAGTGGGTTGTGATAATGAAGAATATGCCTACATCGACGGCGGATGAGTCACGCTAGCCTGGCCTATGTTAATTGTAAGAGTCCTCTGATGCAAAGACGCCTCAAGTAATCTGTTATGACGCCATGATGTGGATTTCGAGTTCATGTATTGACATTTTTCTCATAAAATGAAGGCATTATTACAGTTAATACTGTTCGGTTAATTTATGCTTAGCAAGCTTTGTTTTTAAGGTTGAAGTGAAAGAGTTTTTCAAGATTATACAAACTCATTTATTCGATCGCATTTCAATTTTCGCAAGGTGGTTTCGTCGCAGGGTCGTTCACGTAATGGCGTTACGTTATTGGTTGCATCCTACTGCGCCAACCACTGAGCACAGCCTGAAAAGGTGTGCATGATGTGCCTCTATCGTTATTTGTGGCGTTTTGAAGAAGGTATTGCAAATAAGAAGCGCTCGGCAAGTTTTTACATCCATTTTTCTTCAACCTATTTAATACATAAAAATCGAATAGTACAGCCATTTTGAACAAAACAGGCAAAAAAAAAACTTCATTTAAAACAGTTGTTTTAGAACAATTCTTTTTGAACAAATCCCTAGTTACAAATTGGTAATAAAACAGCTGAAACGCGTTTATAAGTTTTATAAACGTGTTTCAGCTGCACTACGTAATTTTATGCATTAGTGTAGTGTATTCTGTTGATTTCTAGTATTTATTCAAATATATCGTGAGATTGCGAGGTATATTTGTTACAATTTCTGATCGTCAAAAGTGTTTTCCACACATAGACAAAAACGATGTTCGAAAACACCAACGAGCTTCAAAAATGAAATTATATAACCGAAATTTTTTAACGCTCTTATACTCAGGCAAAGTTTTTTATATCCAAAACGACAATATGACAAACGATTATGTTATTATGAAGTTGCTATTTATTAGCACGTACAACAGATTCTAGTGTAGATAGTAAATTAAATTATATGTAATTTAATATAGCATTTTAGAGGTTAGATAACGCCATAAGCTATGTTCTGCACAAACGCTATGGATATAAAGCATACCTTATTTTTAAATCATATTATTAGGTATTATGTAAAGCAGCGAATATCTTCATCAGGTACCAACTGCATTGCTTTTATTACAGTGGCTATGACGAAAGAGGAATGTTGGATATCGCGTTCCATCCGAATTATAAAGAAAATGGATTGTTCTATCTTTTTTACACTATTTTAATTAAAGGTTATCACAATATAAAAATCAGTGAAATGAAGGTAGGCATAATTCTGTCTATCATACACAAAAATATTTTCAGTAAAAATCATATTGTTGAAAAAGACAGAGAATACTTTAGAAAATTAACTGAAATTACATTTGGAAAAGTCCGGCTGTTCCACGAAAAATCCTATTACCTAATGAAACAAATTAGCGATAATATACTAAAGAACAAACTGCTGATCTGATCATCATGGACTCATACAATCATACAATCATTAACAGGTTTCGGACACAAATATGAACAAAGCAAATCTAGATACAGAGACGACTCTTTTAACGGTGCAAGAACCAGCTTTTAATCACAATGGAGGGCAGTTAATATTCGGGGTAGACGGTTATCTTTATATTTTTACTGGAGATGGAGGAGGAGGCGGTGATCGCTTTGGAAAATATGGCAACGGACAAAATAAGTGAGCAATTATGGACAGATTTAATATTAATTTCTGTCGAAACCAATGCTGAATTATTTATATTAAAAGAGACCCATTCAAATTGTAGACTATCTATTTTGAACATTGAATAGAGACTAAGGTTGGTAAAAGTCATTAAACCCCGGATACCTAACCAATAAATACAGTATATTTCATTAACAACACTGAAATGGATAAATATTGGTCGCATTGATTTTCGGGGTCAACACGGCTTATTCGAGTTATTTTTAGACAGGCTGATAACTTTCTATTATTTGGATACGACATCAATAAAGTCATAATCATGTTTTAATTATTTTGCTATTTCAAATGCTCGGCCTCAAGTCTCAAGTCAAATATCTCTGAGAGTTAGTCGATGTTAAATAAATGGTTTGTTGACCAGCTCCGAATTGAGCCCGAGTTATTTCAAACCTAATATATATACCCAATTTACAACCAGCACGTATAGGCAGGGTACTTATATTCTTTTTTCTCTAACGATTCTTTTGGAAGAAATGTATTTTTGTTATATGGATATATATTATGTTAATTCATTCAAGCAAATATTTCTATTTTTGTTTGATTTTATTATCTGAATATTGTAACCTACATTTCAGAAAAACAATGCTTGGCAAAGTTCTTCGCGTCGACGTCAACAATAAAGGACCAAATGATTTACCTTACGCAATTCCTGCTGATAATCCTTTTGTTAATGACAAAGATTATTTACCCGAAATTTATGCCTTAGGGGTACGAAATATGTGGAGATGTGGTATGGACAGGGGAAATGCAACAGGTTAGACTTGTTCTTGCAGAAATGGAATGAAATGAAAATTACTTGCCGAATTTGATCGCAAATAATATATCGAAAATGGATAAACAGCTGATCTGTACCAGATATACAATATATCTAACAATTAAGAATTGATGACATTTACTAAATTTGTTGTTCCCACATCCACCATACATAATCACTTGAAATACTATAACAGACCCCGTTTGGGATTTTATAATATTTACAGAGAATCAGGTTGTTGTATCCACATGTCACAAATTTGTAAGTAAATATATATGTACATTTTCAACCACAATTTTATTCTTTTCATGTTGCAATGTGTTTCCAAATTGAAGGTTTCAACAAGGGAAGAATATTTTGTGGTGATGTTGGTCAAAGTCAATACGAGGAAGTAGACATAATCAAAAAAGGTGGCAACTACGGATGGAGAGCGTACGAAGGATTTAAATGTTACGATCCGAATATATGCAATAAAAACTTTGTTAGTAAGTATCACAATTCCACACACAGGCGTTTCTTGTGTTTGCTTGCAATTTTATCATTGTAAACTGATTAAATTCTATTGCGGTTTTACCCATTTGGTCCTAAAATTAACATCGAATCATTGAAGGTTTTACAACATGCAAATCAAGAATCAAATACATGGAAATAGTTTTCAATATATTTCTTGAAGTAACCTCGTAAACGGACCAAAGATTTAAACTCCAACTTATGTAAAGTTACTTACCATAGAAATGTTTACAGAAAACTATATTCCACCAATCCACGCGTATTCCCACTCCGTTGGAAAATCTATAACTGGAGGATATGTTTACAGAGGATGCCAAAATCCAAATTTAGAAGGAAAATATATATTCGGAGATTTTCAGTATGGGTGAGTAACTATATTTGAAACGTACTAATATTATTTGGATATCATTTCACTTGCCATATTTTAACTGTGAGCACCGGAATTCATATTCACGGGATTGGGAAAGCCGTTGATTGAATTCAATTATTGTTATAACACACAATTTTTCCTGAATATGTCTGACATGTATATATTGCCATAATAGGAAGTTGTTTCTTCTCCGGGAAGGAAAAAATGGTAAATGGAGGCGACAAAATATATGCATGGGAAGTGATGATGTTTGCAAAAATGGAGGAATACAAAATCAATTTGCAAAATATATTCTATCTTTTGGAGAAGATGAACAAGGTATCATTGTTATCATTTCAAAACTATATTATTTTTGAATTATTATTGTCATTTTCTGCATATCACAGAAATACAGAATAGACTTGTTAATTAGAAATTAGAGAATTTTTTTTTTGTGAAAAAAACTTAGTCTCATAATATCTAGGTAAAAATTATGTAAGTATCTCAAAAGCTGACATGAACGAAATATAGCTCACATTTCATAGTTTTTTTTATCTTATATCACAATGACTAAGCTAACATTAACTTTCTCTCATTTAACATATACATATAGAGCTCTTCTCGAAAAGCTTGGAATCGAAAATTTAAAGGTGCTACCCATAGTCTGGTAACTGTGGTTCCATTTGCTTTCCATAAAGCATATTTATCAAATATTGCTATTCAAACTTGATATTTGTAGGCGAGATCTACATGTTGAGTACACACAACCCAATACCTGGTTTGCCGGGAGGAAGAATCTATAAATTTGTCGATCCGTCAAGAAGAGGAGATCCAAGTGCCTGCAAAACTCCTAACCCAGTGGAGACCAAAGTTGCCGAAGGAACAGCAGCAATTCCATACAAAAGACAGTTTAACTGAACGTTTTGTATTGTATTCATGCAAAGCGTAAAATTGTAGAGTAATTGTAAGGACAATTATTGCGCTAGTTATTGTATACTGTATAACTTTAGACTAGTACTAGTATGCATTACACTGGGCGCCAAAAACTTTTTTTCATGGTGCCTAAGATGTTTTAACCGTTTTGGGCAAATTGAGGGCGCTGATCCAGAAATGCTGTTACCTTTTCACTATCAGGTCTATTTTTTCTTCTATGGTATATACCTCTCTGCAGGATGCCGAAAGCTACAATAAAGATAGGCACAACATTTTTCTGTAATTTTATTGAACATATTCATGAAATCTCACTAAAATATTTACAATTAAAGCTGGAAGTTGTTATAAATGCTAACTAATAGATGTCCTCAGCTATAAATAGACGTTTTACTGATTTTCTAAAATGGGAGGCCACGGAATCATTGCGCTTGATAGACTAACAGTTGTCTGCAAGCATGATGGCATCACAACGACCTTGATAGCAAACTTTCATGCCGCTTATATCTTGATGAAAGGGCTCCCCTTGCCCATCATTCATATAACTTAGATTTTCTGGAAAACGGGCAAGATGGCTGTGCAAAATATGCAACTTGATGCTTATATTTGCACCACGTTGACGGAGACTTGTGAGTAGTTTTTAAACAAGCTCTTTGTAATTGGGCTGATTTTGGCCTGTGATTTTCCCCAAAATTTTTTTACCACATTTGTCAACGACGTCCTTGGATTCATAAAATTACAGAAAGTTTCGTCCTTCATTAACATTCGAATCTGGGTTCCATCAAAAATTTCAGCTTTTAGTTTTTCTGCGGTTAGACCTGGAAATTTCCTGCAAATATATATACTTGAACCTGTTTCTCGAGAGCATTCACAAACTGCTAAGCTTTATGTGAAGAGAAGGAAACTCAATTTTGGAACGTTCAGCCCTAGGAGGAGCCAGAATTGTGAAGAAAAACACTGTTTATAAAAAGGCGGCAACGTCGTTGCAATATACTAAGTCGTTTTCTTGAGTAAAAATAATGACAAGAGTTCAATAAGAAGCTGGAAATTCAAGAGATTTTTTGGAAAAGTTGAAATCTCTAGTCCGATCATTAAGTTATCAATGAGAAAAAGACTATAGAAGTGAAGAAGAGGAAAAACCGACATCTGAAACAGCGCATTCACTACTATCAGGGGACAAAACGGAGGTTTGGTCTTCTTCAGAGCCAGACAATTCCAATTCGAGCAAGCCTACACACACTGAAAAATGAATTTCATTGCATTGAGGAATTTGCCTCATTGCAGACTCGAAGTTTGGATAAACTAGCGATCTCCTGTTCTCCCTATTGATTCCCTTCGTGTTTACTGCACAGAAGTAGCAGTCATTAAAATATTTTTTCGAGACCATTGGAATACCAAAGCGGAGTGACTTTCTATCCTTTTTGTCCACTGTGGAAGATGCTCAACACATTGCTTGCATACAATATATAACCTGAATATAGTATATATATATACCAGGTTAGGGTTATTAGGTTGTGCGCCATCTTGGCGCACACACTACCCAAGCACTAAAAAGATATAAAATAGCAAATATTTCAACAAATTGATCTGATGAGAAAAAACTAGTATGATTTTCGTACTCAGCACCCTAAAGTTTACCTAAATCAGCTTAGAAACCTTGGACGCCAAAAAATGTGTTGGACAGGGATCAGTAAAGTGTTTACGTGCAAATATTGTGATCATGCAATGGGATTTGGTTTTTAGAGCAAGTTGTTTGTGGTATCTATAATAATTTTCAGTCGATTTAGAAAATGCTGGTTGTTTGTCAGATGTTATTTTGCTGATAACTGAAACAAAAGTTACTGGTGAATATCACCTACATGCTAACCTATGCTGAATTCTTTGTAAAGCTTGCAAATACAATCTCGGAATAAATTTTAAAATCCATTTGACTCTGGTTGAATGTTTCTTGTATGTAAACATTAGATAGAATGAATTTTTTGGTCTTTCAATTGTAAGCAGCGTATACTTGATCATACTGTTGTGTCGCGTTTTTAACCGTTTTCGAATTGTGTGGTTCAAAATGACGTAAGCCATGAATACATTCAAAATACCAACAGGGAAGTCACAACACAGCGGTTAGTGATTCAAACCAATGGGCATGAGTGCTCAAACCAATAATTGACAACGACACTGCGGGCTGCAATGATCTTATCTCATACTTTGATAGTCGAAGTGTACATATGGATCGTTTCGTTAATGTGTTGTTGTTTTTCATCGTATCGTATTATTAGTACTAGTATTTCTTCTACTTGAAAAAATCGCTTTTCTGAACTCGCTACTGGACCAATTGCTTCGAAATTTTAGGTGGTTAAAGATTTTATTATTTTTATTTGTTACTGAATTTTCTATTAATCCTATGAAATTTGATAATACACCAAAATTTTTATTTATGGAAACACGTTTTTTATTTGGCCAAGCGTGATGCTGTCTTCTGTTTTGATTTTGCGAACTCTTGTTACGCGAAAGTCGGATAATTTATCGATACTGCTGGCAACACACTGTAGACTAAGTAAGTTGCTGCAAAAGTATAAAGTACCGTAAAATATTTGATATTACAGTTGTGAGTCAAATCATCTGGTATTTTATTTCACGTTAGCATTAGCCCACGATTCATCATCGTCACAGAACCTGGCAAAGCTAGAAGAGTCAGTAATAAGAAAAAATATTTCAAATTACAGACCTATATTCATTCTATCTGCTATTGGTAAAGGCATTTGAACTTCTAATTCATAGAAGGCTTATGAACTTTCTCAAAAAGCATGACATACTAAATAAATCACAGTTCGGTTTCACCTCCTTACTATCTATTTAACAAGTAGAACACAATATGTAGAAATCGGCTCATACTGCTCCTCTGTCTTACCTGTGATCCATGGGGTCCCCCAGGGTTCTTGTTTATCGCCTGAACAACCGAATTTTTCCAAGAACGAGATCCACATCAGGCTATTAATTCCCAACTCGAATCAAATTGCGTTTAATGGATCCATATGTGGCGCACTGGGTAGTAAAATAGATGAAAACTGGCCAAAACAAGAGACAACACGAAGAAACTTTGGAAACATAAATGCCAAGATGGCGGCGATCGAATTTTCCCGCGCTGCGACAACGCGAAACGAGAGAGAAGATCGTTCTATGTATTTCCAGTTTAGTGGAGAGAAGATCGTTCTATGTATTTCCAGTTCAGTGGTTGAATTCGGAAAAAAAAGATATCGGATTTTGAACGCCAAAGGGTATATCTAACCTAGTTCAGGTTTATGTAAGTGCCCGTTGAAAACAAATAGAGAATAGTTTATGATGCAGTCGACAACCAGTTTTATCCTTTTTATTTTTGCACTTATATTTGGTGCAGAAGCCCATCCACAATGCTTGGATTTCAAATCACCATTCAAGTAAGTGGTATTTTAAAAGCATTTCAGTTCAAAAAATTTAAAATGTATTAGTTGAAAATTAGACTTCTAAACTAACTTATGTAAAACCATATGTCGGTGATATATCAAAGCATATACCAAAGATGGTTTTACACTATTACCATCTTAAGATAAAAATATAGGTGTTCCGTTTTTATGTATTTTGGGTAAACTGCACTACTGAATTGTCCTTGAAATATATCTTATTTATTATTGCATTATATTAAAATCATTTTATGTCAAAAATACATAAAATTACATTCCTGCTTTTTTTTATGTAATTGAGAAAAAATTTATTCAGACCTGCAGCAGAATCAATAAAATTTTGCAAAGAATATGAAAATTTCGGATGTTGTGACGAAACTGATGATTCGCAAATTTCAACCGAAAATGCATCTCTTGTCAGCAACATGACATTAGCACAATTTGCTTCGTGCGGCAAATACCTTATGTCCTTGTTATGCCAGGTCAGTAAATAGCGATATTTCATTTGAATGCTTCATTAGAGGTAAGCTCAAGGTATATGTTGAACGAGTGATATTTGGACTTTCAATTGGTTTTCGAATATTTATTATTTAACTCATTTAAAACATGAGTGCGTGCGTGTGTGTGTGTGATTACCCGTAATTGAATTTAGTTATCTTGTTGTCGGCATACTGAATAACAATTGATCTGTTGAATTTGAATAATAAATAAGACGTGTGTTCGTTCTGATATTTTTGTCGGGGTGACGACTTTTTAGAAATAAAATTGGTGTCGTCTTTAAACAGAAATTCTCCCAAATTGCTAACTAGCGGGATACGCTATTGGAGGACATATAATTGAAACTTCCAAATCACTATGAGGGCTTCATTTGATGACTTTTTCTTCGCGAAAACGGTATAGACAGGCAACGGACTGTTTTTATTTCGTCCAGAGATGCTCACCATATGCAGCGCATATATACGATGCTGAGGATGGACCGCAAGCGAAGACATTTCCAGGACTATGCAAACCGTATTGCACTAACTTGTTGAAAGAATGTTCGCTTCTAGTTCCAATGTTAACAAAAAAGAAAAGACTGTTGGATCTTGCGAAAAAAGAAAATTCATCGGAATTTTGTAATACCGTGAAGCCAGTAGATATCGATTACTGCTATCCACAACTTACCAAAGATCCTAAATTATTTAATGGACTCGGTACAGAGAATTTTTACCGTCAGACGGATCTCTTTAATAAAGGTATACCTATATAAAACAACAGGTTACTGCATTGAAAAGTTCTATTCTGTTTTAGTAGTTTGTTTATAATTTCCGATCAGAATTCAATTCATTTTCAGGAAAAACATCGTGCTTAACAATGTGCGTAGAAGAAGTAGCAAACGGATTGAACAACCCTGTTTCTATGAAGCATGCGAACGATGGAACACAAAGGTATATGTTAGTTAGAATATAAACCGACAATATATCTAATTCCGTCCTCAACCCTATTCACAGATTGGACACTAAATATCGCTGTTTGCCATATTTTTATTATTATTATACTGTATATTCTTTTAGGTGGTTCGTGGTGGAACAAATTGGTATGGTCTGGGTATATCTTCCTGATAATTCTCGTCTCTCGACCCCTTTCTTGAATTTACGTGACAAAATTCTTGTACGAGAATAGTGAGTATGCAAGAATATCAACTTTTTTGCCGCGCTTCGCTTTCGCTGTGTTCCAGGAACATAATCACGAATAGAGTTCCGAATTGGTAATAAAACAGCTAAAACACGTTTAAAAGTTTTATAAATGTGTTTAAGCTGCACTAAGTAATCTTATACCATTATTGTAGTGTAATTTGTTATTGTATTCTGTATTTATTCCATTATATCGCGTGATTGTGAGGTAAATTTGTGACAATTTCTGATCGTCGAAAATGTTTCCCACACATAGACGAAAACGATGTTCGACAACACCAACGAGCTTAAAAAATGAAACCACATAACCCAAATTTTTAATCGCTCTTATAATCAGGCGAAGTTTTTTTATAATCAACATGGCATGCTTTATATCTATGGCGTTTGTGTAGGACATAGTTTATCGCGTTATCCAATCTTTAAAGTGCTATAATACATAAATGAATACAAATAAACAAATTGTGATAAAATTTGGAGAAAAATCTACATTAGAATCTGGTGTACACGCTAATAAATAACAACTTTATAATGACAGAATCTTTATCGTTTGTGAAATTACCGTCTTAAGTAATAAATTATATTAAGACTTATAATATATAGATAATATGTAAAGTAGCAAATATCTTTATCAAGTACCAACTGCATTGTCTTTATTACAGTGGCTATGACGAAAGAGGAATGTTGGATATCGCGTTCCATCCGAAATATAAAGAAAATGGATTGTTTTATCTTTTTTACACTATTTTAATCGAAGGTTATCACAATATAAAAATCAGTGAAATGAAGGTAGGCATAGTTCTGTCAATCATACACAAACTTTGTGTGGTAAAAATTATATAAATAAAAGGAACAAAGAATACTTTAGCAAATTAACTGTAACTACATTCGGAAAAAGTACAGCTATTCCACGAAAAAAAAAATCGAAATCTTTCTTAATTGCCCTACGGGTTTCTGTTGTTGCAGTATAACATAAAAGATGCTGACATACTAAATAATATTGTATTACTATGTCCCTATTACCTGAAACAAATTAGCGATAATACAATAAAGAACAAACTGTTAATCTGATCATCATGGACTCTATCATACAATCATTAACAGGTTTCGGCCACAAATATGAACAAAGCAAATCTAGATACAGAGAGGACTCTTTTAACGGTGCAAGAACCAGCTTTTAATCACAATGGAGGACAGTTAATATTCGGAGTAGACGGCTATCTTTATATTTTTACTGGAGATGGAGGAGGAGCCGGCGATCGCTTCGGAAAATATGGCAACGGACAAAATAAGTGAGCAATCATGGACAGATTTAATTTACTTTTACTTTATTCAATTAACTTTATACCCGATTTACAATCATGTATAGGTACTCTTATTCTGTTTCCCTTAACGACTCTTTTGGAAGGGATATATTTACGTTAAATGAATATATTATATTACTTCATTCGCGCAAATATTTGTTTTCTGGTTGATTTTAGAATCTCAATATTTTAACCTACATTTCAGAAAAACAATGCTTGGCAAAGTTCTGCGTATAGACGTCAACAATAAAGGACCAAATGATTTACCTTACGCAATTCCTGCTAATAATCCTTTTGTTAATGACAAAGATTATCTACCCGAAATTTACGCTTTAGGGGTACGAAATATGTGGAGATGTAGTATGGACAGGGGAAATGCAACAGGTTAGACTTGTTCTTGCCGAAATGGAATGAAATGCAAATTACTTGCCGAACTTGATCGCAAATAATGTTTAGGCTAAACAGCTGAGCTGTACCAGATATACAATATCTCTAATAACCAAGAATTGATGACATATGCAAAAATTGTTGGTTCCATATACACCATGCATACTTGAAGTACTATACTCGACCCCGTTTGGGATTTTATTCAAAAATAAGCCACCGCCATAAACAACACTTTCTATAATTTTATGACACATTTCTACGATGTTGTATCTATATATATACTATTTGTAGGAATTAGTTATATCTCCCTAAACTCACAGCCTGATCGGTGTATTTTGCATTCATAGCAGTAAATATATAATATTTGTGGAGAGTCAGGTTGTTGTATCCACATGTCGCAAATTTATAAGTGAATATATATATTTTCAACCACAGTTTTATTTATTCCAAGTTTGGTTGACAATTACGGGATTAAATATTTTTATCGACCATGGGTGTACCGATTTCAATGTGTTTAACGATTAATAAAGGTTTCAACAAGGGAAGAATATTTTGTGGTGATGTTGGTCAAAGTCAGTACGAGGAAGTAGACATAATCAAAAAAGGTGGCAACTACGGATGGAGAGCGTACGAAGGATTTGATTGTTATGATTCGAATATATGCAATGAAAGCTTTGTTAGTAAGTATCACAATTCAACACGCAGGCGTGCTGGTTTGGGTTAATATTTCATCATTGTAAACTCATTAACTTATATATTAACGTCGAATCATTGAAAGGTTTTACAACATGCAAATCAAGAATCAAATATATGAGAATAATTAGTAACTGGTAAACGGACCAAAGATTTCAACTTCAACATATGTAAGTTTACTTACCATAGAAATGTTTGCAGAAAACTATATTCCACCAATCCACGCGTATTCCCACTCCGTTGGAAAATCTATAACTGGAGGATATGTTTACAGAGGATGCCAAAATCCTAATGTAGAAGGGAAATATATATTTGGAGATTACCACTATGGGTGAGTTAACATATTAGAAACGTACTAATAAATAATTTGGATAACATTCCACCTGTCACACTTCATCTATGAGCACCAGGATTCATATTAACGGCATTGGGAAAGCCGTTGATTGAATTCAATTATTGTTATAACATACAATTTTCCCTGAGTAATCCTGAAAGTATGTATTGCCATAATAGCAAGTTGTTTCTTCTCCGGGAAGAAAAAAATGGTGAATGGAGGCGACAAAATATTTGCATGGGAAGTGATGATGTTTGCAAAAATGGAGGAATACAAAATCAATTTGCAAAATATATTTTAGCTTTTGGAGAAGATGAACAAGGTATCATTGTTATTATCTCAAACGTACCTTGTGTGAATTATCTGTCTAATCATTAAATGTATATTAGAGTTTTCAACTGTATTTTATCTAACTTTCACGACCTCTAATTCAACATAGCCATAGTATAGGGCTCTTCTGTCCCAGTCTCGAAAAGCTCATAATTTTGGAAGTTAGAGATTCTAGCGGTAGTTTAGTAACTGTGGTTTCATTTTCTTTCCGAACAACATCTCAAATATTGCTATTCTAACTTGATATTCGACAATGACAGGCGAGATCTACGTGTTGAGTACTCACAACCCAAGACTTGGTTTGCCGGGAGGAAGTATCTATAAACTTGTCGATCCGTCAAGAAGAGGAGAACCAAGTGCCTGCAAAACTCCTACCCCAGTGGAGACCGAAGTTGCCAAAGGAACAGCAGCAATTCCATACAAAAGACAGTTTAACTGAACGTTTTGTATTGTATACATGCAAAGCATAAAATTGTGGAGTAATTGTAAGAACAACTACTCCGCTAGTTATTGTATATACCTTTAGACTAGTATATGCCTTAGTAATGTTAGTATCAGTAAATTTTTCTTGTGCAAATATTGTGATCATGCAATGGGGTTTGTAATGCTTGCAAATAAAATCTCCGAATAAATTTTAAAATCCATTTGACTCTGGTTTAATTTTCCTGCATGTAAACATCAGATAGAATAATTATTTTTGATCTTTAATTGTAAGCAGCCTATAATTGCTAATATATACTTGTTTATATGTCGCTTTTTTAAGCCTTCATCGAATTGTGGGGTCCAAAATGACGTAAGCCATGAATGCATTTCAAAATACCAACAGTGTGCTCACAAAAAAACGGTTGATAATTCAAACCGAAACTGTTCTCGAAATGAAGATACAATAATGACAGTATGGAAATGCAATACGTAAACCAATTATTGACAACGACTCTGCGGACCACAATGATCTCATCTCTTACTTTGATAGTCGAAGTGTACATATGGATCGTTTTGTTATTACTTATCGATCTTAAGATCGATGTTTAGTGGTTGAAGATTTTTTTTTATTTGTTCCCAAATTTTCCTATTAATTAATCTTATGCAGTTTGATATTACACCCAAAAATTTCGCTGTTCCATTTTTATTCATGAAAACACGTTTTCATTCGGCCAAGCGTGAAGCTGTCTTTCGAGTTGATTTTGCTCCTACTACGCGAAAGTCGGATGTTTTTTCGATACCGACAACGCACTGTAGACTAAGTAAGTTGCTGCAAAAGTAAACACAGGACCTGGTAAAGTTAGAAGAGTCCGGGTACCGGTACTCGTAAGTTACGATGCTCCACAGTTACAGCTTCGTCCAGGATATGATTTCTGGGGAAATTGTGGATAAGTTGTCGTCGTGAAAAAATTGATCATCTACCAGACCGATAAAAAATTTTAATTGTTAAAGCCTGTTGTTGTCGCCAGAAGGCTATTGTTTCATTTTTTAAGTATCTTTAGGCTATATGCTGGAATTCGTTTGTAGTTTTGTTTGATAATGTCATCAAAATTAAAAATTGCGCACCGTGATCCCATCCTTGTGATCTGGTAGTCAGACTCCGGTTCTGTAAAAGATTGGATACTACTTCGTTTTGGCGTTCGTGTCCATATTTTCAAGCATTGCTTGTTTAGAATAATATTGGATATATTAAAAAACGAAACGTTCTTCAAGTGGCATCTACACTCTACCAATGTGAGAAACTAATATACCTCGTATATATATAACTCAACGCAGGGGGAAAATGTTGCAAACTGCAGAATGAAAATAATGGCGTGCCAAAAAGTATATATATATATATATATCATTGAGATCAAATACCTAAATTGGTGTAGTTCATGAGACATCAGGATTCAATATAAGTGAAGCAGATTGGTAAATTAGGTGGTGGGGAGACTGTCTTTTTCACTGCAGGTTTGGTATAAATTATCATTATATTTCTTCCGCTAAATAACTTATATTATTCACTAGTTTTCTTTGTAATCTATGTATGTATGTATGTTTATTTGCCTCAAAAATGTAACAGTATCTGCATGATAGTTAAACGGTATAAAAGAGACGGGATACATGTTCAAGACCTTACTGGCCTAACACACAGATGTGCGTCATTCTTAATTATTGAGATATCAAGCATTCTGTGTCCAAACAAGTTACTTAATGCGCCTCAAGGTACCTTTCTACGACTCTCGCTCGTGGAAATCCTCTTCAAATGTTGTATACCTTACTGCTATAGGATGAGACTCCGCGCATAAAAGCGTCCGACCTACTATTTGAATAATATTGCTTCGTCATATATTATATAGCTCATGGCCATTTTACCGTTCCTAATCCGTCTGGCAACCGCATATATGTATATAAACCGGAGATGTGGCGAAATCGTGGTTTGTGGCTGACTTAGCGGACATAGGTTGCAGCAACAGTTATGAAATTTGTAGTGAGCGCTATTCTGGTTCTGGTCTTCAATTTTGCCCGAGAAACCGTATCCCACCTCCAGTGCTTGGATTTTAAGCCTCCATTTAAGTAGGTTACCTATATTTCTTCTTGATAACACTTCGCAAAATATGTCGTTTTTTTATAGTATAAACAGCAAATTTGTATGAAATGCTATTGATAGGTACATGGATCTATTTAGTATTGCGAAAGAGAGCAGATTCACTTTCGTGTCGGAACTTACTAACTGTTGATATTTGTTACAAATTGTATATTTCTGTCTATAACAGCTTGCTCAAGTTATAGAATTCAGTATAGTGCCAATATAAAGAGCCACTGCCACCATTACGATCAAAATATTTACACAGTACTAATTCAAGGCCCCAAATTTTTTTAGACCAGCAAAGAATTTAAACATTTGCAAAGAATATGAGGCGTTCGGATGTTGTACATCAAAGGATGATTCCGAAATTGCAACGAAATACAATGAAATAACAAATGCTATGACTGAAAGCCAGCTGTCTAAATGTGGAAAGTTTCTAACATCCCTCTTGTGTCAAGTAAGCAAAGTAAAACTAAACTGAAAGCGAATTCACTGTCTGCCATATATGTAAGCCAACAATCAGCTGTACCATATGATGTCGCTTACTATTCGAAGTATTGACATATTACTATACACAGGTAAAGTGGTAAATACAGGGCTGTATAATATGCAATGCTTATGACTTAAAGTAGGATAACTAATTCACGATCATATATTGCATATAAATTTTAGAAATGTTCGCCCTACGCAGTTCACATCTACAACGCAGAAGATGATCAAATAGCCAACTCGTTTCCTGGTATCTGCCAATCATACTGTGAATCTCTCATGCAAGAATGTTCTTTCCTCATTCCAATGGTTACGGATGATGCAAATTTGATTGAACTTTCGAAAAATGAAGATTCGTCTAAATTTTGTTCAACTGTACAAATTCCCGATGCTCAATATTGTTATCCTGATGTTGCAAATAGCGAAGAGTTAATGAAAAATATCGGCACGGTTGAATTTTACAAAACAAAGAATCAGTCTAGCGATAAAAGTTAGTAGAACCTATTATACAATACCCAGCAAGCATTGTTGAATATTCTGAGGACATTTTCCCCAGAGTGGAATAATTTGCAAAAATCAAAAACTCACAATTGTAGGATTGAGCTTCAATATTAATAAATATCATTATTTGGATACTCAAACATATGAAAACACCATTCACTAATTAATACCTGAATATGATAAATTCAATTTTCTCGCGTAATACTCAAGGAACATCGAATTCTAACGTTTTTGTAGTTTGATACGGTTTCCTGCAAATCGCAGAAATGTTTTGTCCCCAATTTCATCAAAGTTAGGCAAATATGAAAACTAACGCTGTCATCAACTTATAAAATGCACAAGACGAGTATTTCCATGGTAGGAAGTACGGCTGACATTATTTTTATTTTCCTTCGACAACTTAACGTCCGATAAATAAGTTCGTTAATAAAAAAATTCCTGTCGAACGAGGACAATAATATTTACTGGAAATGAACTGTTTTATTTGCATAAAATTAAGAATCGTGCACGAAATTATGCGTTGAAGAGATTGCAAACGGATTATCCAATCCGATTCAAGTGAGAAGTGCAAACGATGGAACTCAAAGGTAAACAGATTGTGGTCGATAATTCCATTTAATCCGATATGCCAACTCAGTGAAAATGACTACATACGATATTTTAAATAAGATTTCTGAACTTTCGTCCAATTTCGCGTGATAATTTAATACGTTTCGATAATTTTAGTTTTCAAAATTTTAGAGAATCATTCGAGATTTGAAGCATTTATAACAGTACATTGAAACACGTTGAGCAAAATAAAGAATAAATGGTTCAACATGCTTGATTACAGCAGGACACGGTATCATATCTTTGCAGAATGAAATGTACAAAAAGAACATATAAACCTAAACATTTTGTTTTATATTCATTATAAAATTTATTCTCCCAAACTGCATATTCAGTTTTTTTTGTTTTACAGGCTTTTTGTACAAGAACAAGGAGGTGCAGTCTGGATATACTTGCCAGATAAATCCAAAATTTCCCATCCGTTTTTCAATATGCGTGATTTGAAGCTAGCTGATGATCAGTAAGTTAAGTTTCAAACAACTTGCTAAGAAGAATTGTTAATTAGCATTAAAACATTTCCACAAATTAATTTTTGCATTATATTATTTATTTTATCAGAACCTTCGATTCGCGAGGCATGTTTGACTTTGTTTTTCATCCGAACTATAAAAGCAATGGACTGTTTTATGCCCACTATCTTATTGTCACGGATACAAATCCTAGTCTCACAATAAGCGAGTTCAAGGTATGTATTTTACAAAAAGTGGCATCAATTATTTTATAGCTATAGAGTTATTGGAGTTTCACTTGTATTGCTCCAGGTATCTGATGTTGACATGAATCGAATTGACCCGAAATCTCGGAGAGATATATTAAGTGTTCCAGAACCATCGCCCAATAACCAAGGGGCTCATTTGCGTTTTGGTTTAGACGGATATTTATATATTTTCAATGGTGATGGCGTTGGCGACACATCGACTGAAGAGGATCCTTACGGAAAATATGGAAGCAGTCAGAACAAGTTCGTACTCTACATTATTATACACTAAAAAAGTTAGGAAACGAAATATCCACCAATAATATTGCTTATAGAAAGCTTATTTCCATTCCAGAAAAACTCTACTTGGTAAAGTTCTGCGAATAAATGTTGACGATAGACCACGGGGTCGTCCTTACTCTATTCCCCCTGACAATCCTTTTGTCAATGACGCAGAATATTCTCCAGAAATATATGCACTGGGAGTTAAAAATATGTGGAGGTGTGGAATGGACAAGGGCGATGAAACAGGTTTGTTGTAAAAACCGTGAAACTGAAATAGGCAGTTTCATAAAAATCTTATTCACAGAGAACACTTTTTATTAGAATTCAGTATGATTCAAATAAATACTACGACATTCTGGAAAGATTTCGTTCAGTAAAGCCCGTTTGGTACATTTTATTTAGATTCAAATATCTATATTTATATATTATATTGTCTAATATCATTATGACTTGCAGTACTGACTAAATGTCTATCTCTAATGCAATGTTTCTTAAATTATACTCGTCGCGACACTTTGGTGCTTCGTTTCTATTTTCACATCACCGCGTCATTCTGTCTGCTGGATCATACATGTTTGACTTCATTATTACTTAATTGGAATGATTGTTCACTAAATAAGAAAAGCATCCGCCTACGATTGGCTATCACTTCGCACCGATTCATTCGTTGACTATGGCTAGGAAAATCCCCATGCTGCTGTACTGCTCTCATGTGCATTGGTGCTTAACATGTAGGTATCTGCGTTTCATAACTCGTTCTTGTTCTGGCTCAAGGTAAAAACAGAGGTCGTGTGATATGTGGTGATGTTGGGGATGCCGATTACGAAGAAGTCAATATTTTAAAGAAAGGTGCAAATTATGGTTGGAAATATTACGAAGGATATTCCTGCTTTGGAAATCGAGACTGTGACAATATTAACATAGGTAAGAAATAGTATTTTGGCATATATATTTCCATTCAATCGTTAGGGGTTGTAATGTGCTACAGCCGGTAATATATACGCGAATAATATCCTACATCTACTTTTCAGCTTCTTAGTAACAAAGATAATTTGTATACTCGGTGACTGGATCATAAGAAGATCCTCTAAGTAGGTTTTGGGATGAGATCTCTTTATGACTTTATTAAAACACCCGCGGGTACCAAGTCGCTGTAACGGCGTTCATCAGTAAGCTGCATCTATTCATTACTTATCGATTTTAATCGGTGAGTATGTTAATAGGTATTTGTCTGTTAGATGCACGCGATATCTCACGAAAGCGAGATTGAATCTGCTCCAGATTTTGCATGTGCATTCATCATATGTCAGACCAGAAGCCTATTGATTCTGGATGAATTATGTCGTATAATTAGATGGGACACAAGGTGTCACTATGGAGTAAGAGCGCTGTTCTGGGAGATCCCCTAACTCTCGATCGATAAGTCTTTGGTCTCTGACCGATGTTCTCGTTCTATTTTTGCTATTTTTGTTTTAAGTTCAAACCACACTTATAGGACAACTAGAAAACGATCAACCTTTATCTATATGTGACCACAGTAATATTACGCGTCATTTAATACGATTCCTGTTATGATATCACATACACTGTGTTACATTGAGTCAAGCACGTCATTCATTTCTAGTTCTTTCATGAACATACATTGCTAATCAAATTTCAGCCTTGATACTGGACAGATATATCATGAAATTGTGGCACTGCAGACTACAAAGCCTTTTAGGAGGTGCCAAACTTCTGGGTGTACAGTGTACATCTTTGAAGATTGCACGGTTGCTTGGTTCTATCTATCTTTGTGAATTAGCCTTTTCTGACATGAACTTCATCAAGAACAAACACAGAACAACCTTGCCGATGGCGTGAAACGTACAAGACAAACTCAGCGTTGCAGTATCAAGTTACACACCCGAGCAAAACACGCTGGTGGAGAGTATGCGACACCAGGTTTCCCAATAACTGACATGAAAATAGACCAGATGTGGTCCAGGTTGAAAACAAGATGTTTAGGATTCATTAAATGTGTTTGATAAATGTAACATTTGATAGCATAACTTCCAAGTCTATTTTATCTTGGATTTTTGTGGGGTATATGTTAAAAAAGAAGGTACATTATGATTTCCTATGATTTGAAAATATAAGCGTCGCTGATATTAACTCATTATCTATCGATTTTATGATTTATCGATTTTAATCGGTAAGTATGTTGATAGGTATTCGTCTGTCTGTCTGTTAGATACACGCGATATCTCACGAAGCAGATTTTGCATGCGCATTCATCATATCCCGGACCAGAAGCCTATTGATTTTGGGCGAATTATGCCGTATAATTAGCGAGTTATTAATTAATTAGTGATGGGACACAAGGTGTCACTATGGAGTGAGAGCGTTGTTTTGAGGAATCTCCTAACTTTCGATCGATAAGTCTTCGGTCTCTGACCGATATTCTCGTTGCCTTTTTTGTTATAATTGTTGATAATTTCATGAAAAATCTTTAACATTACCATTGTCTCCTCGTGGCTAAATACGATTGATAGCAATGGTTAAAAAGCCAGAAGGGTTCATCAAACCTGTAGCTCTTGCTCAGTCGGTACCCGGGCAGTAGCCCACGACTTCATAAAGGTTGGTGATCCCTGATCTAGTTATTGTAGAAAGTAGCCTATACCTCCGAAAATATTTTACGGTCCCCCTTTGGTTCGTGCACCTACACAAGTAAATCTCCGTTGTACGTTAGTTGCAAAAACTGAATTTATTTTTTATGTATAACAAGCGTAGTAACTGCATCCTGGCATACCACTGTTCACATAATGTTAGATTGAAATAAGGCCGGTCTTATTATCAATTTTTATCGCAGAAATGTTAAGTAATCGGTTGTTCTGCAAATGATGGACCGATCAGCTTTGAATTCCAGTAATAAATTATGAAAGAAGTCGCTAGAAGGCAATTAATTCGTTCCTTAAATTTCTGCTGCTTAAAGTTGCAGTTATATAAATTTTATTTCATAAAAACACATTTTTACAATAGACCTTGCCATTTTTCTAACAAAACCCAATGCTCATCTACGACCTTTCCACTACTGGCGTGGATTGCTATGGTAGTGTATTTGTAATTTTGAATTGAATAATCAGGTGACGGGTTGAAATCTTGGTAGAAAATGTCATATGATTAGTTATCTGACCTTTGTCTCCCTAAATTTGAGCAGTGCTCTCTTGTTCATATTATAGCGGTGCTTCCGAAGTATGTGTACCAAGATGGCGCTCAACCTGAAAATAGTATGTGTACCAGGTTAGGGTTCAAGTTTTGTGTCAACTTGGTACACATACTTCCGGAACGCCTTATAAGCTATCGATCAAAACAAAAAAAATGGAAACATCTACTTGTGAGTAAGTTTGTTTTTAGTTTTCTTTTTATTGCACCTCATTCTTAGAAAATTACGAACCACCTATCCATGTCTATGACCATACAGTTGGAATATCAGTTATGGGAGGACAAGTATACCGAGGATGTCAGATGCCAAACATGAAGGGAAAATATATATTTGGAGATCTGCTCGGGTTCGTCTGATATATTCTATAACATTTTAATGTTCTTTTATGATATATACAAACCAGTGCTTAGCAATATAATATGCACCAATGTCCAGTTACTGTGAGTAAGTGATGATAAAATAATCGATTTATGCTGATTAAATACGGCTTGGCTGAAACATCTACGTATATTAGAAAAATTTACACTCACAAACTCAAATTTTTCCTAATTTGTCTCCACACCAGCCGTACAATCTATATCGGGTTTTGAAAAAAATTCGGTACTCCCAAAGTATGAGCACCAAGATGGCGCACAACCTGAAACTCTTACCTGGTACACATACTATGTTCAGTTTGAGCGACATCTTGGTGCACATACTTCGGGAGCATCAAAAATTCTAATTGGGCGGTAGAGGGCGTGTAGAGCAGCAAAATTTCCTCAAACAAACAGACTCTGTTATACGTTAACGTGATTCAGTCGTTCGGAGCAACATTCGACAATGAGATTGCAAACTTCAAAACACATTTTTGAATAAATCAGTAAAGGGTCAAAAGATCCGTTAGTTCTACCTCTCAACAATCAATTAGTTTTGATTTTATTAATCTCAACTGGCATTCCCTTCAGGAAAATTTTCCAGTTAGAAGAAGATTCTCAAGGGAAATGGATGAATGAAACCATATGTATTGGATCCGCAAATATTTGCAAAAATGGTGGATTGCAAAGTACTCGCGCCAACTTTATATTGTCATTTGGGGAAGATGAAAATGGTAATTTTATAATGTACCTAGTTTACCTAGATTTCTACCACATTTTCAAACTCGCTTTTTCGCTGTATTTATCGAATGTGCCCCGTAAATTAATTGAAAGATTTTATCAGAAGAAAAAAAGCTTTTTTTTTAAACATAGATGAAATATTTTGGCAATTGCACATTTTTGCTTGAACTGGTGCGAAAAAAATGGTTTTCTTGGTAACTAATGGACCAATTGATTTCAATTTTCAATAAATAGAAATAGATATAGACGCCAGGAAGCCAAAAGTTACTTGTATGTTTTCACAAATTTTTATTCCAAATTTCACTGTTTTGTTTTAACTCATGACAGCACTGTTTTTATTCCGTCAAACCTGACATTCGCGACTTTCGTTTCGATTTGACCAACTATGTCCTCAGTCACATTCCCGCGTCAGTCCCATACGATACCAGCGATACTGCGCTTAGTAATTGAATCTATTTGTCCAAATAAATGAACCTCACAGTTGATAAACGATGCTTACTGAACGTCAAAAAATTTTACGCGTTGAATAACTATTTGGGATAATCAGCATATATTGTTAACGTAACAGATCACGTAATTTATGTAAATCCAAACAAAGTGAGAAAATATACGATTTATATGAGGTTTTTAAAAAGAAGAATAAATCATATAGTATAAATCAATTGAATATTAAGTTAATATGATGATTATATATCTGTCTTCAGAACAAGTACGATTGTTTTAAATTATATATCTTAGAAATACCTCTGCATGGCGATTCAAGTTGTATAGGACCTCTATATACATATATTGCATCATTTCTTTGCCTTTTACGTCATTTTATGCTTAATTCCTCTCTAGTCCGCCCGCGCGCGTGAAACGATTTCTATTGAATTCAAACGTTGAAACAATGGATCTATCGAGAATGCAATTTTTTTCAGGCGAACTTTACATAATCGGTACAGATGACTTCTCGCCAGGAAATACCGCCGGAAGAATTTACAGGCTGATAGACCCATCACGAAGAGGGGATCCTGATATATGTCCGAATCCCAAAGCGAAAGGGGTCATTTTAGGAGCAGGGACGTCAACTATACAATATAAAATTAACTGATCCATCACAGATGATAAGTTTGCTAAACCACTACAAGGAGTTTTAGTTTGATTCATTTCTTGATTCATTCATCTAACATGACCTCGATAATAAATAAACGCCACTATCACAATATGATAAATAAATTTGCAAGTCATGAATAGTTGCAATTAATTTTGCAACTTGTGTCCAATTTCTCATATCGGCGATGAATTAATTGAGAAATAAAGTGCGCGGCAGCTAAATATATTTCAACCGGACTCGCGAAATAGGTCAAAACGCACAAAGAAATGTCGTGTCTCAGATATTACACGCAACATCCGGAGTTGAAATATCTTTACTCTATACTGTATACCAGGGAATACGATTTCCGAAAATATTCACCTGTGTGACTTGAGAACGAGGTATAACCTGCCATCGAATAGCAGTAACATTCTATTGGATGGTAAATATTAGATTAAGCAGTGTCTCATTTTTACCAAGTGTTCTGGCGCAATTCAGCTAATGTTTATTCGGGAAAGAAATGTATCCTCGTATTACACGACGACTTGTTTCAGTTCATTCTATTGTTTGCTTCTAACATAAATGTGTCAGACAGGCGAACCGTGCGTGATTTTAAATTTCATTGGGCGGCGGACACTGGGCAGTGTTACCTCTAAGAAAATTTCACACTAAACAGATGGTTGTTTCACGGAGCATGTACATTTTAAGCATGTACAGAGTCTTAAATGATTACGAACTTTGGAAACTTGGAGATATAATAAACTTAAACGGCGTGAATTAGAAGCTCATGGCTTTGGGCCGGCAATGACGTCGTAGTAATTCCTGACATACCTTTTGAAGTAATAAATAATTTATGTCACATGAATATTATATACAGAATCTAGCGAAAATCACGTATCTATCATATCACGGGGTAGGTATCATAACATTAACAATACGTCATGCCCGAGCCATTACGGTATTACGCTTCATAAGCATATTGTCGCGTACGCAACATTCATACATTTGCTTGGGGGGCTGCTATGTTATTTTTTTTGTATTTTTTTCAAATTGCGGATCAGTATCTTAAAGACACGTCATATCCGATCCATAACGGTATATCGCTTCGTAAGCATGCTACTGCGTACAATAGTCATCTTCTGGAGGATTTGGTACGTGCCATGCACCAACAGAGCACAGACGTCCGCCCCGGTCTCCTGTATATGCTATGTGTAACACAGCATACCTTTCACCCAAGCCTCCCGTCTATGCCATACGGGGCACAGTACAATTTCCGCCACCCGGCCTCCGTACATACCGCGTACAAGACGCAGCATGACTTCCACCGTGAAGCTCCCGATTCATCACATCCGCTTATATTGGATTAACAGGGTTAAAAATGGGTGTTTTTCAGGCGGTTTTGGCATTGTGTCCGGTCTACCATTTGTGGTGGCTGGAGAGAAGTCATCGTTGTTCAAAATGTTACGTCGACGAATACCCGTTTAGTATTTCCTTCCAATTTGTCCTGGGTCCGAAAAATTGTATATCTTTGAATTTGTTCTCCATTATAAAAAGGAATTCTGCAATTTTTAGTGTTATCGCTCTTACTATATTTTTTATCAGTGGGGGCGATAACCATAAGTCATACAGTCCTATTCTAGGATAGTTCCAAACGAATTATCAGGCTTATACCGATATTAACTTAATGTATTGTTCCTTAGACGTAGTCAGTTCATCATGTTCTTTTCAAGAAATTTGAACTGTAATGTGACATAATGTGTGTTGGGACATATATGCTATATAGACGTAGAGTAAAAGGATGAGAACAGGGTGTGGACAGATAGTTGCGTAGAATAAATATAACCAACATTAACTCGAAAAAGAATAGTCAGACAATAAAATATATCTTGGAATTCATTAAAAAAGTTTGATGACGCCACATAATTGCGTTCATCTTAGACTTAGAGTCACCCGTCACACAACGTTACCAGAGAACAGGGGTGGCTTAAGTGAAAATATTGATATGAAAAAAAAAACGGTATAAAACCATCTAACAGTATGTGAACCGCTACAGCAAAGATACTTTCCAGCAGGCTGTTAAAGCGTTTAGGATAGGACAATACAACTGATCTGTTCATTTCTCTCAACAGGTTTTGCTACAGTGTGTTTTGGGAGGTGTAGGAAAGTTAGGAAACAGTAGCCTACAACTTTAGTTGGGTCATAAAAGCTTGATGCTACTTTACAATTTATTCTGTCACATTACAAGCGTACTTATTTGATTTCGACGTGCGCTTTTCCTTGCAATCAGATTTACTTCCAGGGCATATCAAGATTTCACTCCTAATTGGATTCGAAGTTTCCATATGCGCCGTTTCGTGTTAGGGTGACCGACATTTGTCCTTCATTTCGTTTTGCGAAAGCAGTGTTATTTCAGCGTGAACCACTTCTTATTTGACCTACTCTGATGAAAATTGGCCTGACATGGTATCGCTATAAATATAATAGCTAAAAATGTAGCTCATGTAAGACATAAAGTTACTATAAATTGTTAATGTGTGAGAACTATCCATATCTCTACATGACTCGCGAAATCTGCTAAAAGGCTGAAAAAATATATGCAGTTTTTCGTTTTTTTGACTCATCATCCGAAGATGGAGTATTCTCAATCTATGTAGATGCCAGATGGCTAGGAAGACATCTAAAATAATGTAATCTGTTATTAGGTTTATGGGTCCCTAACGACAGTATATTCTTTTCACTTTCTTTCCTGACATAAATGCGACGTATTTTACTTACTTTAATTTCCGCACCAGGTATAAAACTTGGAGTACCAATGGAAATTTCTCACTCGGTGAATACGGACGGCCTCATGATTCAAATGAATGTCTCATTGAATAAATCTGACGTCATATGGAAAATATAAGTGTGGTCAAGTTATCGTTGAATGTTAAGTATTTTAATATGAAATCAGGCTCTTGAACTTGGTCGTTTTATCTGTACATATATCGAGAATTGATATCTAGTTATTGAATACACTACTCCAATCGAATGGCTGGAAAACATCGTGATCATATTGGATGTTCGCACAAAGATGTCAAATTATTGCATTGTTTCATAAAAATTTCTCATAAACAGTTCATCTAGTTTCTTCAAACCAAACAATAGGTAATGTAGTCCTTGTATATGGACACAGTAGCATATCTGAAATCTTATTTAATAATTGAATTTGGTGACGGAATTTACTTATTGTGAAAACCTTATTGATTCGTTGTACCGGCCTTTTCGGTCCTTTGGTAAAAATGTGCAACCATTCCCGACCGCTGAATGCTGTTGGTAAAAAGGGGGGATTCCCGAGGTATGTGAACCACGATGGCGGACACTGGAACGTAGTATGTGTACCAGGATAGGGTTAGGCCATAATTTTATACATATTTTCTTCACTTTAGTTATATTACGAGTTCGGGGACTAGCCAAGTGACTCCCGTAGTATTTGTTCCTGGAATTATGGCCCAACCCTAACCCAGTATGTTCCCCAGCTTTTTATTTTATTTTTTCTTAAAAAAATGGTATGTATTTAAGAAACTATGTATATGAGGGGCTCCCCAAGTTTATTGACGGCGAGCCAAAATCCACAGCAGAATAAAATTGTAGGGCCAGAAAAGGGGAGCGAGGAAAAGTGCGAGACGACACGGCTGGGGTTCAGGGCGCTTAAGAAAATTTTGAGAAATAGGCACCAAAATAGGCTCTAAGCTTGATTTTAGATACACCTAGCATCGCGGTTTGTTATGTAATAAAATCAATAATTATAATATTTAGCTGATAGAATTCCCGGGAAATAGATAACAAGCACGACTTTCAACCGTAAATATATATATACTACTACGTTTCAACAAGTAATTTGCAACTGATAGTGACTAATTAGGTTACTTGCTCATCTGGCATTGTATGAATGGCTACTTATGGCTTGTTTTGTTACACATTTCACATTTTTTTGAACATGTGTGTTTGACTTTTGTATGAATTAAATTTTGAAATACGCGCGTCAACTGATCATAATGGCGCATAATGTTGTATTCCTTCAGAACTGAAATATTTTGTTGGTAAGAAGACAAATCGCTGAAGTTTGATTCTTTTCAATAAAGAAATAAAAACGCTGTCATTCATCTAAAAATCGTCTGTTTTCAGTGCCTAGTTTTCGTTTTGTGACATCTTTGAGCTTTCTTAATATACGGCAAATATCTAAAATACTGAAGTGTGTAATTCTAATACCCATACGTATACATAAGATACCGGTATAATTCAATTGTTGCGAAATAAACGTGCTTAAACTGTGATAATGATGTAACAATAGACGGTATCTAAAACTCAAATAGTACTACATGAAGGGTTAGCTCGTTAAACTATTTCACTCAAGTTCGGCGGGCCATTTTAAATCGTCACGCCGGCCGTAATTGGCCCGCAGACTGCGGTTTAGAACCCCTCATCTACACTGATAAATATGCCATAGTCGTTATATTTGAATACAATTATACTTGAGTTAGGAAATAAAATGTGGAATCGCACCTCAAAATTAGGGGGGGTGTTTGAAATTTTAGGGGGGGGTGTTCACCCCCTATAGGGGGGGTGTAGGGAAATCACTGCCCTAACCTGGTACACATACTACGTTCCGGTGTCCGCTATCTTGGTTCACATACTTCAGGAGTAACAAAAACTGTACAAAAAATTCCTGTCCACCCCTCACCTGCCTCAAATGGTTTCATGCGTCTGAAACGTCTTTTGTAGCAACTCGATGTATAACGTAAATGCCCTGTGAATCTTTCCAACCAATTTTCCCCCACAAGTGCGCTCAGTATAAGAAAAGAGAGCACTGCTTGGAGTCGGTCTAGTTTTTCAATGGGGTGAGGGCAAACTATGGCTTTTTTCCAATGTACGTGGATACAATTGCACGTGTCTGCAAAAGTACGCGGGTGCAACAGTACAGGTGCTAATGTACGCGGGTACGAAAGTACGCGGGTGGGAATATGTACGGGTGCAAATGGACATGGGTGTAAATATCCGCGGGCGCACATGTACTGGGTGCAGTGGGTACAATTGTCCGTGGGTGCAAATGTCCGTGGGTGCAAATGTACGAGGGTGCAAATGTCTATGGGTGCAAATGTACGTGTGAACAAATGTTCATGGGTGCAAATATCCATTGGTGCAAATGTCCATGGTTGCAAATGTTCATTGATGCAAATATCAATTGGTGCAAATGTCCATGGTTGCAAATGTTCATGAGTGCTAAAATCTGCGGGTGCGAATGTATTGGTGCAATTGTTCGTGGTTGTAAATGTCCTGGGTGCAAAGATAATCGGACCCGTAAATATATGGTTTGTGAAAGTAAGCTAATGTCGAAAGCCCGTCATCCCATTTTAAATATAAGTTTAACGTCGCGGTTTTGACTCTTATACCATAAAACATAACATAAAAAAATAACAAAAAAAAACTAACAAAGTTATTATGATTAACGATATTATAGATTTAATGTAGCAGAAAAATATGTTAATAAAGTGATCATCTAAAATAAATTCTAGAACAAAATGCAAATTCACGGGCATTTCGCCTCGGTAATTCGATCATGCCGTCTTGAGTGTAACGCATAATCGAAACTTTAGGTTACAAACTTTGTTATTCGACTTAGACTTATACGTTTAATCGCAGACGAATTTTCAGATCTCGCTAAAAGTTTTTGAATGTGCTACCCGGGGAAACCCGAAAGACTATCCCGATGTTGGTACCCCTTTCGCAGTTACGTGCGTCACTGCTCTCTAGTCCAATCGATGAGCTCGAAAACTCTGTAAACAGAAAGTTATGTCGCACAGAGCTGCAGTCATAACGTCGATATATCTAAGCATTTGTAGTTCTAAAGTGTTTATCAGGCGTACTGGTGTTAACATTGTACATTGTCTTGCACACGTAGCCAGCTCAGCCAATTCTAATATTCTTGAACGCAACACAATACCTAAATTTGAATTAAACTATCGTTCATGACTTGTATATACTCACGTAGGGTGAAAGGATAAAGACAATGTATGGACAAAAAAATCTAATAAATTGTTTTCTAATATTCTGAGATCAGTAGCTAAAGAATATAAGCAATAGTAACTCGTTAATAAGCAAGTAGAATTAGGATATTGTTTTAGAAAAATTGAGTACTGTTTATTGACGCCAAGTAATTGCAAGCATATCAGGGCTACTCGTAGCATCACCTTAAAATAAGTTTTCATGATTGAAATGTTGGAGCAAGTGCTTTGAAATGTTGGAGCAACCGCTTTGATGATCATCATACAAGCGTAGGACGTATGTTGAAAATTCAAGATAACTTCGGCTGCTTCGAGGTTTACCAACCTTCCCTTATTTCAAAGGACAGTATTTTATTGGGCTCTTCTGTCCTTGTCCTTTCAATGGTGTTGGAAAGCAGGCTAATTGTTCCTGGCATATCTCATACTACACTAGTTGCGAAACATATAAAAGTTGAAAAATATTGAATAATGACTGGTATGCACAGTAAACAATCGTGTACCTAAGTCGTTCGTTACAAACGCGTATCGTCTTCAAGTAGTTTTGCTTGTCGATAAAGCTCAGTTGAGGGGGACAAGTTGCCAGGGACGAAATTGGAGTTCGCATGTCCGCGATAGGATATCATCTTTATAGCTAATTTGTTGGGTACCTTTAGGACAGGCACGGGGACGTTTTACAGTGGTAACTAATTGAGGCGTTTTACTGTTTCTGTGCAATACCCAGTACATGTGCAGAAATACCAATAATGAACTGATAAATTACGTCTAATATCGTTGTGTTGGAATGTCTCCATATCATGAAGTGTCACCGGTGTAGGGTGTAAACTGGCGTATTATCGTTTTAAATGGTTTTCATCCGAAAGCCGTAATTAGTCATTTTACCTTCGTATTCATTTATTTGAGCATTGATTTCTAGTTTTTATGGTATCACTCTGTGAATCTCAGAATACTTAATCAAAGTCGTACTCGTTTCGCAATTACATGCGTTTTCCTCTACTCCAGTCCGTCCATTCGATGGACTCAAAAACGTTGTAATCATGAAAAGTAAGTTTGCACAGAGATTGCTTCGTATATCTAGGATTGAATCTCCAAAACGATTTATTGCACTACATCGTAGAAGTATTTCCTTCTAGTTTTCTACAAACCAAACGAATGGTTTGCGACATACACACAAGAGCACGATGTAAGGATAAGAATAAAGTGCGTACAAAAAGAGAGTTCTGTAATAAAAATAGGCCTTAATTGCGGCTATGAAGTGCAGTTTGTAACAGTTCCTACCTATACACAATAGTGACTCCGTATATGGACAGAGTAGCATTGGTGACGACATTCACTTATTGCAAACATTGCAAATTAATGCGCTGTATCGGCCCATTCAGTTATAGACACAAAATTGCGTAAACTACCGTATATCAAATATTTTGGCGTGATTCACGGTAATAACACGGTAGCAAATTATAGCTGTGCCAAACATAATCCCAGTTTAATAACTGATTAAATTTAGCTTAATCCTCGTAGATATATGACTAATAAACGATTCAATCGATTTATTGAGAATATTGTAGATCCAGCAGAAATCGTCTGGCGTCTTGAGTGTATCACCCAATCCTACAATACTTGACATTCTAAAAAAATGTCAAATTTTCTACTTTTGCAAATGCAAACGAAATTTTAGGTTTGATAAAATACAAGCTTTTTTATTTGACTTGGTCTTATACACTTAATCGCAAACAGATTTCATAGGCGTTTTCAGATCTCGCTTAAAGTTTGTGAATGTGCTACCCGGGGAATCCCTGAATGTTAACCCGATATCAGTACCTCTTTCGCAGTTACGTGCGGTAATGCTCTCTGGTCCAATCGATGGGCTCGAAAACTTCTGTAATCAGGTGGGTTCGCACTGACGTGCAGTCATAACGTTGATATATATAATTATTTGCTGTTCTAAAACTGTTTATCAGCCTTGCTGTTTACATTGTGCATTGTCTTGTAGACGTAGTCAGCCTAGCCAATTCTAATATTCTTAAACACAATACAATATGTTAAATTTAAACTAAACTTCATTACATATATACACACTCAATGTGAAAAGATAAGGACAAGGTATGGACAGATGGCTGAGTATAAAAAACCTAACAATTTGTTTAAAGTGAGACTTTGAGATCAGCAGTTAAATGAATATAAACAATAGTAATTCGTTAGTAAGCTCAGAAGAGTTTAAGATTTCGTTTTAGAAAAATTGAGTATATTGACGCCATTTAATTGCTAACGTCTTGGTGCTACCCTTAGCATAACGCTAGTATACGTTTCATGATTGAAATGTTTGTGCCAGTGGCGTAACATCCACCCCCGCAACCCCCGCGGTCGCGGGAGGGCCCACAGCGCAAAGGGGCCCAAGCGGTTAGAATTTATAAATTTAAGCCGCAAACCAAAAGATGCAGTGCAAAACAAGTAATGCACATCTTATAACGTTGATGTTAGTTCGGCTCAAATCGTTTTGTTACGTAACAATGCCAGGAAGTCGTCGATTTTTGGCGTCTTGTGGTTTGATCACACCGGCAAAATTACGAAGGCTGTCAGAATGATGTCGAGAGCAAAACCTCTTAGTGGCGAACAGAAACGCAGAAAAAGGACAGAAGAGGAAGAACGTATGAAAAAAATTAAAGTAACCAAAATTAACGGCAAATTTTAGGTTACTATTGCCTTTTTACAGCGACATGTTGTGCTTTTTGACGAAATAAAAAAAAGCGTTGTTTTAGCTTATGTCCGAGAGTTTTTAGGGTAATTTCCACGAAATATTTTTGCGGGGGGCCCACGAAAGTCTTGCTACGCCACTGGTTTGTGCAATTGCTACCAATTACCCAGCTGCTTCGATAATTTTCAATATAAAATGTGTCGTGCAATTGAATTTTCTTTTTCAAATGTTAAATATTAAGCAGTGTCCTTTACCAGGTTCGACAAATATTTACTCTTGTGATTTCAGAACAAGAGGTATTGTGCTATCGCTTGCAGCAAGTTGGATAGCCTGTAGCTGCCACGTATTCGGCCTCAACTCTGCAAACATTTCCCAATAATAAGATGTATTCTGATATCACATTGCGATATGTACAATTCAATAAAATTTGTTTGGCCATTCCACATAAATGTTTGCCTCTAGCACAGCAGCGTCTGACAGGCGAACAATGAGCGTTCAAAAATTCTATTGGGTTATGGAGCATCCTATCCAGGTTTCGTGACGTCAAGTCAAATACAAATTAACTTCGACGGTTTGCTATAAAAACTTACTATATATATTAGGTATGCGTCGGCATCAGATTCTTGCAAAATTATAAAGGAAAGTGCGTATTCAACTTATCGTGGTGGCGGAAAAAAATTTAGTATAAGTTCCCGATATTATTGATTGTTTACGATACGATATATCAAACGACGACATAGATATATGAACTTTGCTTGATGATTGTTTGATTTTTCATGTTCATTATTTACGCATCTATATGTTAATCACGTAGATTAATGGCGGACATACAGAAGGAGTTTCTACTTGAATGCGTCAATATATTATTTGATCGCTGTTTGGGCCCGAAAACGTTTCAAGACTATTCAGTATATCTATCACTTAATGACTGCATATCCAAAGGTAAGTTTCCGATTCTGCGTGTAATTAATTGAATGCACCTAAAAGATCTCCTTGTGATGAAGATTGTTTCACTGAAGGTGAAATGAAAATAAGTTTTAAGCCTTTTCGTAAAATCAAGTTAAAAATCAAGTTTCGTGAAAAATCAATACAGAATGAATATTACCTGTACAATTTTTTCAAATGTCATAACATTTAAATTTGGGATTGCAGAAAAATGATAATAGGCGTTTGTTCAATTTAGAGAGCGGAAAGGGTAATCCATTTATTCAACAATATAATATGAATATTATAATCATATTCGGATATTTTTGCATTTCAGTATTATATTCCTGTAATTCATTCAGATTTCGGATAGCCTAAATTATTTCATTTTTATCACAAATCCTATATCTGAGATTCAGTGTGGTGCATAACTTAACTATATATAATGTATTTAAAATGAATTATATTAATTGTTCGTTAATCGAATACTGTATAGTTCATTTAGAATGTATTGATTATTTGCACACGCTCATGATGAATTTTTGAAATATTTTGTTGATATGGGAGTATTTGCTAATAACCGGCATGTGGGCGAAAAATATGTATTTTATTTTATTCACAGATCAAAGAAGGGAACTTCAGACGCTCGAAAAAGCGGAAGGTTCTTTTGCTGCTATTACCCAAGCTCATAAATACGCAAATGTTACTGAAATAATTACAGCTTTTCAACAAGAAGGTACATTTCTTACTCGAAGATTTGAACAAAACTTATTTTTTTGTGCCTGGCAGGAAATGGCAATTCATATTATACGCACTCAGATAACATAACTGAATTGCAATAGAGTATTAGCAATGCTGAATCAATTTCGGAGACCAATTCATACTTGAAAAAACTAGGACAGAACTGCAGCCAGTGGGGGTTATGGTGTCCATAACAACCTTTGGTGGATTTTTTGACCATTTTATCTTCCGTTTAAAGCAGTGGTTCGCAAACGTTTTAAGCCGCGCCCCCTTTTCAAGTCTCGCGCTTTACATCCAAAATAACTAGCTAACACTAAGCTACAGATGACAGACAGTTGGGCGAATGTAAATTTTATAAAAAAAACACGTCGAAAATACGTCGCATGGAACGTAAATATCCAAAATAAAAAAATCTAAATATGCAAACTAAGGCGGGCAAGATTAAATCTAACAAAAAACTATATTTTTAATTAGCTTCACGCCCCTCGAAAAATTTAGCGCAATTTACGATCAGCGCATCACACTTTTGTGGTCCAAACTATTTTATTCAATATTTCAGTCTATTATTATAATTTAACATCTTCAGACGTTTTGATAGAATCTGAAGAATGTGACTTCTGAATATATCTCAGAAGTGTCGAATAATCGAGAAATAACAAATTAACGATAATCAAGAGAGAGGACTATTTTTTTGATCTTCCATAGAAATGCCTATGAATGACTTTGTCCCTGTCAAACGCTGAATAGCGTTTACGTCTTTTTCAACACCCTGGTATCAGTATGTTAATAATTGATCTTTTAAAAGTAGATAACTGTATTGTGTATCACGAGATACTAGACTATTCAACCTCTCAAAGCATTCACTTACTTCAATATTATTCACCATGGATTATTAATTGATTTTAATAACCTTGAAAAAAGATGAGTGTGATTTTTACAGTTCATGCACATTTAACCAATTCTATTTGTGAAGTTGTTTCTGAATGCGAACGACAAAAGACAAAATAGACGATGAGACGTTGACAAAATAGACGCAATGCAATTGATCAACGTTGTTTCGCTATTAATTAAAGTCAGTCTCGCAAGTTGTTCTCTTCAAACGCGACGACGTTACACATTTCTCGTACTGTTTTAATTCAAGTCTATACCCTTTAAAAATCCGCACTTTTATGCTAAGAGTAATAATAGTATATATTATCAAAGTTGAATCAGGAACAAACCGACTTGCTTCATCGAAAAATTGGCGACAACATTATTCCCGTATGAAAATGTCTCAGAAAGGAAAATAAAAAATATTTTACTAAATCGAAATTGATGTTTAATGTCAAGTTTTAAATCATTCACCATTGAATTAGTAAAAGTCGGTATTACTGTATCAATAAGGCACGTAAAATAGTCTCATAAATACAATCTAAATCACGGGTGAGCAACAAGCTCAAGTACTAAATGCTAATCCGACAGCTTATATTATAAAAAGCGCTCACATGGATGAAAATACACGAGTTTTTCTCTTATTGCTATTTCGCCGTTTTGCCCAGTGCCTTTATTACTTAAAGGGAAGGCGATATATGCATTCTTTTTTTCTTTCCCGCGGCTCTCTGGGTGCCGCTGGGTATTCAATTCGTTGATTGCATAGTAAACATATATAAAATTATATGTTATGTTATAAATATTATTACCATTTCGAACACCCTCTACTTGTTCGAGATTTTACTCTCAAATTTGTCATCGAATCTGTGTACGAATTCCGAAAGGCAGCGTACATGTGAAAAAGTGAAGCAAATCCAAACTTAACTCGTTTCTATGACTCCAAATTTCGGGTATAGGGGAAGAATTCCTTTTCTGCGTGTCCTACTTCTATACATACGTTAGCGGAGTGAACCGCAATCTGAACTCCTCAGAGGTCAATCAGCACACCATAGATTGCAATGCCAATGTTCATTTGTTGTAAAGTTGCAGGATCGAATTGAAATCAAACAGATATAAATCGAAATATACACTTAAGCCTTAATACCTGTTATACGGTTGATATTCAAATCAGCAATATTGCACAAAACATGAAAAACACTTTTTTGTCAACTCTCGAATGGAGGCCAGAAACACGTCACAGATCGGTCGATAGAAAGAAATGAATGCATAAAGAGTAAAGCCATTGCTACGAAATATCGCCATCCGGAAGATTGCCATAATGACCTATTTTCATTGAATTCAACATGCTAATAATACAAAGTGTTAAATACAATAAAATCCATGGTTACATTCCACATTCGCTATTGAGGCAATTTAACTTTTTTTTCTTCATTTTTTGTCATATAACAGAAGACTTTTTCGGCAATGGAAAAATAATTGATGTTGTTCAAAAGCTTAAAGAAGAGAATGAATTTTTAACTGAAATTTATTGGCTGTTCAAGTCATGGGACGAGTTGATTTTATACCAGAAGGATATATGGCATGTTGTTAGAAAGATATGGCCTGAGTAAGTACTATGATATGCAATTCAGTACATTATAGACTATAGTTGTGCAACATATATTTATTGAATTTTTCATTCTTTGAAGTAATTAATATTGCATTGTATTACTGTTGTAATATTGTATTACTAGGAAATAAAGGAAACTCGGCTAAACCTTTTGAACCCAACCCACTTTATAACTAAGAGGAATCAATAAAATGCATAGACGTTGTTTGTTTTGTAAATAAGCTTTAAAACTGTGGTAATCAACTAGTACTTACATTTTCGTAGAATAAAAAGCGATTATTTCAAATCGGAGTACGGCTTGATAAATTATTGTTTTTCACGTGCCATTCTTTCTACTCAATATCATAAATTCAATTTCTCCAGGCTTGTCATCCATTTGCCCACTTTCGTAAACAATCATTTTTGGAATAAAAAACTAATGGCCTTGAATAGCTCGTAACGAGTTATCTGAGTTCTAAACTTACCTTTGCGATGTTCCAATCTCTCAAACGATTTTGCTTCAAATATATTGATAGAATTAACATCTTTGCGCTATTTCAAGTTAATATTAGAACATCATAAATATAAAAAAATAGGCAATTATTGAAAATAAGAACCTGAAGTTTATTTTCTGTTAGAATTAAATTGATGGATGACTGGCCATTGGATTTTGTTCATTTTATTCTCACATCTCCAGAAGGAAGAACGAATCTGAAAAATTTCGTACAAGTTGCTAATGACGTCGTGGCTGTAAGATTATTTTATGGCTGTGCATCAATAGTGTATCTATCTCTTCACGACAATTTTTGTGTACTTTTGTAATATTTAGTCTCCTTCATCATACATATTCTTGCCGTCGTGCGTACACCATCAAGTGCTCTTGATACAAACTGTTTTTAATCCAGTATTACCATTTTTAAAACCATGTCAAATCATGTTAAAAGGCAGTGAATGCGTGGCTAAATTTTCATCTAATTCTCATCTAACTTATTGCTATGTTATTTAATAGTATACAAGATTTTTTTTTTTATCAATGAAGGGTCAAAAAAAATTAGCTGGTTCTGGAAATTCTTCTGAAAGTATTCTGCAAGATTCAACTCAAAGTAAGAATGTAGAGTCACTTTTTATTCAGAAACAAAAAAATTATTAAATTATTAATTAAATTATTAATTTTTAAAAATTGACATGGTTCTGAGGTTTTGAGAAATCTTCACCTTGTTCACACATGGCAAATTGCACAATGTAGTGCATGTAATCTTAGGGATTCGCATTCTTATTGGTCGCACGTTCTGCGACTATATTTCTGTATGTTATCGTTCTTGAATCGCGTTGCCAAAGGTGCCTAAAATAAAATCATTTTGTCTAAACCAGTGTTTCCCAAATTTTTTTTTGGCAGCGCCCTCTTGGGCAATTGTTTGACGTTTTGAGTCTCATCGACTGACATGGTCGATAGGATTTCTCTTGATATCTAGTAGCACGGCACTAAGCGCGAGCATGAGCTGGCAAATGCAATAAATTATACCCATAAATGGGAACCAAATACTTCTTGAATACTTCCACGGAAATAAAATAAAAATTATTTAACATTATTTACGCTTAAATTTCTGTTTATGTATGAATATACCCAGAAGTATCAGAAATCTCGAATGCTTCGTACAAAAGTTAGGGTAGGCATTTCTAAAAATGGCGTAATCGGTGTGTATTGGTTTGAAGACGAAAATGAGTTCAAACGGTAAGTTACGGGGTTCTGCCGAGAAAGTTTGAGGTGATCAGCAGTGGTTCCAGCATGACGAGGCGACTCCTCAATACGGATTTAACAAAAAACATAATATCCTACGTTAAACGAGAAATTTCCAACACCGAAATCATAAGCAAACTAGGCTGAACCAAAACATAGCAGTAAATTCAAATGACGGATAATACCACACTTCTTGTGATTGAGTGATGTTTGCGCCCCCAATCGTCCAGTTTTACTGCCAGAGACCCCTAATTACCCAAATCGCCATCCGAGCCCCTCGAGTCATCGCAAACGCCCACAAGGGATCGTTTTCGCCCACTTTGGGAACCGCGAGTCTAAACTATACGACGTGGGTAATAAACAGTTTATGGACTCCAATTTGTTCTTGTTGCTCTCATTTCAATTCGAAAATCGATTTAATATCAGATAGAATGATTATCTGCAATATTCAATTCTGAGTCGTGAAAATCGCTTCCTAGAACCTTTCTTGGCACTATTTTATTCTTCAGATAGATAAGGGGCATTTTCTAAAAGCATGGATGCTGTGAATATGTTTTTAAACTTGTTGACGTGACTTTCTTAAGTCAAAGTTTAAAAAATGCGTAAACCAATGCAATAAAAACAATATTGGGAAACACGATTATTTTAAAAGATATAAGACATATACGTGAAGGTGATTTCGGCTCATATCGTCGTCAAAATGAATAACTTTCGATATTTCCTTGTCTCGTGTGGAACTTTCAAGTAGGTATTTTCTAATAAATTTCTCACTAAATAAATGAAATATCGCATGAACCCTAAAAATGTAACTTTGCTTTTGTGCATTTTCAATTTAAATAACGACGGTACCTTTTTAGTGAACCCAGCCTCCCCCGCGCAGTGAGCAAAAATAGTACCTATCAGATTCCAAGATTGTTCAAATATTTAAATATATAAAACCAGAACATTTTTTTTTATGAAACGAGGGCGTCTGGGAGAACGACGATGAAAACAGGGTTAATTTAATCAAAAGTTAGGCCATTCGGAGTAATAATTTGACCTACTTGTCCACGAGCAGTCACGTGTCCTTGAGCATTGCCCTTTGGTATGCATAAATTAATATTTATTTTCCATGCATGGATAGATGATGCTCTAGCACGAAAGAATTTTAATGTTTATGCAATAATACTAATAGATGTCAAAAAATAAAAGTAGTTTTAACGTTGGGGCAAACATCATTTTAGGATACCACTGGCTTAGTTATTGTCCCGCGCTCTCTCTAATAGGAGTTACGATTTACATTTACGAATATTTTATGGTACAATCGATTTCGTGCAATGTTCTGTACCTCCGCATACGAGGTCTTCGAGGAACTTTCCCCTTTATCCCGTGATCAAACGTATACTCAACTCGTTTTATCGGCTTTCGTATTTTGGAATACATGGCTAAATGCAAAAAATGAGCAAGCCTAAAAAATCAAAAGTAAATTTTTTTAAACACCTCAACCACGCTGGGCTGTTTTCGTAACCTTTTGCCACTGCTCAAACATCTGTAGAAATAACCTCGGCAGCTATTGCTACGTCAGTCACTTGCGGCAAACCATTTTATAGATATGTAGGATGAACAATAACAATCCAATACCGGTTTCCCACTTTAACACCTTCGTAGAACCTACCCATGGTGTTAATAGATTTGGCGAAAAATATTGCTTCCAAAACTTATTATTATTAAATCTTATCATCGACATTAGTTAAATCGAAGAAACACGATTAACTATACGAAGTTTTCAACAAGCATAACACATTTGGTTTAAACTAAAGCTATAAATAACCCTAAAACGCACATTGTCAAAAATAGCATTCATTAAAAAGTACATTCATTAAAAGACGCAGAATTATTTGCCGAATTATACTAAAACCAAAAATTATTTACATCTGAGAAGCACTATGAAAAAAAAAACTCTGGCAAGATACTCGTTGACGTGAACCCTCGCAGTCTAGTTTCTTCTGCCAGTAAAAATTCTGCTGCGTGGTATTTACGAGTGTCCCAAAAATATCGTGTCCCGCACTGATCCTACCTGTAAAATACTGTATATAGGTTATATAAATTCCGACATGATGTCACCGTAACAAGTTATTGTTGAACGCAGAAGTTTGAGAAATAGTATGCACATAAGAAAAACATGACTTGAACAATGAATTGGATAAATAAATTGGTTTACGGTTGTTAAAATGTACGTATCAAACAAAAATAGACGCGATGAAAATGAACAATAAAATCACTATATATAAAAAATATTTGGTTTTATTTAAATTCAAGATGGATTGAATTGTTCAAGATAACAATATGTTACAGATATTCTGGCTATTGAATTCATATCGAGTTGTGGTGATGTAAACAAGGTGTTTTCCTAATTATTCAACGTTCTACCTTAACTCTACAATACATATATATATTTCAAATTAATTGAAGGATGTACCGCGTACGATGCTTTGCTCATTTTTTATTCACCTAAACCATGGGTCATATATATTTTTGTGGTGAGAAAGTAGAATGTAGCGCATACATTCAACCCATGTCTGCATCCGTGAGAACCTTCAGTGGAAACTCAAACCAAATAATCTTATTGTGCAGTCTTCAGATATTTATTCATCCATCCCGTTATCAAGACCGATAAGTTTTTTGGTCCTTTTTCAAAACCTAATTAGCATGAATCTGAACAATTGAAAAGGGTTGACAACAATAGTTCAATCGTATTTTTACATCGTCATATCGGCATACCCAAACTATCGTTGAAGGTAATTTATTGTACTAAAAACGCTTCGGTATCCTTGACTTACACCATACTCATCAGGTGCTTGAGTGCACTTATTCATCAGATTTTTTGCCCCCTCACATTTCAAATATCAGATGTTTTGTCAACCTATATCCAATTCAAAAGTTGTTTTATCCACATACATTGAATTCAACAGGTGTTTTGTCCGCCTAGGTCTCATACACCAAAACTTATCTCACCTTCATCAGGTGTTCTGTCGGACATCTTATTCATCGGATTTTTGCCTATTTCGGATTTTGTCTGGTTTATTCTCTGTTTTACCTATATTTAAGGAGCGAAACTCTCATGTGTTATGTATTGCTGTATCGGGATTGTTTCCTTTTTTCAGATATTAAAGAAACAAATTAGATACTGCTTCAATTTAAACATTCTTAGGTCATAAGCACCTACTCGAAAGGGTTTATAATGATTAGATGCTAGCTACCTGGGTCAAAAAGCGTGTGACAATATGAACTTATAATTTTGTAATTCGGGCACTAATGTCCCTAACTCATAAAAATTGGCAGACAAATAGCAAGATTACAGTCACATTATACAGCTGACGATTAATTTATGTTTGCTTTGGTGACCATGGCGGACGAACTCTATGCCCAGCAAACATTACTACCGTAAGTTACGGTATATTCTGTAACAGAGCTAAGAATTGCTCCTTTTATTGGTAAAGTTATCTTAGTTAAACAGGCAACAACTTTTAACTTTACTTTTAAGTATTACACATTGTCTGAGTTTCCAACCAAATGATATTTATAAGTGATAGTTGCCACTCCATTATTCTATTACATTATTTTATGCCATTGTATTAAATTTAGAATTTGAGAAACATGATAATAATTCGGAGACCAACAACAACAGTAGTTTGTCATTTTCTACGGATTTCGAAGCTGGAAGTGAGTACTTTCAAATTTAAATTATATTTCATTGAGTAGCATTTATTCTTCCACTCTGTTATAGATGTCGGGAGTGCAAATCAGAGTCTTCCTGCTGTTACAAAAGTGAAAAAATTCGAGACAACAAAACTTTCTGTTGTTCCAACAGGTAACCTCAGGTTCTTTCTCACAACTGGAGGGCTGTTGATATTTTTTAACTGGCAAAATATTTCAAAGAAACCCAATATTGTTCACTCAGATGAGTGAACTTTTTTCGGGATCCATATTACAAATAGATAGACTTCATTTTTCAAATTCAGGTAGGTATTTGGCAGAGATAGTGGCTGGCCAGCAAAGTGTCAATATAACCATTGCTGTATTGCTAGATTGACAAAAGAGTGGCATAGTGTTCTTTCAACAAATATCTTCCCCAATAGCAGTCTGAGTATTTTAAAATGGCTTATGTTCTAGTTCAAATCAATGGTGCGTGGAAGTTAAATAATTACAAAACCAATCCATAAGTGGTGCAGAATGAAGGTGCAGTTGTGAATGAATTTTATTTTGTTAGAGATGGATTCACTATCCACATTTATAGTTGCTTTCCTTTTGACTATGTATTTGACCCTTCATTAGCTTTATTCAAGCTTTGCGAGATCTTAGTCTACTTTTAGTGAGTAGAGTATTATTAATTTACCAGAAAAAAAAATTGTTAACTGGTATTTCAAGGTTTCGAAAATTAAAAATGTGGATAGAATATAAGACAGGTATTGTTTGAGCAAGGGAAACAAACTAAATATTGTGTCAAAATTCATTATTTTCTTTGATGGCCAGTCATGAGCAACTTCCTTTTTGTTTTTTCAATCGCCCGATATAAGTGGATTCTCAAGTACTGAGTGCAAGCACAGTATAGGTTTTTTAACTTAGATTTACAAGTCTCGCGCCACACCAAACGGTGTTTTTAATTAATTTCTCCAACGTTGTTTTTATTGGCAAAGCGGGACTTATAAACATTAAAATTCATTTTGGCCTTGCTTTTATTTGCATTCAACAGAGGTAAAATACAAAAATGTGTTAAAACGTTATTGAAAATATGTTACATTGGGTGACAAGACAATATCAATTATGAGCATTTTGTGTTTGATACCACAAGACAGTTACAACCTCAGACGCTTGCTGACTGATGTAGTGGTTTGGTCTCATTTCTGATCTCAGATTTTGATAAATGGATATGTTTTCTGTAATATGAATGTGTTTATATTCTCTCGCCCCAAATTAGTAGTTTGGCACAAACGGCTGCACTGCCGCAATAAAATCAGTAAATTGCACTCTTCTGTGGCCTCATAGGAAGAGTGAAGTGCATATTGTGTAAAAGTGTATTGTGCAAAAATAAGCCATTCACATAATGCGGGAAACCTTGTAGGAATATAATTTATACAATGAGCTGAAATTGAAAGTTGTATATCTATAGTTTTCTCACAACTTTGTAGTGTCTCAAGGAAAAGACATAATTACAAAATCATTGAACAAAATGTTATTTTTATTTGCAATTATTGTAAAAAATGTATTACTGGTACCTAACTTTTTCCAATCAATAGAATGAAAAAGAAAATTAGTTGTTTGTTGAATATCAGTAATCACAAAAAATCCCAATACTGATATACTACTATTTCGTATCACAAAAAATAAAATCTTTGACTTGAGTACTATATATTGCTGTCTACAAAGAGAAAAGGCATTCATAATGTGAATCATGTTTTGGTGAATTAAACTCAAAAAGCATAAAAGTGTGATTTTACAAATTAATATGGCCCTACTGTTTTATTGCAAAGTTTTGGTTGCTGAGTGTTTGGTATTTTATTAACAATATATCAATTCAAGATGAGTGCAATATTGCATTTCATATTGTTTTACATGCATGTCACCAGTCATGCTGCACTTTTCCATATGACTTCCATTCCACTTTTCCATTTAAATATTTGCTTGCTTATCAGGAGAAAATGGAATAGTTTAATGGTAGGTAAGATTTTCATTATTGGTAACCATTTTAAGATATATATATATATAGAACACCCTTGCAAACCTTGCTATCTCAGTTTTAAAGCAGAAGGCCGATGACTTCATGTCCTTATTCAGAAATGCATTAAACTCAGAAAGTATATTAATGCAATTTTACAACCCAACACGATTTCCCATACACACCATAGTATCTCAATTTGCAAAAATGGTTAAAGCTATTTTATATTTATCTCACATGCAACATAGTGCATTCCTTTTCTTCTATTGCTCCTACTTTCACGTAAACAGGTATCACTGGAAGCTGAAAAAATAATGACATAAATGTCTGCATTAGCATTATCTAACATAATACCAATGCTTTTGTAATGTTTTGTCATATCAATTTACAATTTTTGATCTCAAATTAATTTCATTCTGACAATTTTTTGTAATCCATTTAAGTCAGTGGTGGAAAGGGATACTACTTTCCTGAGCAGAGCTGACTGTAGTTCATATTGGTAAAAGTTTTGATGATGTACTTACTCACAGGTCAATTAGAACTGCCAAGCTTTAAACAATTTGAATTGCCACAATAGATTGGTATTGTTATTAACTTGTCTGTGGAATGGTCTGGGAAATCATATAAATGAGATCTCAGATGGCTATGAAATTTATATTGGTCAAAATCAAGCATTGGGAACAGATCTGGATATTTGAACTTGGCACCTTCATATTGTTGAAATCTGGTCAATGTGTTATTAATATATTAAGATCTATAGTTTTAAAAAACTTTCATTCCCGAAACATAATTAATAATCTTCCTATTTTATCTTACATTCATTATCAGCTGATCGACACTCATCAGAACCAGATTTGTGGAGTGTAGACTTTGAGCCATCACTTTTTGATACAGTTACCCCCGAATCCAGTAGTTCCACATCACAAGGTTAGAGATATATATTTGCTTACTTTATTTCATTTCAATGTATTTGTGGAAATTCAAGAAAATGAACTTTGGCATACATATGATGAACATTTAAAAATTTTACTGCATTCAAAGAAATTTCACTTTTAATATGGATCTTCAAATAAAAATGTGTGTATGTATGTGCGTGTACAGAATATTACCGGTAAATAACAACAAGGAATGTATTTTTTAAAGATAAACAAGACAGATCAAGTTCGAGCACCCAGTTGAATCAATCTACCCCAGACATGCCACAGCAACCAGTGCCACCCCAATTTGCCTTTCATTTAACACAATCAGGTAATTTTTTTGTTCGATAAGGATATATTAATAATTCATTTAGTATTGAGTATGATTTCTGTTGTGTGGTAAAACTTGAATGTAGCATTGTAGCATGATATTTTCTATGAACCTTGCCACATTTGAAATGAAAAACACTCATAAAATGCCATGTGTGGCATCTCTCAACTGAAATAATTTATAATATGTTAAAGAATATCTCTGAATGATAAAATGATATACCGGTAGTTTTCATCAGTTATAAAATTGATATTTGCTAGCTTTATCATCCCATGTATACTAAAGACTAGACAAGAAAATGAATGTAGATAAAAAAAAAAACTTTGTTACCTGAAGCTATATGATTTGAAATGGAGACCGACATCTTTATTTCAACAAGTGTAATAAAACTATAATCGATTATTTCAATTTTTTGTATCTGTTTGCTGAAATTCATTAGAATGAGAATTAATAGCATTGGTCAAAGCCAATTATTTTTTTTTTTGCATGTGGTTTTTGGGATTCACTGCCCAAATAGTTTTTGCTGCTTTGAATTTTTTTCCATTTCTGTTGAAGTAATGAGAAGTAATAAGGCTTCTGTGGCCTCATAGGAAGAGTGAAGTGCATATTGTGTAAAAGTGTATTGTGCAAAAATAAGCCATTCACATAATGCGGGAAACCTTGTAGGAATATAATTTATACAATGAGCTGAAATTGAAAGTTGTATATCTATAGTTTTCTCACAACTTTGTAGTGTCTCAAGGAAAAGACATAATTACAAAATCATTGAACAAAAAGTTATTTTTATTTGCAATTATTGTAAAAAATGTATTACTGGTACCTAACTTTTTCCAATCAATAGAATGAAAAAGAAAATTAGTTGTTTGTTGAATATCAGTAATCACAAAAAATCCCAATACTGATATACTACTATTTCGTATCACAAAAAATAAAATCTTTGACTTGAGTACTATATATTGCTGTCTACAAAGAGAAAAGGCATTCATAATGTGAATCATGTTTTGGTGAATTAAACTCAAAAAGCATAAAAGTGTGATTTTACAAATTAATATGGCCCTACTGTTTTATTGCAAAGTTTTGGTTGCTGAGTGTTTGGTATTTTATTAACAATATATCAATTCAAGATGAGTGCAATATTGCATTTCATATTGTTTTACATGCATGTCACCAGTCATGCTGCACTTTTCCATATGACTTCCATTCCACTTTTCCATTTAAATATTTGCTTGCTTATCAGGAGAAAATGGAATAGTTTAATGGTAGATAAGATTTTCATTATTGGTAACCATTTTAAGAGATATATATATATAGAACACCCTTGCAAACCTTGCTATCTCAGTTTTAAAGCAAGAGGCCGATGACTTCATGCCCTTATTCAGAAATGTATTAAACTTAGAAAGTATATTAATGCAATTTTACAACCCAACACGATTTCCCGCACACACAATAGTATCTCAAATTGCAAAAATGGTTAAAGCTATTTTATATTTATCTCACATGCATCATAGTGCATTCCTTTTCTTCTCCTACTACTTTCACATAAACAGGTATCACTGAAAGCTGAAAAAATAATGACAAAAATGTTTGCATTAGCATTATCTAACATAATACAAATGCTTTTTTAATGTTTTGCCATATCATTTTACAATTTTTGATCTCAAATCAATTTCATTCTGATAATTTTTTGTAATCCATTAAAGTCAGTGGTGGAAAGGGATACTACTTTCCTGAGCAGAGCTGTCTGTAGTTCATATTGGTAAAAGTTTTGATGATGATGTACTCACAAGTCAATTAGAACTGCCAAGCTTTAAACAATTTGAATTGCCACAATAGATTGATATTGTTATTGTCTTGTCTGTGGAATAGTCTAGGAAATCATATAAATGAGATATCAGATGGCTATGAAATTTATATTGGTCAAAATCAAGCATTGGGAACAGATCTGTATATTTGAACTTGGCACCTTCATATTGTTAAAATCTGGTCAATGTGTTATTCATATATTAAGATCTGTAGTTTTAAAAAACATTCATTCATGAAACATAATTGATAATCTTCTTATTTTTGTCTTACATTCAGTATCAGATGAACGACAGTCATCAGGACCAGATTTGTGGGGTGCAGAGTTTAAACCATCATTTTTCGATACAGTTACCCCCGAATCCAGCAATTCAACATCACAAGGTTGGAGATATATATTCGCTTTATTTCATTTTAATGTATTAGTGGAAATGCAAAAAAACTAACTTTGACATATGTAATATGAACATATTAAAATTTTACTCCATTCAAATAAATTTCACTTTTAATATGGATCTTCAAACATAATGTGTGTATGTATGTGTGTGTACCAAATATTACTAGACAAAAAATTTTTTTTTATTTTTTAAGATGAACAATACAGATCAAGTACAAGCACCCAGTTGGAGCAATCTACTCCAGATGTGCCACAGCAACCAGTGTTACCACAATTTCCCTTCCATTTAACACAATCAGGTAATTTTATGTATGATGATGATATATTAATGATTTATTTAGAGTATGATTTGATCTGTGTGGTAAAACTTAAATGTAACATTGTAGCATGCTATTTTTTATGAATCTTGCGACATTTGAAATAAAAAATACTCATGACATGGTTTTCATAACCTGATTACATGCCATGTGTGACATCTCTCGACTGATATAATTTATAATATGTTAAAGAATATCTCTAAATGATAAAATGATATAGTTTTCATCAATTATTAAATTGATATTAGCTAGCTTTATCATTCCATGTACAAAAAAAGCTAAGAAAAGAAACTAAAGTAATTGTAGATAAAAAAGAAACAACTTTCTTAACTAAAGCGATATGATTCGGAATGGAGACCAAAATCTTTATTTCAACAAGTGCATCAATCAATAAAACTATAATCAATTATTTTAATATTTTGTATCGGATTGCCAAAATTTATTAGAATGAGAAATTATAGCATTGGTCAAAGTCAGTTATTAGTTTTTTTGCATGTGGTTCCTGAGATTCACTGGCTAAATAATCTTTGCTCCTACAATTTTTTTTACATTTTTTTTCTGTTGAAGTAATGAGAAGTACGGTAAGTTGTTTTGAAATGTTTACATGACCATGTTAGAATGGTTGCTCAAGCTGGATGAAAGGAGTGCTCAAGTTTTTGATTTAAACCTTTGAGATATTTACAAAATATGGGAATGTCATACATCAACTGCACATTTTCAGTGCAGTCCCGGACATGCTAATCCTATGTTTGCTATGCCTGTAAAATACAAGTCAGGCAACAGTAATATATAGCATATTTTGATTAATAAAATTCAATTTGTTTGGTCTATACTAAAGTGTTTAAATTGTATACATACATACATACAGATAGTGTGTTGGAAGCAGGCCAAACTTTGTGTGTGCCAAACTTTTCTGCTGCCCTTGGCGAGTTTCTGATAATGATACCTAACTTCAAAAATAATTTGGGGATTGAACATAATCATAGATGTTGTTATACATTAGAGTGAATAAGTTAAATGTCAAGTAAGAGTGAAATGTTTGTATTTGTAATTAGAACATCAAACAAAGCAACTATACACATAATTTCAGCTTTCACTCTTATTTTATGAACCATGAGGCGCTCCTGGTTATAAGGCACAATAAGTCGGTCAGATTGAGTATTTATTCAAACTTGAGGTGCATCGAGCTATGACGCACAAATTTTAAGAAGTATCGGGTTACGTACAAATGCCAGCATAACCCCGTTCCAGCATTCTCCCTTAAAAAAAATCCTGGATGCCCATTTGATCACAATTGCTATATAACAATGCTAATTACAATTGCTCTAATTGTTCATTGTGTAAGACCGCGAATGGTATATAATACCGGTGCTGCCTCCTAAAATGTGCTGCCTGGGATCGGTTGCCCCTATGTCCTGCCCCTACCCTGCTCCACTACAAGCAACCTGTTATAGCTCATCAGCTTTATCTATATATATTTGCATCTTTGAGACAATCAAAGCAAATGCCCTTTTGTATCAAGACAAAATAAATTGTAATCACAATCAACAACAATATATATATATGTATTCAGCACATCCAATGCAAGGCCAACATAGTCAGCATGCGGATCATTTTCAGGCTTTACTGATACAACAGAACAGAGGTAAGTTTTTCTATTAAAATAGTAAAATTAGGTCAACTGAGTATGCCTTTAGTTTGACTTTTCAAACTTTTTTATCCAGACAATTGGTTTTAGCAATTACCGGTACTGAAATGTGCAAACAGAAAACTGAGGTATGTTATGATGAAAAACTCCTCTCCCAAGGTTGCGTTAATTCAAAGCTCAAAGTTTTGCTAGTGTTGGGCTAAAAACTGAAAGGGTCCTACTGGAGATTAGAGTTCCAGATTTTATTTATGAAGCAATTTAAATCAATGTCAATTTGTTTATAATTTTTGAATTTACATCTCAAGGTAAAGAACCTCTGGATTGTTATCTTTTTACAAAAATATCAGATTTAAAACGGCATACCTATGTTTTTGTTCAATTTTATTTCACTTTTTAAAATGTTCAATGCAAATATTTAATTTTATGAACACTCTTCAAAATACTAATGTAATATTATCATCTTAAAAGCATAATACAAAATATTTTTTATCAAATGTAAATGAATTTCTCCAATGCTATTGTCCCTCATAGCACTTAGAGCAACCCTGATTAGGTGGGATTATAGAACATCAGTATTTACTCAAAGTTAACTTAACTATATCAGTTATGGAATCTGTGGATGATTATTAAAGATCAATTTTAAAAGAGAATGTTCACTATTAACTCACTAAAACTGCAAACATAATACCAGGTCTGATAAATAAGCTCATAAAAGATCGGGTAATCAATGCATCTATTAAATGTATTCTACTTTTGGAGTTATTCTTTTTTTTATTTCATTACTACCAGTTTTTAATTATGAAATAACTTATAGTTCTCTCCAATTTGTTTCAAATGAAGACATCCTGTTTTCTACTATGCTTGACTGTTGACTCAAGACTTGAATATTAAAAAAAATGATAATTTGTGTTGACTTTGATGCAGGGCTTCCCAACAGGGTACTGGTGGAGCCCCATGTGTTCAAAGCACGATTAGGGGGAGTCCCCAGATTAAATTCTAATTATATTGAATCAGTACATTTTGTCAAAGTTGGTTTCCTAACCAGCAGGCATGATGTTGACAAAACCTTCCCAATCTATGCGAGTTGTCTTAGGGTTCTGAATTAAAAGTGGAAAAAAATAAAATAATGTAATAAACCTATCATAGCAAACTAATTGAAGTAATTTGACCGTGGAACATTTAAAATTGAAATGAATATGCAATTTAAGTACCAGAACCAAACAAAATGAAATTCTCAAACTCGACAAGCAATATACACAGGTATGTATACCTTCCTGGCAGCCAAAAGTGAGCAACTGATTTATCTTGGATTGTAGATATCACAAGTCAAAACCCACTGTACAAAATTAGATTTGCCAGAAATCTTAAAACAAATCGAGGTCACAGCTCTAGTTGCTTCTTTGCTTGTTGATAGTTGATGGAATCGTATGAATGATATTCAGAACTGAACATTTTTAGCAGAATTCGACAAAATCAAGTCATGGAATGAGGTTAAGATTTGTAACTATGGCATCTTCTTATTGTTAAAACTGGTGGATATGTGATTCAAATATCAATATTACAAAATTCAGTAATGTTGATGCACCAAACAAAATTAATAATTCTCTTATCTTTATCTTGAACTCAGATTCAACTAGAGGACACTCATCAGAGATTTGGAGTGGAAACTATAGACCATCATTTTTTGAGATAGTTACCCCAACATCCAGCAGAATTAAACTTCAAGGTTTATAAATATACAATATCTTCATTTCTTTTCAATGCATTAGTAAAAATTACACTTACAGTAGGTAAACATACAGTAAATATTTGAAAAAATGATGCAATCAAAGATTTTAAACATGGAGCTTTAAATTCAATATCCCTCCACACAAAAATAACCAGTTGTTGAAAATTGCTTGCATGACCATTAAAAGTTGAAGATTTTTCTTATATTAAGTTGTTTTTGTTTCTTTCTAGTTTCTCATTTATTTTTCTTATTATAAGCTACTAACTATTACAAAACTGTATCAAGTTTATATTTTTTAGATGCACATTACATATCAAGTCTGAACGTCCCATGGAGGCAACCTGTTCCAGGCATTCAGCAGCAACCATGGCAACCAAGATTACCCTTTTATTCAACACAGCAAGGTAATTTTTGTGTTCCATATTGATATTCTAATAATGATTTTATCTGTATTCATAAACAAAAGTGTAACATACAGTGTATAAAAAAGATACTTTTTTTTATTGATGTTATCTCGCATTCTTGCATACATAGCATTAAAAGTCAAGCCAGAAAAATAAACTAGATGTAGTTGAAGATTGAAATCAGAATGAAAATATATGATATATGACTCTGAGATTGGGTTATATAGGGCAGTTGATTCAAATTTCAAATGATAATGAGTTGAAAAGCATCTTTGCGGTTTTAGGTCTATAATTTTCTATGAATACCCAGACGCTTGCGGGCGCTGTTACCTATTGAAAACTACAAAAAGAAGGCTTAACGTAAGAAACACGTAACATGTATTACTGTCGACCATGTCTCCAAATTCGGAACAATTAATGGCCAGCGAACAAATGCAGATTTCGCAAAAAATAGCATCACCTTTGTTTTGAATACATTGTCAACACAAAGGTGGTCCGCCAAAATTTTGGTCAGAGGGGGTGTTACATGGGTCGTACCCCCTCCCCCCTCCCCGTTTAAGAAAAAGATTTTGATGTGAAATTTAATCTACAAAAAAAAAACAGCGTCGTTTTACGATCGCGCATCATGGTTTCGCGGTCAAAACGTTATTATTGTGTGCGTTATCACCGTGCAATTAACACCATGTCAGACTTTTTTCGTCTTCACGATATGTTATCTTTTTTATTCCGCTCTGTTAATGATAAATAAGAATGTGTAATTGTTGATTGCAATTCCAGAAAGCGTATTTTCCTTTCTCTCCACGAAACGAATTTAACCGCCGATATGGGCGCTCAAAAGAAGAAATGGGTTATAAGCTAATTTAAGAACTTTCTTTTCCCGACTCAATCACTTTTATAATACAAATCCCAGCGCATTGGAAAGTAAAATATAATTCATTAACATTAATTTACAACGAGTTACGGGTAAGAATAAATCGACGATAAATTTGAAACGATTTTTCATAAAGCGTGTCAACACCGTTTTTGTAAATTTAGAAAAGTGCAAAAAGATAAGTAAGACAAGTAAATAATTTATTTTATGAAAATTTCATTAGATATTGGGAAGAAATATTATTTTGACCACTAGAAATGCCATTATTGCCGATTTATTCACGTGTTTAGTTAGTATCAGTGTTTTAACCCAAAGCTGAGTTACCTAAATACTCAACACTGAGTATCAAAGAGATAACCAATTTGCAGAGTTTTTCAATTATTTCTTAATACGAAAGTAACACGAACACGAAATTAAGAGCATAGAAATGTCAACTATCCGCTTCACAAATATCGAATCCCGGGGTCATTAATAATAATATTGTTCGCTTGAAATTGGGACCGTAATTTACAAACTGTGATACTAATTCCTACACATAAGATAAAAAGCAGAACAAAATTAATTTTTGTTGTGAATGCACTCCTTTTACTAACTGTCTTTAAGATCTTCGCCGATGCGAATTCACAATTCTGTCCGAAATATAAAAACCAAACTACGCCGTTACCTGAGCATTAATAGTGCTAGTGAATAAAAAATTGCTTTAATATAGTTTAATAACATTAATTGGAATGTCGGCCGCCGAAACAATCGCGATGACAAAAAATTTACTGCAGCTTTCGATTATGACAAAATTATGAAATAAAAAACGCCGCATCGTACCGGAGTTTTCAGTCTTCTTGTAAAATAAAAATAAAAAAATATTTATCGTCAGGGCGATCGTTTCAGCGGCCGACATCCCAAATAATGTTGTTTAGAATGACAATACTCATTATTAGGTGTTCGTTAAAAATATTCGAATAACTCTATTAAAAAATACGATTTTGCCCTCCTCTAATCACGGCGCATGTAAATAATCATTGAATGGCAACAAAAAAATCAACTTCATTAACAATAAATTTCAAGTAATAGTTACCGCCGTCACTTACACATTTCACGAATTTGATCGGCGCTACATGCGGGCGTGTTTTTGTACATATAAACCATTATGACGCTACTGACATCTGCGAGTTATAGTTCTCTCCAAATTTAATTTTCGGGATTTTTAATGTTTTATTTCTAAATGCGGATTGCAGATACCCGCTGACTACGGATTAATGGTCGATGTTTAAAATAGGACTTGCAAAATATTCACCAAACACCGTCAGGCAAAGAGAGGCTGGCTACACGTAACTGCGGAATTTCGCTGTAAACGACCATACATTTTAGTTTACAGGACTTGCAAAATATTCACCAAACACCGTCAGGCAAAAAGAGGCTGGCTACACGTAACTGCGGAATTTCGCTGTAAACGACCATACATTTCAGTTTATAAACGCATTACGTCGTCGCGAATTGCAGTTTTGGTGTAATGTTCTAACTTCACCGTAACCCCGTTGGAAAAATCCTGGCTGCGCCCCTGCCGAGACTGCAATTCCGAAAATGTGATATGTTCATTCATCTGACAAAACACAATATGTTTAAGAAGCTAGGCACTAATTTCACATAAGAAAAAAGATTTGGCAATAAGGAGGCACTTTTACAAAAGAGGCCACTCTTCTAGAGATTTTAAGGCAATTTGCATAAAAACTCTTTTGATCATTTTATCCTTTTTAAATCATTGAAATGGCAGTATCACGATAACATTGAATGGTAACTGAACAAGAAGCCATGGTACTCTCTATAATTAAGCCATCTTATTGGCTTTCTTCTCCTCAAAATGAATATTAAATTTCTATAATATCCTAAATCTAAAAAATAACAATATTTGCGGCTTCAATAAAATCCAACACACTACAGAAAAACTCTTTTTTGCTATCTAACTATCTTATTTTCTCGTCTATATTTTGATTGCTGAGTATAAGTTAAATCCCTTATTCGTCTATATTAATTTGAGAATCCAACTTTGAACAAACATATTTGTTGCTACATTTGAACTACATACTGGTAGTTTATCTTTTCTTATCATTAATATAAATAAACTGCTTGTCTGGCATTAGTATTCACCACTGAGAGTGAAAAGATGTTCTTTGTCTTCAACCACTTACAATTTGCTAACTCAAGGTCGTAGAACACGAATTTAAACTTACCGGTATTTATTTTATCAGACCACCCATATGGGAGAAAAAAATTTGTCATGAAATCGATACATTCGTTCACATGATGATTTTATTTTGTCAATACTCACAGGTATTAATAGGGCAGATCCAAATGGAAATTCAATGCAAAAAAACGAAATCGAACGGCAGAAAATGTTCGGTGCTTCACAAGTATGCTCACCAAGATTTCGCACAACCTGAATCCTCACCGGTACACACATTATGTTCAGGTTGTGCGCCATCTTGATGCGCATACTTGTGAAGCACCGAACATTTTCTGATACTTCTGGAGGAGACTGTACTGCTAATCCTTAATATACGCCACGGTAGCATGCAAAGCAATTTTTGGCTTTGTTCAAGCACAAATATACTCCGCAATTGGTACATCTAATTACCGGTTTGCTGTCACACCCAGCCAACAACATCGCTGTCTCTTAGCTTCTACCACAGCCATATGAGCAATAATGATTTCGAACCTCATTGTTGGGGTGTGGAGTAGCTGTGCCTCAGATTCGTGGTGAGGTAGTAGACAATGGTCTGCATCGCTCAAGTGGAGTCTATATTTTCTCAAGCTTGCAAAGAGATTCTGCCGAAAAACTTTGAAACGACAAAAGATCTTGTAGCATGTTACTCGCTACTCCCAGGGACTCACAATCTCTTCTGTGTAGGATCCAGCTCCAATGCAACGTTTAAAATCAGCCATAAAAGGACGAATCCCAATTATGTGCTGTTTGTCGCCGATGTTCCAACTTCGGACTTTTGATTTGGTCATGGCGCTTCCAAATGAACTGGCAATAGTTACACTCCATTTATCATGCCACTTCACAAATCTCATTTAGTGTCCTCAAGAACACAGGACGTCTTTTACTGATAACATCCCCTTTCTTTTTTTCAAATCCTTCCAACTCATCAATCAACTCAGATTCCAACTCATTCCTAGGAACCGATTTTGTCTCGACGTCCCTATATAATAGATGACACAGGGATGTATCTTTCCTGTATATATTTCAAAGTTGTGTACCAAACCATCTGTTCCACACAACATAAAGATTTTATACCCCCATTTGTGGGACTTTTGGGAAGATTTAGTTTCAGCCCGACTTCCCAGTGAACGGAAACATCTGCTCGTCGATACATAAAACTTCTTCTTGATGCAGTGGTTTGAATTTTGCTTTAAGCATTTCTAACGAGAGTCTGATTTTGAACAATCGATCTTGATAAACATCAGAAACATCACCATAAAGTAAATCATTGTTATTGAAATGGATCATCTTCTTTATTCTTTCCCATCGATCACGGGCCATTGCATGGGCAATACAGTTAACTTTTGTTTGCGCAGCCCAAAACATACGTGTTCTCAATAGATGAAAAATAGAAATTTGAAACTACACAGCCAAGAAACTTCTTCATTTCTAGAATTGTAGGGTTTAGTTGTTTGGATCGCTTTGGTTCGCATAGATATTGGTTCACTCAACTATTTGATGCATTACACCCAAGTCAGAAAAATATTTACAATTTTTAATTGGTGCTCGTACTGTTTTCAAATAATACTTACGACAAGTCCATACAAGGAGCTCTCGTAATGATTCTGGGTTCCGTTCCTGTACAATCCTCCATTCAGGCTTCCTACATGGGATATTGATACCAATACACACCTCAATTTCAACCACGCAGAAGGTGATATCCCGCTTGACCCTCTTGCTCCATGATAACTTTCTCCTCCTTGGTTCATGGACATATGCTGGATAATTTCTTCACCATCTATACTTTCTGACAACACGGCATAGTCTTGTCTTATTTTTGGTGGTACATATTCATCTTCACTTTCTTTGCTACCATATCAACTAGGCGGAAAATGGATTGTCCAATTCTCCTTCTCATCCGTTTTTACTATTTAAATGAATTATTTCTACCACTAAACAAATTGAAGAAATTTCTTCATATTTATTTTAATCAGTCAATAGCAGAAGCAAAACTTGATTAAAATATTATTTTTTTTAACTAATCAAACATCACTACATATAAATCTCAATAACAGAGTTACACATACTCACAATATATTAGATTATGTTCCTTTTTCTGCTCTATACTTCAAGTGTCTTGGTTTGTGCACGACACCTTGAACTGGATGACATGGACAGATGTGACGATATAGTGACAGTTAGAAAAATTAGCGTCGGCAGTAAACAACAAAATGTTCGACAAAACTCCTTTTACCAAATCAAAGTACATATATAGTCCTCATACTGTGATATACTGTGATTTTTTCGACTCTCTGCGATAAAGCTTTATATCTGAAAAAAGAGGATAAAAATAACTGCTACCGACACCGCATCCTAACCGACATCACTTTGACAAAGTTTGTGTATTGTTAGGTTGTATTGGATTTCATTGGTGTCTTTGATTGTAACACTCCTGTCAAATTCATCTGAACTGAGCATAACGTCTTGGACCAGTGCTTTTTTCCATAAACCTCTGATTGCAATTTCTCCCTTAATATAATGTCTCAGAATGTTTTGAAGTACCGTAATTCTTTTATAGTAATATTAAAATTACCTTTTTCGTAATTTAGAGTTGGACAAGTTTTCAAGAGGGTTCCATTTAAAATCAAGAAAGCTTAAATTAGATAAAATACACATTTGGTTTGCCACTATCATTCAACTTGCTACACTTTAAAAATAATATTTATCGTCAGTATCAAGTTTGCTTTTATATATATGTTTATAGTTTATACCAGCGTTGGCTTTCAACCATGATTGACTGATCATTAATAAGGTAATACACAAAATTGAATGAGTAGGCCACTGAGTATGCAGATAACTGAATACATGCATGTACAACCTCCACCGATGCCAATAAACTCACAGAGTCGCATTGTTAATAAAATTGCCATAAGAAATTTATATTTTTCATCTTCCATTTATTTGTTAATTTGAATATGTAATTGTATACGGATTAAATGTTTCATTATTTTTTAAGATTTATTCAAATAATACCATTCAGATCTAGAACCTGCATACTTTTCAGTCGTAGGTGTTGGAAATTCATCAAAAAAACATGCCAAATGTCCATATATTATTAAACCATCAGAAAATAAATATTATCAAACCATAAATGTTACATGACTGATCTAAATTACAATTTCCTTCCAAATTCGATTCTTTGCTCTCCTGGAATTAGAAAAAGGGGCATTCTGATGTCACCTCTACCTTTGTGGATAAAATTCATCACTTTCCTCTTGGTGTAAGACAATGACTTTTGCATACTGCAGAATCGTTTGTCAGTCTAGACACACAGCATTCAGCAGGTTCATTTCTAAAGCTTGGTAGCAGTGAAACTTGCATTTGTTACGTACGGTAATTATATGTTCTATTGCTTTCCCAGACTCAAACATCGAATCTGCATATCGTATTTTGCGCATGCATGCTACATTTCTATTTAAAACACAGAACAGGCACTGCATGAAACTGGTTCAAGGCAATTATTTGAGTTACGCTATAAAATTCACTCAACATCAGACCGGTCGACCTTGATCGACTTGTTGGCCACCCCCTAGTTTATACAATTTAAATTATAAAAGTTAATTACAGTAAACTATTGCACAGGGATACCTCAAGCCTTTGAAATGTTTCATTTTGGTTCTGCTCCACCAAAAAAGTTGGAAATCACTGAGTTATACGCACATGAGGTCACAAAGGATCCAGAAAGTGATCTACGTAATAGAGACAGCAGTCATACAGGTTCAGGTGTGTATCTCCTTGGAATCCAAAAAAAAAAATTTCTAACATTCAAGTCTTTTTTTAATGACATGCATGTTTAGGTGGCACAAAAGTGAATTTGGCTAATCATCTTTTAGCAATGAAAAAGTATATAATATTAGATTTTACAGAGAAAGTGGTCACCAGATTATAAATTTTGTTACAGTGGTGACTTTTTGTCTTCACTTTATCAACACAAAATTTAGTAATTTTGCCAATATCATATTCAGATATTGTTCTCACAAGTATGAACATTAATAATATATGTCAATCAAATTCATGACTGTGAAACAATCAGAACAGTAGTAGCCAAAGTAACAATAACAATGATGGTCTTCTTCAATATTGTTTAGATATGTATTGTATTAATATGTTATCTGTACATATTGTATTATTGTAACGCTATGTTATCTGTACATATTATAGGATTTGTATGGCATGCATAAATAAATTGTAATGCATATTTTCTTATATTTGTTTCAAAAGTATTTCCTAAATCATATTTTAGATGAAGAAAATGATGAGACAGAACTTTCAGTTCTATGGGATCTTTCAGAAGAACTCGAACAGAATCCAGAAATATTCAAGCCTATTGTTAAATTATGCTGGCCTCAAGATTCTGGGTGATTATCTTTGACAGTTTAATGGTTGAGTTTATTTAGGAATTGAATTTAAACTACATCCGACATGAGGTCATTTGGTCATCATTCTTTTGTTGATTGAAGTACAATGTCAGAATGTGTGAAAGTGAAGGCAACATAATTTTATCACAGTTACACCATTGTGTCAAACTGAGTGTGTTGTATACAGAAATGTTTTTTTATTTTTTAAATGAGCAATATTGCAAAATATATGGTGTGGGTGTGCCATTATTGGTGGTCCTGTGTGGCATTTAATTGGGAGTTACCCATCGTTGAAACTTGAGTTTGTTTGCAAAATTTCATAATTCAGGTAGTCTGTTCAAGAGCTATTAGCAAAAAGATTTCAAGACTCTGATGATAGATGAATTAGTCATATTCAGAGTAAATGTACTTGGGCTCACCTATTTACAATTTTTTCCTTAATGTTAAATTGTCACTAGTGAGCCCCTTCACTGGTGCCGTATGCTTTTCTCAGTTTTATTGTAAATCTTGCCACATTATATTATGTATAGACTTTGGGAAGATGAAAAGTGGCCATGGACAGTTTTAAACACAATTAATAGTATGAAGATGACAGAGATGGGGAAAAATGTTGAAAAAGCTTTTTTATTAATGGCTGATTGTATTAATGTAAGTAGTTTTATGCTAACCAGGTAAAAATTATAAATTGGAATAATTCGCTTTAGTTTTTTGAGTCTATGACTTCGAATAACTGACTGTATGAGAGAAAAATTGGACCTCCTGAAGTATGCGCATCAAGATGGTGCACAACCTGAGTTCAGGTTATGGTTCAGGTTATGCAACATCTTGGTGCGCATACTTTAGGAGCACCGAAAAATTGTTTTTATCGTAATATCATTATTTGAGATTAGGTTGCATGAATGCATTTCTGTAGCCTTATTGAAACTTTTCAGAAGTTGAATAAACCTGATTATTAATAATTCACTGTATTTATTACATGTAAATGTCACATTGTTTCAGTATAGCAAAATCATAAGTCCTTACTGAAGTAACTCTTTCCATCAGTGAAACACAAATTGGCAAATTGTAATTATTTTTTTATTGTGTTGCAGATATAGCTCTATATTTTTATTGTTCTGTCTTTATTTCTAGATTGCCAGTTTTTGATTTATAAATGGCATTCTATCATCATTTTCAGAAACCAACTGTCTGCAAAGCTGATAATTTGAAGGGAATAAATTGGATTTCTAAAAACTCCCAAGCTCTAAGTAAACATGGAGAGGCAATGAAAATCTTATTACGAATTTCTTGGCCTAATGAAAAAGAGTATGTATCTGAATAAAGTAAATGGATAAATTATTAAAAAAAGGAACTTCTGTTTTTTGCAATGCCATTAATATTTGGTCTATGCACTTGACAAAAAGGATTTCCTTCGAATATTTATCATTAAATTGTAGTCAACCTCAATGTTAAAACTTGTGTGCTTCATTTGAAAAATGTTTGTTTAGTAGCATTGTTCATTAACAACTGATATTTTTAGTGTGCAACTCTGCAAACTTTAAATAATTCAACAATTGTTCAGTTTCTTACCGTGCCACAATTTGTATTTTTTCTAAATTGGCAAATTTTGCATCATATCAGGTAAATGGCACTACTAAATTAGTGTAATAAACTTCAACTGTGTTAAAATGGAGCTAAAACTTTGATTTTTTTTTTTTTTCACGACCTCAATTTTCATAAAATCAAATCCTATGGACATAGAAATGTTGTACAATTTCAAAAATCAGTACTACATATCAGTGTAATTACCTCAATGAACACAATGTACCTGTCGCTTACAGTGAACATAGGCAAAAAATAAATGAAGCAGTCCGGCAATGCGCCAAAAAAACAGAGAAACATCGGAAGATTTGATAAACATAACATCGTGTGAAAACCACAATGTAAAAATCTCTTACCGGTAGATCATAATTATAATAGTTCTTTGGCGGAACACAAACTTGATAAAATGTGGTTGATTGTAAGGAAGCGTACGATACTTTGGAAATAGTAAGATTGCTTCTAATGCATATATTTAAAATCTTATTTAGTATATTCCAACAGTGTCTTTATTATCTTTAGTTCAATGGTGACATATTGCAGATTGCTCCATTATTAGTTAAAATAGAGCATGAAAGTAAATTAGGAAAAATCGTGTAGGGAATCACATCTTTTGAGTGCCTTTTATTACGCTAGAACTTGTGGAATGTGGTTATGTGTTTGACTGGTCGGAACTCTTCGAAAATATGTATGAAACGTCTAAATACAAAATATTGCAATCCAAAAATAAATGCAATTGTAATAAAAGTTTTACGTCGTTCGAAAAATAAATGGTGGAGTTATTGCTGAAAAATTCGAAAATAGGCACTTTTACAGTACCTGCTGACCAGCACAAATTTCACTTTCCAACGTTCCAATCCTAGGCACCTGTGTGTGCATGTAGAAATTAGGCGACCCCGAGAAATCTTCACACAGTTTTGGAACCACTGCCATAGAGAATGACTCTTGTGATAAAACGAAATTACTATGATATAATTTCAACTTTTTTCATGAATATACTATACTAAAATCTATCACTCAAAACACATTATAGAAATTTGAGACTACTTCACATGAACAATTAGCTCATTTTTTTAGTATGCCATTGTCACATGTTTTCTCAAGCTGTGGTAGAATATTTTTACATAAAATAAATGATCTTTTAGATGTATCAATGTTTAGATATTACATTTTTTCATCTTAGAATGTTGTCAGAAAAATGGCTTCATAAACTGATTAAAAGATCCAAGGAGGACAAAGAAACTGTTTGTAATTTTGCAGAAGCTGCTAAAATTATACTTCGTTGTTTCGAGGTATTAATATTTTTATAGAAATAAATATGTAGAAAGAGAATAACAAAAATATATTTTAGATTTTTCCACAATTTTGTTTATGCTGATCTTTCGGTTGTTGCAATACAACATATGTGCAACATGCTTGAAATAAAAATATGCATAAATTATTCTTTACATCATATCAGTTATTGTATCACACTTTAAATAAAATATGTAGTGATCATATGTGTGAATACACATCTGGACAATGTGATTTACAGTTATTACATTTATTTCCCAATCATTGGTTGCAACCAAATTATTTTTATGGAATTTTCGCTTTCGTAATACTCTTCTCCATGTGTTGCATCATTGTCATCCAGGGGTGAATATCATGACGGGCAAGTACAATTTGTTCAAGAGAAAATGGCTTACCGTACCTGCTCTCATACTGGTTCTCTTAGCATAATTCTAACATATTTCTCAAGACAGAGTGGCCAAAACATCTTGGTTTTACTGCTCTTCTTTTTGTGCGTGGTTTTTGAGTAGAGAGTAGCGAGATAATTTATTTGAAATTATCATTTGTGTTTGTCAATGATTTTGAATTTCCATGTTTCAATTTATATTCTACTGCATTGAAAACTAATATGTAGATATTTTTTCTTCCAGGTAGAAGCAGAAAAACCAAGTATTGGTGTTAAAATGAAAGGTTTGTCAATTAATACATCTGCAGTTTTAACAATGTAGGCTCACCTTCTGTGTGGTTTTAATAAGATAATTTGGGAAAATAATATTCTTCCGCAAAATATTGCATGTAATTTAAAACTCACTTTCGATTTGATTCAAATTTTCAATTTGATCGGCCCTGACCAATTCTCTCAACTCTATCTATATATTATATCTGAATATTTCTCCTCTGATTGGACCTCTCATTTTGATTAAAGTTTTCCAAATCGTGGTAATTTAGCATTTCACGAAAGATTTCAATTATTTGACACTTATTGGACATCTTCTGCTCCTGAACTCAGCAATTACAGCGCCGTTAGCTAGTCTTTTTGTGTGTTATTTATTTAATATTTTATTAATTTATGGTCAATATCAAGATTTGTTCACACTCAACTTTAAAATTATTTTTAATTGTTTTTAAGATCAAAATATTGTCAAAGTGATCATGAAAAAAACAAAAAAAAAATTGGGTGGCAAAGAAAAAGGTACTGTAATAGATTATCTTGAAATATTATGGTATGTAACATATATATGCCATAAAAAATGTTTCCCAATTTTAATAATATAATATTTTCAGCCAAAGCAGATCAAAAGGATGATGAAGATGATGAATTCAAAGATGCCCCATCAACTCTGAAGCAAAATATTGTTAATCCTATAATTGAATCAAAATTTGGTAAATTTCAGATTTTCAAAATCTTTAAAACAGAGCTAAGTCAGTGGTGAAGGAACAGATCAGATTTGTCGAATTCACAAAATCGCAAAACACGAATAAAAATAATCTGGCACGTTACCTCACATTTTAATGTCAGCATAATGCGGTGGTATTTCAGAATTGTAATGCTTATATTTTTTCTCAAAGCAGCCACGGGTTAGGTTGAAAACAACAAGCAGTTTCAATGTGCCCGTATCAATGCATTTTAAATATATCCTTATCGCAAAAATAGATATATATAGTATATAAAGTATATCTCACATTTTTAAATCCGCAGACAGCCGTGGTATTTTAGAGCAGACATTTTGAGCTCGCAACGCCTTCCAATGCATTGAAATATCCGCGAAACTTGTTCACCTTAAAAATGCTATGATGACAGCAAAGTTATATGAATCACGATGTTTGGCCACCAAAAAATGGTTCTAATTCCGCATTGTTACTCACTTTCCACCATTAATGACAAAATTCGGCATTGTCATGCAAGCGTTCCGTTTCTCTGATCCAATGTATTGTCTTGAAATCGCCAGATTCACGTTTTAAACTAGTTTTATTAAATGCGCTTTGAATAAAAATTCTAACAAAGGACACGAGATATAGTAGTTATTTATATACCTACTTATGGTACGTATTTAAATGTGTAATAAAATACAATAAAAACGCGCAATTGACTCTATTTAGTCCGGCCCGCCACTGCATTTTGAATATTCAATGTGGCCCGATACCAAAAATAATTGCCCAGCCCTGACTTAGATGTACCAAGCTAGTGAACGAATGAATGAAAACATTTCAATAATTACTAGCATACAACATAGGTACAAAAAAATTTTGTAATCATTTACCAACCAAAGATTGATAACAAAATCAGATTGTTTCGAAATCAAAACAAAATTTTGCCACAAAAACAAAACACATTTTTAAAAAACAATAAAAGTTTTTATATTTTAAAGGCTTGTTCCATATAAAACCGGTTTAAAATTATATAGTTTTGTTATTTGCTTAATTTTCTAATCTGGTTAGTAATTGCTGTCGCACAATTTACAGTTTATTGAAATAAAAAATAAAATGTGGTAAAATAAACATATTTAAAAAAAAACTTTACTACTGTAAGCAAGGTTTGACTTTAAGGTGCGCAACTGCGCCATTGCACAGTGCCACCAGACCATTTGCGCAATAGAATATCATTCTCACGCGCTTGCCAGATTGCGTTTTCATAGCATGGCTCCGACGTATATTTTGCAATGCCCAACTTAAATGCCTGTTCCATATTTTACATGTAATTTGCTTGCCACTGTGTATTGTGATGTCTGTTACGAAACTGTTCGTTGTTATGTCACACACGTTTGGAACAGATTATTTTTAGTCGTTACCGCATTCCAAAAAGCTATTTGAAATAAATGTGTACTTTGTCTGCGTTCTAAAATATATTATACTATTGTAATATTTTACATAGTTTGTAAATCATTTAGAACTCCGCGCAGCCCTAAAATATTCATGCGCAGTAAAACAAACATTGGCTCAGTGTAACATTTTCTTAGAGGGAACAGTCCCTTTAAGCATAAAGATAAAATATGCTAATTTAAAGTAATAAAACGTCTGCCTTGCAACTAAAAACGTAGAATGCCATTGGCTTGTTGATGCCTTGACTTTTCAGCAACAGCTTTTAATTTTTTGCTAAGCAAGTTTTGGTTCACAAACAGCATAGCACAGCAACGAGCGTCTAAATCTGACCATGTGTACATCCCATGTAATGGTTAAGCTCATTTGCTACTTTATAGATGTCATAGATCCTTGTGAACCAGTGAAGTATTTGGAGCTTTTTTCCGTTTGCATTCTCTATGATAAGATATCTGTTCCAAAAGTCGAAACAGCTCCGTTTCGACATATCAGTGTTTAAAATGTTAGCCTTAAGCCATAGTAACTAAAACTTTGAAATAAATATGCATTATGTGAGGTGACTTAAAAACAAAACCAATAAATTGCTCAATTACTTCTGTGAAAATCTTGTAAATTATTTGGTTTCGTTCACACTAGAACTTCTGTTTGTGTATGTTTTTGCACAAAAGTTATGTACTCTCTAGATTCTAGAATATTGTCAAAACGACCTCAGCGTTGAAGACAGACTTAGTTTTCTGCTAAAACGCACTTTCTGCTGCCTGGGCATGTCAATTGCAAAAATATTAATCACTTCGGTACAATGCTCAACACTCTTACAGATAACAGTATACTCAGTGAAGTGGACAGCATGCATTGGTACCAATTTCTGAACATTCCATATTTATTATGTGATCTATTTTCAGTTACCCAGTACTTCTCACTATTGTGTCACTCATTCATTGGATTTTTCTTATATTTGTGCAAACACAGCTTGGAACTGCCGTTACTGATTAGTGATTATTATTAACTGGACAACTTTTTTTTTACGAAAGAATAGGCAGACAATTTAAAAAAAGATCGGATGCTGATTTGGCAATCACAATACACATTATTTTGTCTTCATACATTCAATTGAGCAAGCCTATTTGACTGAATAAATAGGTTGTGTTGAACTTGAACAAAAAAATTTGAACAGGCTTATCATGCTTGAATTCGAAACAATGTATCCACTTGGGCTCATTCGACACGCTTCAAATAGATTTAATAATTTTCAGTGAAATAGCATTACACCTGAGTAAAGCTGAGCAAAGTCAAAGAAATAATCAGATCTAAATAATATGGTAAAATTTAGTGTCCAACAATTTTTTACTCTAGAACTATTTTAATGTTAAGATATTGTAATGAATTCATAAAAAATCACCACAAATGGAATATCATAATTACAATTCAGTTTCATATGTGCATTAATTGGTAGTAAAATTAGCTTGTTATTTTGAGTATATGTGCTTCTAAGTATAGTATTATTAACACTTTTTTGTGAAATAATAAACTATATCTGAATTTGAAAACAATCATTTAACCTTTTTCACAATTTTTTTATTTTATGCACAGTTAAGATGAGTTTCAAAACAATCATTCATTTTGAATGTGACCTGGAAGTTGAGTAAAAGCTGGTTCACGAGAATATTATTTATTTTTTTCAGACTTTATGGAGTTTCATGTCTTTCTCGATGAAGTAGAAGAAAGTTTTGGTATGTTGTGCATGGTAGAAAATTGCTGGCAAAAATGGAAACCAATCTCTATGCAAAAAAGCAGGTGATAAACTCATTATGCATACGGCTAATTGTGTTATGAATATACATTTATGAAAACGACTCCTACATTTTTTTTTTTAAGGAAAATTTTCTTTTTTTCTTTTTTTAAATTGAACCAAAACATTTTGATACAAATCATTCGAATTATCGCATTTTTTAACATTCATTATTTGCTATTCAGGTAAACTTTATTTTAAGTTTGTTCATATATATTGATGCCTCAATATCAGGCCCATGCCTGATGTAAAATATGGCATTCATCGATCGTACAAAATCCGAAAATCGATTTGTCTTATGATTCTAACCTGATGAATCATTGCATGTTAATTCAGCAACTGCAAAGTCATATAATACCAATACACATTGACAATTTGAAAGTGGAAAAAAAAACATTGCCATAGCCAACAACTAAGAATGAAAGACGTATAATGGAATGGATGTTATGTTTCTTGCTAAAAAAACTTGTGTGCACTATACATTTACATATATTCAATGAATGCATGATCTTTTGCTAAAATTATTGACACATACTGCTGTTATATGTGAGCCAGTGATCCTGCTAAATTTTTGACCATCATGACAAAATTTGAAATGGGCAATAACTGTAATGTCCTGAACTTTAACCGTAATAGTTTAGGATATATTTTACATACTCAAAATATTGCTCAACGTGGATATTACATGGGTCCATCTTTGTTACGTTTTTGCACATCTAGTTTATTCACAACATAGATTTATAAAATCAAAAAAATTTCAAAAACGAATATCTGTTACAATTTCGAATTCTATAACAACAATACCACAATTCAGGTAGTTTTAGAAAGTAATATTACGGTATATGAAAAATTTGACAAAAAGTAAGACATACCAAATTTTCTATATTGTGTGAAATATATATTTTGAATATGGACAAAAGACAAAGATCAAAATTTGTGATTGTCAATTGTTTAATTAAAAACTTGGTTAAAGATATTTGGGCTGCTGTGTGTTTTGTCAGTGTAAAATCACAGGTGTTTCTGTTAGGAATGACAGATGTACCATTGTTTCCTATGTTTTTAATTTTCAAAATTCTTCTATCACTATTTTTCACAATTGTGAAGTTCACTTGACGCAGCGCAGAAATTTTTATAAAACTATTTCTCTCCACTAGATATTCACAAATTTTTTTTTTTAATTTTTTGTAACACTTTAGGACTTTAACTGGCACTGGTGTTGATGAGTTCACCATGAATACTAGTCAAAAGTACCATTTTTAAATGATTTGCTTTATTTATGAATGGTAGTCTTTAACAAGTCTAAAATCATTGGAACTTTAATTTTTGAAAAAATTTTCAGTCCTGGCTGCTATTTTATACAAATCCCTGTACTGGATAACATCAAAGACTTATTGTATAAATATGTTCTGATCGGAGACAAGGAATTCTATGAAGTTTTATCCAATCAAAACAAGAAATTTGTGAATCGTGTGGTAAAAATGGAACAAGGTATGCATGTGCTTTTATTTGATCGGAAATTTAACACAATATACCTTTCACTACAAATTAAACGCAATATGAGGTTCCACCTTCCACTTCACCTGTCACTAAATTTTCTAAAAAAGGTTCAAATTACAAGTTACAACAATTATCACAAGATTTGTATATACTTCATAAGCCTTCTATTATTAGTTTGTTGTAACTTACTGTGCTTGTGGTTACTGTTTTAAGTCTGTTTGTTGTTTTTTGGTTTTTCTTTCTCATCAATAAAGAGCTTCAATCAATTTCAATAGCGTGCCCTAGTTGCTTTTATAACATTACTGTTAGGTAAAAAAAAAATTTAGGTTTTCATACCATTCTAATGCTGAACGTGTGGATGTTTTCCATGCTAATAGTTTTCTGGTGTAGGATTAACACTAATATAGAGATTATATTAATATGATATTTGTATCATGTAAATATGTGTATGATACTTAACATCATGGTTTTAACAATGTTTAGTATACTTTTTTGTAATGTAATTATGATGTAAGCTGATCAACAAGTTTGGGTATCAGATTCTCCACTCTCATATTAGTCCTATGACATATTCACGAAAATAATAAAAAGTTGTCACTATTATTGACTAATTGCTGATCAACCTTGCTCAAAGTGGAACATGTTTTGCATGATTAAATAACTGTAGGAGATTTTTCTACCCAGGAGGAAATGTGATACATGACATGCCAAATTTTCCGATTGGATTACCCACGGATTTGCAAACAGTTGTGAAAAGAAAATGCTGGCATCATTTGCCAATACCAAATAAAATTTTACTGCCATCTGAGGAAGGTTCTAAAAAATATTCGCTGAATCGAGACGTTTATGCTTGGTTGAATTCAATGAAAAGAGGCTGGCGAACTAATGGTACAGAACCTGTGATTTACATTTCCAATAAAGTGAGTATACGTCATGTTGACTGATAGCATCATTTAATTTTTGTTGCTTTTGACTTTTGGCAGTACTGAATACATAAAGTAACAGTCACCCAGTATGATTGTAATTGAGAATAATGAATAACCTTAAGATAATTGATTGAGAATATTTCTCATGCATTTGAGTTTCAAACTAGTAAACAATATATACAGATCCCATAGATAAGTATTGCTTTTTAACAACATGGGATACTGCCAGATTCAAATTTATTGCTATGCTTAGAACCTGAAATAACTGAACTAGTGGTTGGTTACGTGAACCACCCTACGACAGAGAGAAGTCCAGCAATCTTCTCGCGTATAACTATTCCCTGGGTAATAGGTGTTGCGGTGGTGAGCGTATTCCAAATGCTCAGGACAGTGTACCATACTGCCGGGCCATTCCTATATTTTTACTTACAAATAGTTTTTGATTGAATGAGAAGTATATAGTTCCAGTTTTATATTCTAAAGGACTCATCTTTGTCCTTTGTGATAATAGTGTATTTAAAAAGTGATGTTGCCAGAAAAATTATATTTCATTTGTTTACTGGTGAGGTTGACCCAGGCTTTTTATACCAGGTGTTTTGCCCATGTTTACATCACATCAAATATTACACATTTCGATGATGGAGGATTAAGGACTCTGCAATATGTTTGGATATTGCTGAAGTGCTAAAATTCAAAGTAGATTAGAGACATGTTGTAATTAAATATCAAAATATACAGGATTTACATATATTTATCCCGGGGGAGAGGAAAGCCGATAAGACGGCTTATCCATATGACGAACCACGGCCTCTCATCCGGTTACCATTCCAAGTCGGGTATGGGATTAGTTTTACTGTATTGTTTGTTTTCGGAAGCATGGACTTGGTGGTGGAGGAAGCCGTAACCGACCAGCGGTTACGTGAACCACACAACGACGGCGAGGAGTCCAGCAATCCTCTCGCACATAACCATCCCTGCATGGGATTCGAACCTGCGAACCCACGCAGAGTAATTAGAGGTGCGGTGGCGAGCGTATTCCTAACGCTTAGCCCGTTGAGCCACACCGCCGGGCCGAATATACAGCCTGTTATTTACTTATACAGAAAAAGAGTTAGTAATCTGTCGTAAATTATGTGTACTCCAAAATCCATTTCATATACACAGTCCATGAAAATATTTATCCGAATATATGTGCAAACAATCTTCGATTTTCCATATCTATTTTAGATAATCCATGAGTCCGCAGTACATTGGCTTCATGAAATAAATTCCTTGCCCAAACAAGAAAAGAATTTATTCATTACTGTATTATGTGGGATAAGCATTTTGATGGCTTATGACCAACTTAAAGTGACCTTGGACAGCAGAGAACTACTTTTAACACTTTCTGAATGTCTCAGCATGGATTCCCTCAGTCTTGATCAACAAAGAAATATGTACAAAGAAATATGTCTGGCATGGAAATTAGAAAAATGCAACCAAAAATGCAACCAGAGGTGTGAAATCATTGATGAACTATAAATGTTATTTGTCTAGTAGTTTGATAAGATATAATTTTTGAGAAGAATTCTTGCCATAATTTTTCATTCATTGTAAATTATTCATGAAAATTATGACTTTAATTTCAATTTGGTTTATATCGATTAAGATATTTGAATATTGTCCTGTATTCTCATTTTTTAGCATTACTTCGGCTTTTCGGTCCTTGTTCAAAGGGATTGACAACTTGAACGATTTGACAGTTGAATGGATATTAGTATTACCAACTTATTGGCTTATATATAACTATGGCGAAATACTAGAAAAACCAAGAACAACATCTGAGAATATTGAAAAATGGACTATTAATGCTGAGGCTTTTACTCCCTGTGATATGAATATGTTTCGCAAAAAATGCACATATTTTTCGGTACAAAAGTAAGTATTGATGCATTTAATAGCAATAAGGTACCATTGCAATGTAAATAGACAATGGTTATAGCCCTACTAATTCCATTATTTATTTTATAAAATTTTATCCCTTGTTGGCAACTGGTAAGTAAAACATCGCATTGAATACCTTGAAAAAATTATTTATATTAATATTTTATGACAAATTTTTCTTTATTTATCAGATCAATGATGGGAATATCAGAGAGAGTTTTCGAAATCTCTAAAACTCACCCATGGATTACTGGAACTTTTATTTCTATTTTGACACCTAAAACTTTGGGTGAAATGTTGCAGCAGCATGAAAAGTATAAGCTTTCACAAAAACTTCCTCTTGATATGATAGTTTGTGTTATACTCAAAGAATGGAAAACCAATGCAGATAAAGTGAGTTATTGGGATTTTTTTAAAATTATAATATTCCTAAATAGTGGATAAAACAATATTGTCATTAAGCAATGTGACACTTTTTTAATAACTGTTTATAATGCCTGTTTTTATAGATGTTCTCTGATACTTTTGTGATAGTTTTATATTTTCAGAACATGTCAATGTCGGTGTTAAATATGTTTTTACAATTATATTTTATAAGTGATTGATAAATAGTTTTTGCCAGATAATGCACTTATATGATGCACACATATAAATTTGGCTGTGACGATTTGAAGCAAGGGTTCTAAACCAATAAAAAATTCACCACAAGGGTACATTTTGCAATCAAGAAAGTACAAGTTTTCAAACTGGGAATTATTAGCAAATATTTGCAATAGTATTTTGTTTTCCGTTCATGAAAATTGAATATTATTCACCTTCATAATTGCTTACTAATTTTTTTACAGCCATTGAAAAATATCTTGGATGCAAAAACCTACATTGAGAGCAGATGTCAAAGCTGTGAAAGAAAACAAATAAAAGGGTATAATTAAGAAAACAATTTCTGTTCTTGGGTCTATCCCTTTTATTAACACATAACTTTATAATACAAGTGCAATAATATGATAATGTAAAATTTGAGTGCACTCAGGTGATGAAATATTATATATTTACGTCTAGGATACAAATAATTGATATAGGATAGGATAGGATTTACATATTTATCCCAGGGGAGAGGAAAGGCGATAAGACGGTTAATCCATATGGCGAACCACGGCCTTCGTCCGGTTACCATTCCAAGTCAGGTATGTGATTAGTTATATTATTTGTTTTCAGAAGCATGGACTTGGTGGTGGAGGAAGCCGTAACCGACCAGCGGTTACGTGAACCACCCAACAACATTGAGGAGTCCAGCAATCCTCTCCCACATAACCATCCCTGCATCGCTGCATGGGATTCAAACCTGCGAACCCACGCAGAGTAATTAGAGGTGCGGTGGCGAGCGTATTCCTAACGCTTAGCCCGTTGAGCCACACCGCCGCGCCATATAAAAAACTTGAGGAAGTTATAACAAATCAGTAGTCATATAAATTGCTCTACATTGGTAATAAATCCTGCAAGCCTCTCACACAAGATTTTATCTTGTTTTTACGGTATTCATCCTGCAAATTCACAGGGGGTAATCAATTGTGTGATGACAAATTTTTCCACCTGTGATCACAATGTTCCAACTATTGAGTCGAAGATTAGCTTTTAAAAATGATATAATAATGCTATTAGATATCAACTTCAAATGGCAAGGGTCTGAAAGACAGTATTACATCAGTGTATTCACCTCAGTAAATTTTATATAAAATCTTAATTCTATAGGGCTGTTAGACTCTTACCAATTTTGTGTTTGTGGGCACCTGGACTTAAAATAGGTACACAAAACCAACCTTCAAAATCTTAAAAATATTCATGAATTAGAGGTCTGTAAGAGTTTTTCACTTATATCATTACCCCTGCCTTTTCAATGTATTTCATGAATATTTTACCAATACATACAAAAAACAAATTTGAGATGGATGAAACAAAGTCGAGAGTTTCCTTCTACAGTAAAGCATTGTTCACATTTTTTCAAAACTTTTTACACTGTTGTTTTTATCAGTTGAAAAATATATTCCATATTTACAGATCGTAAGTTTCTATCTTGAGACAGTTGTAATAAGATATTTATTACTGTATCATCTTTGCCTGAAACAAAATAAATTGTTTATGATCAGCACAGACGAGATCAAAAAAATCTGATTTGCTTTTTCTCCTCTGCAATTAAAACTGTTGTGTGTATTGTTATTTTTTTATCCATCAGTTATCCACATTTATTCTTATGTGCAGATTGTCCAAAGAAAAGCTAAAAGCACAGCATCAAGCTGCTCTCAGAATTTTATCGCAAATTGTACAAGTCGTCACAGACATGGCAGATTTCAAGGTCGCGGATGACAATAATAATAACATGATATGGTTTTTGAAAATGTCTAGTCACATTGCTACATGGTCATGGAATTTAGTGGTCAGTAAAACCAAGTTATTTTATGAAATTAAGTTCATTAAAAATCTTATATAGTGTCGTTACATAAATAAACACAAGTGGAAGCAATTATTATTATTATTTTGACTTTGTTTTCAAGAAAATTTTGGAAGAATCATATGAGGAAACACGATGCATACTTACCATATTTGTGAATGCTGCAACTACAATTGTTGAAAATAATTTGAGAAAGCATAAAGATTGTTTTAAGGTACTATATATTGCAAGATTTTTTATTCTGGTTAACTAGTGTGATATTTTAATTTTGAATTGAAATAAGATAAGTTTCATTTAAATAAAAGTTTCCCAACATTTCCACCAATAATTAAACAGAGAAGTTTTGTCCAAATACCAAGTCGAAACTACTGAATTTGATCAATTATAAAAAGGATTCCTATATCATTAAAGTGCAGATAACCCAAGTCGCTATGAATTGGTAGTTAGTAATCTATATAATAATATCTATACATCGGGGTGGGTCAACCTACTTTCGGCCACAATCTACTAATATCTTCAAAATAGCTCGCAATCGACTGATTGGTGATAAGGTCATACACGGAAGGAATTAGTACTGAATATGCAGATAACTTCATACACGCATACAGAAATTTCACCGCTGCCAATAAGCTCGGCTCTATGGCACATTTTTAATAATAGCCACAAAAATTTGTATTTTCATGTTCTATTTAATCTAAAAAGCAAAAAATAAATATTTTCGAACCATAAATGTTACATGACTGCTCTAACCTCAGTATCTAACTTACAATTTCTTCGCTCGCTTGGAATTACAAAAATTGAAAAAATCGGAATATAATTTATCACACTACTCTTAGAGTGAGACAATAACTTCACATACTGCAGAAGCTATTGTAGAATCAATCGTCAGTCAAACAGCAGTGGCAGCGGCAAAACTTTCATTTGTTACGCAATAATGTACTCTATCGGGCTTGCCCAGAATCAAATACTCAATACTCAAATACTAAATGTGTCATTACAATTACCTACTCTCTTAAATTTCTCAATTACATTACAATTACAATTACTTCGTGCAAAAAATATGAAATTACAATTACATTACAACTACAATTACAACAAAGCAATGCTCAAATATATACCGATACCCTCAACGTAGCAAGAATCAAACCAGACAGCCAGTATTCCCATGGATAAAATAATACAGCGAAATCTTGGACAAAATATCAGATTTCATACGGAACTTAGAAATAAAAAAGTAATAGCATTCTAGAAAAAAATTCCATCTTCAACAACGGAAAATTTCAGAACATTTGGTCCAGTAATCAAAGAGAAAAGCGACTTTTCAATAACTATGTCAAAGAACAAGAACAACAGTTACAGAATACCTAAAGTTTTGGTCAAAACGATCATTGTGTCCACTAACCTGTCCAATACCATTTTGGTTCATAAATACAGTTTCACTTGCTCAAAAACTGTTGGATTGCACTTGATGAAAATTAGGCTGTGAAAAGTTTCTGACCCCAATAAATTTATTCTTGCCGTATAAAAGTTACCAGCAATTGAAAAAACTCATTCTGACAGGGCTGATGTTGTTATTAGTCCCAAATAATCCTTGGCTAAAGAAGCAAGCCTGGGAAATTCTTCTGATTTCTTCCTCCAATACATTAATGGGTTTTAGTTAGAATGCAAACTAACAAATAGCATTCGAAATCGCAAAATGAGGTATTGTTTACAACCATGACCGAAAATCTGTCACTAATGTTACGAAATAAAAAAGGAAGGGGATTCTCGGAAAACGCCCCTTGGAAAAATATTTTGCCCTTTTTTGTGTTATTGCGGGCCAGATAAAAGGACGCCGTAGTTTGGTGACCTCTGGTCAAATTGAAAGTGTAATTGAGCCAAAATTTTCGCAAATTACAATTACATTTACAATTACACAGAATGAAAATGCCTCAATTACATTACCATTACATGAAAAACTGTAATTTATTACATCAATTACAATTGATCCAACTCTTATGTGTATTTCATATTTTGTGCATGTACAGTGCTGTATTCTTCCTGTTTTAAAACACACAACAGGCGCTACATGAAACTGGTTCGCTGCACATTTTTAGGTCTGTTATTAAATTATTGGGCGGCAATGCTTATTTATTTTTTCAGAGGTCAATTTATTTTTCTCATGAGTCTTCTCAAACATGATTTGTGTAAACTTTGTATCTGGATTGATATATTTTTTCAATTGTATTCACTCCAAAGTCTCTGTTAATAATTAATTGACTCTGTAGTGCCGGCTGTTATTTGTCTTATATTTTATAAAAACTGGCCGGTGCCATGAAGCACCTATTTATGCCTACTATCGATACTTCAAAAAGAAAATGGGTACCACAAGATATAGTGATTGATTTTTGACCTTTTGGTTTTGCTGCTTCAGACAGCTTGTTAACTAAGCCATGGACACACAGTACTTATTAAACCATATTATTATGCCAATGTTCCAGTTTATGGGTTGTTTAAAATGACCCCTTTGTTGATTCTAGCTGAAACAAACATGACTTGCTTCTAACAATATAAAATTATGAGCACATATTAGTGCTTATCTGACCAACAGAGAAGCAATTTTTGCCTTATTATGGGAGAGCTGTATGGAAATACCCTCATTTTTAGTGCTAAAAATAGACTTCGTCATTTTTATGGCCATTAGCAGGGTAATAACCGTAGTTCTATCAGGTGCTAAAATACTGTTTTATTGCAAGGCCAATCTTAGCATAGGATATTTGTCGAATGTTTCAATCTCTTTTTTATACCAGTGTTTATTTTTTACTGACATAAGCTGCAGCATATTCCAAAAATCAACTTGTCTGGATGTTGTGGAAGAGTAAACTCAGGTGCTGTTCAGTTTGCCATCTCATAAGTACAGTAACTGCATAGTGGAAACCAGTGGTGAAATTCACAAAGGCGTAGTCTGAATTAGGCCAGTCACTGCTCGCTTATTCGCAATAGATTCTAGGGCCTTATGGTCCAAACCTATGTTTAATCAAAAAAGTGAAATTAAATGATATTCAGGATAATGTAATATTGAGCTGAATATGTGAAAATTTGACAAAGAGATAAGATTATCAGATGGAGAATTTATGGTCTGAAAGATAAAAAAAACGGCGCTTCAGAAATATGCGTATCACAATGGAGGTAACTAATTTTGTTCGCCTACTATAAATCAAGTTGTGTAAAGAGACGGAAGCTTATTGGAAGGGGATATTTTCACTTAGCTTCTCATACAGTCCCCAAACTCGTAATAGAATGAAAATAAGGAAAACCGGAATAAAATGATGTCCTAACCCTAACCTGGTACACATACTTCGGGAGTACCAAAATAACTGTGTAATCTTTAAAGGAAGGATACTTGTGAACAATAGTGAAAAATATTACAAAAAAGGAAAAAATGAATAACATGAATTAAATGAATAATAGCATGAAATGAAATTAGTCACTGCTAAATATTAATTATCTTTATTGTATGTTTTTCTTGCACAAAGTAATAATTTTGCATATTGTTGCTTTACAGTTTGTAAGCTCTGTGATAAATATCTCATGGACAGACTCAGAATTCCAAAAGACTTGGAAAAAAGAACTATGTTATTACGTTGAACAATTGTTACCGAAGGTATGTATTGGACTGCATTTTTTTGTAAATGAGTTACTTCTAGCTAGAATTGTTCTAATTTTTTTTCATTTTCAATTTATGATTTTCTATTTTTAATGTTTATGTAAAAATTGCGGGAATATTTGATTCTGCGGCAATAATATATTTCAGATATTGTTTCATTTTAAAAAAAATCATGGCTATAATTTGTAGCAAATTTTCAATTTGCCACTTTGAAATCATCAAATATTACCCAAGGTACCGTAATCCTTGACTGTAAACCTCGATTCTCCGTGTAGCACTTGTAATTTACCTTCGGTGTAAAACAATGATTTCATATTCAAGCAACAATGAAATCATGGATATTTTTTATGTGAAATAGGTCATTTCATAAAACTTCACAAGGTATTTGACCTAAATAACAGTGCCCATGAAATAAACAGCAATCGTGGGCATCCCAAATTTCTCCTATCAAAAACGAGACAATCTAGTATTTGATTGGTTAAAGCAAAACCTTTTTCTCGTAAAAGTAAGAACTAAAAATAGATAAATTATCTGGTAAATTGACAAACCCTAAGCCCATTTGAATAGAATGACTTGAGTCGAAATGGGTGGGGGGGTGGGGGCTCGGGAGGGCAAATAGAGTGGGAGAGAAAGATTAGCTGTTCTAGCTAATTATGTTGTTAGCATATCGACAATTGGACAATTCCGTTTAAGGTGCAATTTATACTTTATGATTTAAATTGTGTTTTATAAATTCTTTGTATTAATGATCATGAGTTGTTTGAACAAAGCAATAAAAATAGTATTAAATAATGGTAATTGTGTTGATCTGTTAGTTTCCTAATTGAACATGTATAACTTTTGATTAACATACCAGTAATTGTTTTATATCGGAATCTAGATTGTAGGAGTCTAATATATAATTAAAATAGTAAAACTAATCATTATCATTAAACTAATCAACTACAACTAACAAATAAGATAGCCGCAACAATTTTTGTTACAATCTATCATTTTCCTTCAAAAAACTGCTGGAAAATTGAGCTTTCATTTTTTTTTCACATTTGATCAATCATACTATAAATGTAAAACATCAATTTTATTGCAGCAATGTTTCATCCGGCTCACTTATGCCTGAAATTATGACTATAGGTTTTACGGATATAAATTTCTATTGAAAGAAATATCCATAAATATAACGAATCGTCAGCTAAAATAAATATTTTGATAATTTTGTGGCATGAAGTTTAATGCAGTCTTAAATATATATAATAATAGAGTGAATAAACAATAGTTATTGTTGATTGATCCTATATTGATGAAATTGAAGGTGACATTGGCCACATAGCAGCAAATCTGAATTTAGCTTAAGAGACTATACAACAATTTTTCATACAAAATTATTTATCTCCACATTAATTATATTATTGCATTGTGCTCATCTATTTCATCAGATATTTTCATTAAATTCTTTTATTGTAAAAAGATTTGGCAGACAAAAGAAGATGATGGATTTTTAAACTTTTTTGAAAGAAGCATGCCAAAATTACAAATTGTTGATGAGCTCAATGAACTGCTTGAAAAGTATGCTTCAAAATGTTGTGAAGATTTCCTTCAAACTACACAGCATAAAAATGGGGACCATTCTACAAAAGAGGTCTTGTTGCAATATCTAATTTTTTTTATTCAGTGTTAGTGATATCTATGTTTTAGGAAATCCGTAGTTATGTTTACAAATTTTGTCATCCTTGATTCTAATTTTATATTCTAAATGTTTTGCCCAGTGCTGCAATTGACTTGTCTTATTTGGCTGAATGTGAGTTGAAAGTTTGCAGATAGCTATCATTCCATATTTCATAGGAGAGACATGATATTTATATAAAATATTCTGTAAAATTCATATCGGCTATATTTCTTTCAGAATGAAATAAGTTTGTTCTAAAATAGGGTATTGTTAATTTTCATGAAATTTCTATTGGACTTCCCTATTATTCAAATATGAAGGATTTTATATTATACTACAAATATTAACTCTTATGCAATATAAACAATACTCCAATTCATTCAGAATGCTTCGGACTTTGTTAGACAAAAGTCAAAGCAAATGCTGCAGAAGATGAAATTTCCATTGTTGGCAGATAAGTTTGGGAGGATTCTTGTGAAAAAGTTTGACTTGTGGCATTCACATCAGTCTAGCAAGGATATTCCGGAATATTCTAAAACCGTTGAATTTCTCTCTAGCTGGCCGTTTGCAATGCCAATTTTTAATCATTTCTGTAAGTTAACTATTGAATATTTTATTCCTCTAATATCTCAGACAATTTATTTAATGGCTGTCATACATATACTTCAGTTTTGCTATACAAAAACTTATCGTAGGGATGCATGAAGATTGTGGCGAAGCAGTGACTTAATTCAACACCCCTTTTTCAAAAACTAAACAAACTTGAGTCATGAATGGAATAAATCAATCAATGAAAAGTCTCGACGAGACAATTCAACTCCCCTAACTTGATTCAATTATAGTTTGATTTGGCAACCAGGTACTATTCAATGTACTGATATCCATGCGACTTTGTCATGATATCAATCACTCTTAGAAAACTGAGAAAAGTAAGAAACAAACTCTCTCTAATGTGAAACTTTTGTTGTCTCTGTAGAGGTATATCCATATATCCTGATATGTACAATATTTGGAATGTAGTATTGGGCAAGAAAATTTACATTGTTCAAAAAATAAATTCAAAAATTTTTCTATAAGATTATTGACAATGGCATTTTTATATTTATACTGGTGTTACAAAATATATTATACCTATGGCATAGAATGGATGATAATGCACCACGGGGAGGATTATATAGGTTTGAAAGTGTTATGACAGCATGAAAAACATAGTGAAATATATAGTCTCAAAACTTTTACATGTGTTTTTGTTTTCTTATTTGTTCTACAACTATTTATGGTAAATTATTCATCGTCTCTATTAAGATTCTTCCACCATGCAAAACGAAAAATTGGGCAATAAGCTGACTAAAATAGATGAATGCATCATTGAAATTATGCAAAATACTAATGATGTCATTGGTCTTTTCAAATCTGGTAAACTCAACATCAGCATGATAGAAATGTTCATTGATAATTGTGGCAATCTTTTTGAAATAAATTCTACAATAAACAAGGTATGTAATTTTGTGCACCTGCTTTCTAGGCAGAAATAGTATTAGTGTAGCAATCCACGTTTTATGTTAATGATTTTCTATGAGCTTCTTCATTCATAAGCCAGTTTTTGTGAGATGTTAAAATGACAGTTCTGAAGTTCATTGATCTGTCACTGTATTTATTTCTATTGTATCAAGCAAACAAATTTTATGTTATGTTGCATGGTCGAAATATGTCTCATATGCAATGCAGTTGTTTACTTGAATTTGAAGTATTAAACTCAAATATTTAAAAACATTAAATGCTCATAAATAATATTTTAGGAACCAAGACATGTTTCCAATCATGATAATATGTCATCGGTTGATCACACTCTTGAGGAACATGTTCGTAATCGTAAAAAACAAATTGACGCCATATCATTATCATACAAATTCATTGTGGAATTCATGGAATTATGTGCTTTGCTAAACAATGGTTTGTTGTGGTTTTGGTGTTTTGTTTTAAAAATAATGTTTTGTGTGTGTGCTTTTTGTTACATTGATTTTATCTTGGCGAACCTTTGATCAATTTTCTGAATTTAAAAAATAGTTATCATTCAGTTTTCAGGAGTTCAGTTAAAGTTTTTTATTTGTTTCGTTAGAGAAAATACAAATGGATATGGATACTTTAGGGAGTTTTCTCCACAAACCTTCTTCACTGCTGGCATCTGTAATCGATTTGTATGACATTCCTGAAAACCCAAATCAAGGAATTCATTCATATGGAAATATGGGAGGCGCAATTGCTCAAAGATTGTATCAAATTTCATCTATAAAGGTCCTGGAGTAAAACTATTAGTAAATGAATACATGCATGCATTACAATAGTAAATTTGCTGGATTGCAGAACTTTCTGTATTTCTTGAAACATATTAGTAAGTCAGAGCTTCAGAATTTCAAATGCTCAAAGCCCTATGCCAGTCAGTATCAACTGATATTCATGTAAATTGTCCACATCAAGATCTTAATTTGTCAATAATTAATTGCAACACCTCTATCGGTGAGAACTTGCGAATTTAGATTTATGCTCTTTCTTCGAGCAAACCCATACAATATTAGTATTGAACACATAATTAAATATGATTATTTCATCCAATGTTTTTTTCTTTTCCAGGGGAGTGAAGTTTTTCTAAAAATGTGGGTTGCTAAAGGCCAAGACATTTTCATTGATGCTGACTGTCATCATATAAACAAAAAAAAGATTGTATCTTGGAAAATGGCTCTGTTTGAACTATGGAATAAAGTTCAGAAAGACCTTGAGAGTGTGTTTTTCGATATACAAAAAGGTTAAATACAACAAGTTATCATTCATTTTCAATTATGTAAACTTGAATATCTTTTTTTGATCTTGATATTGCTTTAAGGCTCGTTGACGATTTCTCATGTACTTCATTGGTTTCGTTTTGCAATGGACACAGATAATCCTAGAGCGGCTGTGACTAAAGAAGTTGACAAAATTAAGCTTGCATGTGGAAAGTCAGGTAAACATCTAAATTTTAGAGTTATTTCGATTAATATTACTAACAGTTAAATTTTAATTAGGTAAGTGTTTGTTGGTAACACAGCACAAAGTAAACTGGACAAAAAATTGAAATGTCAGACATCAAAACTTGGCATGACAATGTTTGGGGAATGATCAAAAAGTACATGTAGTGGTTGTCATGCTGTGCCAACTTTAAAAGAGTGTCCACTTCAAACAGTGTGCCACAGATATAGATACTAAAAATTGGATTGTGGAAGTGCCCTTCTATGTATTATGCTCTGATGGGTTTTATTATATGTTTATATTTCATACTGTGTATGGGAAATTTATATTACATACTGTGTTCTCCAAATCCCCTAAAACAACACTCTACTTGACTGCATACAAATAAATGTGTTATAATTGAAAAAAAAACTTGTAACAGACGTACAGAATTACAAAATCAGATCAAGCACGATAACACTCGCCAAATAGTTATTAGAAAAAGCCGGTAATTAATTTTAGAGTCACTCCTTTATAACCAAATGTAGTACAAATAAATTTCTAAACAATAGGAAAATGAATATTAGATAGACCTGAATGAACATGAATTATTTACAAATACACGGCCCTTGCTGGACGACAAAACCAGCATTAACTAAGAAATACTGACAAGGCAAGTAAGGCGCCGAAATACACTAAACACACAAATGTGGACGTGTGGTTCTTAATTGCCAACAATGCACTTTGTCAATCAACAAGCATTACAGTACATACAGTTGATTGATATTTGGTAAACTCTTCAGCACCCATAGGCCATGGGTCCATTTTTTGGCTTCAAGATTAGAATTAGGATTTACATATTTATATCGTGGAGAGAAAAGTCTATAAGACAGTCTATAATCATATGGCGAACCACTGCCTGTCGTCCGGTTTTTAGTCTATTTCGATTATTGGCTTAGTTAGCCAGGTATTACAGAAATCCTAAATGGCTGAAATTCAAAATAACTCAATATGGACCGAAGCCGTGCTAATGCCATGGCAAAATTGTATAATCAAAAACATAAAAACAATTAGATATGATGAGATTTACATATTTATCCCAGTGGAAAGGAAAGCTGATAAGACAGCTTAAACATATGGTGAACCACGGCCTCTCGTCCGGTTAACAGTTTATGTCGAGTATGGGGTTAGTTAGCCAGTTATTTGTTCCAGACGCATGGACTTGATGGTGGACGAAATACACGATATAACGAGCCGGTGAATTATTTGTTTAAAACAATGTAACAAAACAATGTACATTTTTATAACAAAATGGCAAATGGGTGTATAAAAAGAGAATTACAAATGTGTAATCAATTTGCTGGTGAAGAATATATAAAGTGAATTGTCAGGAAGTGAAAAAAAACTAGTAACGGAAAACACAGTGAAGGAAGCGAGTATGGCAGTCATAACATCAAACCTAATGGAAGCATCAAAACTAATACGAATCACACAGTGGGAAAAAATAGTACTTCACATATCAAAATGACATGGACAATCTACCAATTTCTTACTTACTTATATACATATCAGATACTGAATTTAACTCATTTATCATGACAAAAATGTACTAAGAAATGATGCAACACCGAGTACAATAAATCTAGAAGACTGTTGAAGACATCATTAGTAAAATGTTTTCTATCCTGTTTTAGAGAAATTGTTAGAGACAACCTGGTAATTTGGGAATGCATTGAGTGTAAATACAATAGTAACTTGATGAACGCAAAATAGTATTTTAGATTATATCTTTACTTCTCTCTATGTGTTGTTTTCACACATTTTGTAAATTTGGAGGAGGAGTAATGACATAAGCAGAAATTAATATCTTGAACTAAAATAATTATAGGGACAGGGCCTTGTCAATCTTATTTGCGCAGCCAAAGAGTCAAAAAACTGCTGAGAATATTCATATGCAGCGTTATGGACAGGGAAAACTCAGCCAACTAGCAGTTTTTGCAATTACTCTGTCGTTCAAAGAATTTAAACCTGTGAACCATGAAGAGTGTAATCAGTGACAGGATTAATAATTCATTTCTCCATATGTAAACACTACCTCTAATATTACAGCAGTTAAAAATAAGCCAACAACTTGATCAGAGTATGTGCAAAATTGAGGATGATCCAATGCGATACGATGAATTTGGTCTGATCTAAATTAGCTGAAATACTTAGTGGGTGTATCAGATGACACATTTGCGTATTTGCACAGTGTTAAACGTTGTGAAAAAAATATATTGAAATGTCTGTATAAAACTTCTAACTTGGATTCAAGTACCTCATTCCAAAGTTGTTTTTAAGTACTTTATTCCAACGTTTTTGTCAACTGAAGATGTTTTTTTACCACTTCCATTCCCCATATTTTTTTGGTTGAATATTTCAATGTCATGCAGATGAAAATTTGACGTTGAAAGCCAAGTGTCGAAAGATATGTGACATTCTTAAAGCAAAATTACGTGAAGACTTTGCTGATCTCATTTATGAAGCTCAGAACTGTCTGGAATTAAATGATCAGTTTCAAGAACTACAGCAAGTTCAGGTTGGATTACTTTTAAATTCCCAATACTCGCGTTCACTAAAGGGTCAAGTTGGGTTTACACTACATAAATCAAAACAATGATGTCAAATCATGACAATACATTAATTGGTAGAAAAAATTTATTTTAATTGCTGTTATTTTTGTTGGTTTCATGTAAAGAATGATTTTATTATTTTGTGTATACCTGTACACATTACCATCTGGCATTTCATGCGAAAAATCCACTCTGATCTATACATATGAAATTATGTACATCACCCCTTTAGTGGGGAGGTTTTATGGTAACTGATTCAGATATAATGAAAAAATTAAATGCCTTCAAATTTTTTTTTTTAAAGAAAGTTGAGGAAGATATGGGAAACACTCTCAATCAGTTCAAAAAAGAAAGCAATTATGAGTTTCTAAATTTGACCTCAAGAAATGTTGCAGTTTTAAGAGCATTTCTGAATCAGCAAGAATTATTTAGATGGCTCAAACTCAATATGCAAGGTATTTTTCAGCTTAAATATTGAAAATTCTTTATTCAAATTTATACTTAAAATTATTCCTTTGTTAGATAATTGCTGTTTAAAACATCAAGTTTATTACAAGAGAAAAATTGATATCCAGTCTTTTATAGAAATCATTTTATTTTGTATATATTGAATCAGTGGTTCTCAACCTTTTTTCTGAATTACCCACTTCAGTTAATTCTGAGACCTTGTTTTAAAGCAACAGAAAAAGTTGCGATGCACTGCTTTTATTAACTGCCCATAGTGTTGCATCCCCATAATTATATATGTTTACACAACAACAAGTTGACAATCATTTTCTTCAAAATTTTGAGTACTGAGGCACCATGGTTGAGTTGTTGGCATCATGGTCATCTATCTTTGATTAGTGCTATTGTGATTTTAATTGTTTGATAATATTCATTCATTGTGTTTACTGCCTGTAATTTTTTACAAATTTGTTTACACCCCACTAGCAATCTCTCAATTGCTACAGAACTGTGTTAAACATATCAAAATATGATTAAATATTTCACATATTGTATTTATTGTAAATGTTTTATTGTTTCTTACTTTAAATGTTGTATATAGGAATCAATAAATTTGTTTCACCTTTTTATGTCGTATATTTCTGTTACGTAGTGTTTGCCTCTATTATTATGTAATGAACGAGATAGACACTCTCTGCTACAATTTTGTGAGCTGTAGTTTATTTATCTGCTGAACCTAGTTTAGCAAACATGACTGATTTTTTTAAACATTTCAATGGGAAATCGGGCAGGAATGAGGAAGAAGAATTGACTTCTTGCTTTTATTCCTTAGACCTACATGTTTACAAACTTTTAAAGGCATAAATTACACATTAACGATCACGAAAATGAGTTTTTTTCAAAAGTAGCATTTTTTTTTGTACAAGTGAGATTTTGTGCTTATAATTTGGCGCCGCACAAACAAAAATTTTGGGAATCACTGCTTTATGCTATAATATAAATTGCTATCTACCCACAAAGTAAAAGTTGAACAGCAATGATTTTAAGTCTGGATATTTTATTAATTATGAATCAGATGATACAAAATCAAACATAGGAGGAATAGTTTTATAGTATGGACCTATTTCATTCTAAAATTGTTTTTTTGTTTTTCGATGATCTGTATACAGATGGCACTCTAGCGCTGCCTAATAAACCTTTAGTAGTTTGGATCAGGAAATAAAGATGCCTATATTTCTTTAAGTAGGCTGAGGCCTTTTCAATTCGCACAAACTTGATATTTCTATTTCTGTAAAACTTTAGCTTGCTTTGAATAAAAATGATATATTAATAAACTTTTGGTTTTAAATAGGGGTGTAAGACATATTTCTTGATCTATTGCCTTTTATTGATCTTTTGAAACTTATGTTTATTGTTATTGTTTTCGTTTCTATTATATAATAAATTTAATTTTATCATTAAGCTCTCACCCACCAATTTATTAATGATTCTAATTTAGATAGAAGAGGTGTGAAAGTATTTTGTGATTTGGGAATGATATCAGCTGGGGAAAGTGCGTACGAGGTTGACAAAGTATCTTGTTTGCTTAGTGCTGTAATTGGTTTTTCACCACTTATATTTGATGTATCTGAAGATGTTAGTCTCGAAGACTTTGTAAAGTTGTGTGAAGAAGTTGGTACAAATTATGCAAAGGATGCAAATTTAATACAAAACTGGGTGTGTAACCTTTTTTGCTCAACGTTTATTATTTATGTATTGTGTGTGAATATTTGACTCTCATACACTATGGGATCCTGTACATTTTCTACTGAAGTGATTTTTATCTTGTTCTGATAATTCATGATATTTTCAACTAAATTCACTCTCAATTGAACAATTCATTTTACTTTTGTCTGGTTCACATATGTAATATTAAAGCAGTCATGAAGGTAGACTTGCCCAAATTTGTAAATTTGGCAGTAAGTGCTCATTCTTTGTGTATCAGATGATTTTTTGTTCAAGTTTTATGTGACTTTTTATTTTTAATATGTTCTAGAACGACACAAGTAATAGGTTGGAATGGTTTGAAATGATTTGTAATTTGCATGGATCAGTTGAAAATCAAAGTCTAATGCAAGTTCAAGAAATCAATAAATGTGGAATTTATGTCATAAAGAAGCCAAACAAAGGGAATATAGATATGAACAATTGCGTTCAATTGGTATTATCTGGTTCAATGGGAAAAGAAGGTGGAAGAAACATCTTTCTTCTTAACTTTAATTTTATCTAGGATTATTTTAGTTTGTAACAAAATAAACTTCATTGAAATTAGACATTTTACCCTAATGTTTGCTTTTAGATAATGGAAAGCGGGCCAGAACTAATCATACTCATCATAATTATAATCATAATTATCACAGCTTCTAGTGTAGTTAAAATTTTTGGAATAAGTATGACAATAACTATTATTGTTTGTTTATATTCACAGTTCAAAGTGAAGGAAACCATAATATAACTGATAACCAATGCTTTACATATTCGTTTTGTTTGATCAAGGAGTGAATCAATCTTTTCTATTAAAATCTTCCATTTTTAAGAGTTTCTACTTGTAAAATAGAATAATATGGAATGACGACTTATAAGAACTTACAATTTCAGGGAAAGAAGAAAAAAAAGAGAAAATTCTTGCTTTAAATGATCTCATAGATCTTCAGTCTAAATTGATGCTTATTGCTGGCGAATCTGATAAAGGACAAGAAGATGTTGCGAGATTCAATGAAGTATTGATGGCAGTTGAAACTTTTACAAAAGCTTTTGTGGATTTATTGAATATGGGTTGCATGCTGTTTGACGATTTCAATGCAAAATTCATGTAAGGCTTTAAACAACAGTCACACTTTGATACAATGAATATTTTATTGAATCTACTAAATATAAATAACATCTTCATTAAACCCTTTTAGAAGTAGTTTTATATTCCCATGTCAATGTACAATATTTTTTCAGATGTGGGAATCATGAAAATGAAATTTCAGATGAAATCTTAATGATTATTCATTTTGCTGAAGATGCCCCACCACTGAGTCAAACTGGAACTATTAAGGATATTCAAAGTATTGCACAAGTGCTTATGAAGGCTTATGAAGAGTATGAATTGATTTTATATTGTATAATATTTTAAATAACAAATTTATTATTATTATTAAAGTTAGACAGATGGATTTATCATATATTTACTACGGTAGATGAATTTATCATTTATTTGGTAAGACAAATTTATCCTATTTCTCTAAACTTTAATTTCATGAACATTTAAATTTGGTAAAACGCTAGGATAAGTATCATTAGGTGCAATGTGGACATGTATTCAAAATACAACAGGAAATGTAAATTACAGACAATGAAAGTACTGTCATTTTTATCAATTAGTAATATTTTATAGACACAAAAATTAATTGACAAACATTTAAAAAAATAAATGAATACTGTTATATTCAGCTGGATATTGCGAATTGATGATTTAAGAAACACCTATTATTACCTGAATGAATTCAGTCAAGACCAAGTTGTATATCTTTGTAAGAAATTGATGCAAAAACATTTGCCTGACCAGGTTAATGAATGTACTTCTCTACTATTGATACTTATTTATTCATTACGCTTTCCAATTTATTAAGTTGATTTTGCATAGCTTATTGAAAGATTTGATGTTTATTGCTAGATTTATGTGTTTATTCAAATTATTTTTGTGCCATTATGTTGACGTTTTAAAATACAAAAATTCTAATCTTAAATAATAAAAATAATAGCAATATCCCAAATGCAAAGATTAGATTGATGAAAGATAAATATTCTTATCATATAAATTTATTGTAATATATTTTATGTTTATCACCACACAGTAAGCATTTCAACTATTGGATATTAATATCTCTGACATGAACATGAGCAAAAGCACATGAATATCTGATTATGTTCCCATTCAGAGACTCCTTTAAAATCTATTGTATCTTAAATTCTTATCAAAATATATTATTTGTTTATATGTCATAAATGTAAATTTTTCATTCACTCCATATAGGTATTCACATTGCTTAATTGTCATTCAATACAAGATATAAAAGAAGCATTAGCTGATTTGCAAGAAGATGAGATACAGAATGATTCTTGTTTTACCTCTAACCTTCCCTCATCTGAATTGGAAGCAGGTATAATTTCTTTATTTAATATAACACGGGACATCTCATGCTTCAAATTTTAATTTATGGGTTATTATTTTGAATTTCTCCATGGTGATTTGAACACTTCTAGTGCCATTATCAATTCAGAATGCAGACTGTCATGATGTAGTAAGTCAATTACCTTATATTAATTTATACGGGAGGCAAATGAGGGTCCTACTGACATCATCTAAAATTCTGTCAATAAATTATCTTTGACGATTGAGAAGGATGCTGATTTAGTATGTGCCCTTATCATGCTGTGAACAATGGTTCTCATTGCATTTGTTAAGGCCATTTTCAATACAAATGAGACAGCTGCCTTACTGAATGAAAGTTGATTGAGTAAATATTTCCACTGAATTCTCTAGATTTTAATTCGAAAATGAGACTATTTTCGAAAGAAAAATTGCTCTCAAATTCACCTGCTGAATTAATGCATGTAGAATTATCAGTTTATTGCCCATAATAGCACGATAGCACAAAAATGTTTTATTGTAATAAATTCTTCAGAACATAAAATTCTGCTTTTTTACTATTAAGTAAGCAAATCCATGGATTTTAATATTTTAATTTATTTTTATGTTGCACTTCTCATTTAACATATAATACACTCATTTGTAAATCTTTGATTAATGATATATTTGTTTACAAAGCAAACTAATGTGTAAAAATTTAAAATATAACATTATGCAGTAATAAGACTTGAATATAAGAAAAATTATGACCTAATACCGGTTAGGGTAAAAATTGTAATCCTTCGATCTCACCAGTAACCAACATAAATCAACATAAATATACAGGCAAAATCATGACTCATGGTTCATGTTTTTTTGATTTTTATTATCCAATTATCTCATTTTTTGTCTCTATTGGCATAGAAAGGGGATAGCCAAAAGACCATTAGCTCAAGACTTGAGTTTGAAAAATTTTTCAAAATTTCAAGAAACTAGAAATAGTAATGACATTTCAAAGCAATATCCGGGCATGCTTTGATGATAACCAGTCTTTTATTGGTATGGATTGATGCAGAAGTTCTTCCTCGCAGATCCTCAGTTTTTGGCTATTTTCGTTTGTCCTTTGAAATATTTATTTGCAAGAGCGATTGTCGTGCGGTGTATGGTATGAATAACACCAACAAATTACCCGGACCGTCGATCTTAATGGCTATTAAATTTCTGTTATAAGGTCATAAAACCTCAAAATGAGATTGGGAGATTTTGTGGTTTGCGCTGTAGATTCTATTGTCAAATAACAAACTCACCTTACATGTATGTGGAGTTTTGATTTATATTTTGTTTAATTTGTTATTCAAATTAATTAGAAACAATTTGACTCCTGATTACTGATCATGGATCACCAGTGTTCCACGAAACACCTGTTGAAAATCAATGTCATATAGAGCATGGCTTGAGGCAAACCCTACTTGAATATACATAAATACATTGGATACTTTTATAAACTTTCACAATAATTTATACAGTGATTTGTTCAAATTAATTCATATTACAATTATCTGGTTGATTTTTGAATTGTTGAAGCCGTTTTTTTTTCCAGAAATAGATCCAAATCTTATTGAAAAAAAGGTTCAACTAGTAAAAAAAATTGTGGATTCTTGTGATGAAGCCAAATTTGACATGACCAGAGCAGCAGTTCAGGATTTGGGTCTGGCTGATGAACTAGACATTTTAACATGGATTTGGGATCATGAGAAAGATAAGGAACTCATAATAAAGTTATCTGAGGAATTTAAAAATGATGAAGGTACTTTTATTTATATATACAATATGACAGAGCTAAAATTATGAGAGATTTTTTTTTTAAATATTTAAACTTTTCAGTAGGGTGCTTTGGTGCAGTTTGTTATAATTATGTTTAAATTTAATTTTTTCCTGAACTTGGTTTTCTTGTTGGCGATGAATAGGTAATAGCAAATATGTTACAAATTTCTAGATAATTATTATATGAAATGGCAGAATTTTTTCAGTTGGAAAAAATTAGATGTAAATTTTTATTCATTTCATGTTCAATACGGTATATATCTAATGTTTGAATGGAATCCTATTTGATCATCTATACCTTTTCTTTCTCATCTTATTTCCTGGTCTACCAATGTTCAGTCCACAACAAATGATGATAATTTTAATTAGCTTTGGGTAACAGAACCACTATTGAATTGAACTATTCACTGCTTGTAGTGTAAATGAAATGAGAAATACCCTAACTCAGAGTTTCCCAAACTTTTTGGGCCGCAGACCCCTGTTTGTGAATTTCATTTTTAGCAGACCCCCATCCTATGCTGTATTAATTTCTAACCAACGAGGAAGGATAATGTTCCCTTCGACGAAATAAAACCCATACAATTCTGATTCAAGACATATTAAAGTTATATTACTGGTAGACCAATGGCAATTCGATAAGATTATGATCTATAATAATAACAGGCTCAAATGACCTTAGCAAAGTTGTCGTACAAGATATCAACTGGTGATGACTCAGTAACCCATATGATCAAAAATTACCAACGATGTAGCCCTGTGACGAAGGTCTATATTACAGATGCTAAAAGCAAGAATCGTTCTACAACATCTTTTCCTCTCACATTGTCAAATTTTTGTAACAATAATGTTTTGCGATTGCGGGAACTCGTGACTTTATCTCGTTTATGAATGTCTATGTGACAGTGTACATACAGTAAAATGTAATGTTTCAGACTCTTTTCATATTGTTGCGGACCTTCTGTGCAGTCATCACAGACCCCCTGTTAAGTTATCATGGACCCCCAGAGGTCCGCGGCAGAGTTGGATCAATTGTAATTTGCAGTTGATGTAATTAATCACAGTTTTTCATACAATTGTAATGAAATGAATGAAGGAATTTTCATTCTGTGTACACTTTAAATTAGACTAAATCTTAGTATTTTGAAAATGGATGAACATCAAACAAAGTATTCCGAAACCTGTGTTGAACCCCTTCCTGCACCATTGTCAGAGTTTCTTAAATCTTTGAGCTGCACTGAGGCATGCTTTAACAACTGCAAAAAGAAACTTAAGTTCTCAACCAAGGCTTCGTCAAACTTGATCACGCACTTGAAGAAATGTTCTCCCCATCCATATCCTAAATACATAAACTTCAAAAGAAAACACCATGAAGGCTAAGGTTGATCATAGCCAACCACCTATCAAGTCATTTTGTCAAACTTCTTCATCCCAGCAATGGCAGAAGATTTAAAAAAGAAAAGACCAAGAAAATCAGAAAGTGAAGTAGATACCTATTTGGGGGGAAAATTTTTTGCAATTTGATGAAGACCCATTAATGTATTAGAAGAAGAAATCAGAAGCATTTTCCATGATTGCTTTTTTAGCCAAGGATTATTTGAGACTAACAGCAACATCAGCCCCGTCAGAAAGCGTTTTACAATTGTGGGTAACTTTTATACGGCAAGAAGAAATTTATTGGGGTCAGAAACTTTTCGCAGCCTAATCCTCATCAAGTGCAATCCAACAGTTTTTGAGCAAGTGAAAATGTAAATACAAACCAAAATGATATAATTGTAAATGTAACCGTAATTTGATCTTTTTTGCACGGAGTAATTGTAATGTAATTGAACTGAATTAATGTAATTGATCCAACTCTGGTCCGCGGACCCCAGTTTGGGAAATCCTGCCCTAACTGACTATCTGATTGATTGCATGGCTCTTCAATACATCCTAGTGTGGCCAAGATTACTCGCCAATAACAGTTCCTGAAAATTAATGAATAAAAATAATTTTCCGACCCTCCAAATCTTAAATAGATATTAGAACCTTGGTTGTCGCTGTTTGATAACCAGCTCTGGTTCCCGGCAGTCTTCTTTCATCCTAATAAAATTATGTTCTTGACATTTTTAAATATTTTCGTATTTGTTTCATTAGAAAAAAATAACTTGGAATATAATTAATATGGCTAAGCTATTTTAGTCAGGTATCAATGCTGGAATTGTACATCAGATTATAAAATAGTTCAAAAAATAAATGGATACCAGGGACAGTGGATAATAAAATGGTATTATATTTCGTAAAGAGGCACAAACTATTTATATATGCTGAGAAATATGAAATCATAAGCAATGTTTAAGGTACTGGTATCAGGTATGTCTACTGAGCCAGCATTTCTCATGTGTACAATATTTGGCACAAAGTCACATTTTGGTTATGAAATTCTTAAGGCTATTAAATACATTGCAGACTTTGCATATGCTGAGCAAAATACTACAACATATCCACAGTTACTTCAAAACAGAGATCAATTCACTTTGACAGAAATCCTTTTTCGAGCATCTATATGTGAAAAATTAGATCCTGGAAGAGTGATTAAAACCATTTGCTGTGATTACTCCGCGTTAGAGTCGGTAAGATACTGTAACAAATCATGAAATATATTCAAAATAGGTATATTTTTTTATTTAAGTTTTCAAAAAGCTGTAGCTAGCTATAACTAAATGCTAACTTATTTACACAATTTATCATTTGCTTTTACTTATTTTATCTGATAAGTTTTCATTTGTGTCATGTAAAAAAGAATAAAAACCAGAATACATTTATCTAATATTGACAGGATCTTCCCCTTGTTTAGAGAAACAAAAATTCCAAAAAAAATTAAATGAAAGTGAAACTAATCTTTGTAATTTAAAAAAAAATAATTTACCATAAGTACTTTATATTTATAACTTGTTATCCAAATTACCGTATTTCCCAGCGAATAAGCGGCTTTTCTAGACCCAAATGTTTGGCCTGATTTTTGGGGGGTCGTCTTATTAGATGAGTATGATAATTTTAATTTGTTGGTGTTCGTCTTATTATTAAATCTGGACAATAAAATACCTCCGGCGATAGCTTCTCCCACGTCCTCATCAGGTTAGTTTGAATAAATCGACATTCTCGTGCTGTGAATCTGGAATTCCAATGCTGTGATTATCATTTTTGAAGTTGCCGCATTTGTGTGGCTATCACCGATACATGTGAGATTGCAATTTGTGAATTTCGCCAATTGTTTTTGTCATCGTGATGTCTTATCTGAGCCGTAAACATCTTTCATTTCAGCATTTATTCTCCCCAAGTCAAAAATTTGCAGCGAGGACAAAGATAATTACTCTCAAGCAACCATGGCACTTGCGTTGTGAGATACGTGTTATGACATAATCATGCGTGACAAGATAAATAAAGGAGTGAATATGTGACCCGATTTTTCTTTTTTTAAAAGCGGCATTATAAAATACTGAAAATAAAACAGAAACACCATTTAAGTTTTATTTCAGGATGGTGACAGATTAAAGATGATTTTTAGGCAATAGCAAATCACAAAAACATTCTTTGTTCTACAATTGCCGACAGGGCCAGACACGACAATGCTATGTGTATAATACCGTAATTAATGTAAAGTATATTTAATTCATTTTTTTGAAATAAATTTACTCGGTGGGATATTATCCCTGACTTAAGGTTTTTTCCTACCGTAAAACCCTCAAAAACAACATATAATCCCAATTAAATCAATGAAGCAACATATTTCGTTTTGTGGAGATTTCGATGTGATGAATATGTATGTTTCATATAAACACATTATATGTATATTTATTCATAAAAACTAAATACAATCAGGTAGTTTATCTCATATTATTATGTCCGCAAATTGCCGTGTTAATTTAGATCGGTAATGTTCTTGTATGGCGGACGCAATCGCGAGTTGAACACAATTAGATTGAAACTGAAAGACAGTTTGAATTTCTGTAGTTGTTATGGACTGAATATTACACTACAAGAAAAGGTCATTATAGGCTATTTTAACCAATGCGCAAACGCGTCGACCGCTCAAAACGCATTGCATGGTAACTTAAGATTCTGACATTGATGCGATTTTACTACCCCGACTTATTGGCCGGTTATATGCAAAAACCCATTTTATCAGTCTTAAAAACGGGTTTCGTCTTATTCGCCCGGAAATACGGTAATTACTGTGTTTATATAGGCAATAATCTACATAGTTTTATACCCAATTTATTTTTACAGAGACTCAAAGTCAAAAATTTCCTAAACATCAAGCATTTAGGAAAGTTTCTTCTGAAGCTGAAAGAAAGTATATCAACAGCATCAAATATCTGTCAAAAGCTATATGATCCACTGAAGGCAGGACAGCCAAATATTGTGGTTTGTCCTGCAAATGAAATACTTATAAGAATTATTTCATTTTACAATAACAATCAGAATTTGCCTCTTCCATCTAATTCAGAAGTTCTTTTGTGTAATCGAAATACTTCAGCTGACGAGGTGGAAAGATTTCTGAAGCGTGTAATGTTCAGTTGCAATTTTAAAAGTGAGTATTGATGAACCTCTAAATGCTAATTGCAAATGTTCTGAAAATGCATAATAGATTACTAAATTAGACATTTAAATTTACAATGTTAGATAATTTGCAATCAACTTGACATGGAATCTTACTAATGAGTTTGTTTCACCATATTGTTTCAAGTATTTCAAACTTTTGAGTGGGGTATTTTTTCTAGCTACAAAATAGTGCTATAAAACACACCAACCCTCAGTATAATAAAACTTTATACTTGAAACATTATTAATACATTGAGGAATAATTTGCTTGTCTCGGCCGCGTGGCGCATCGTGCTAAGAATTAGGAATACGCTCGCCACTGTATTTCTGATTACCCCTCGTGGGTTCGCAGGTTCGAATCTCATGCGGGGATGATCATGTGCGAGAGGATTGCTGGACTCCCCGCCGCCGTAGGGTGGTTCACGTAACCGCTGGTCGGTTACGGCTTCCTCCACCATCAAGTCCATGCTTTCGAGAACAAATACCTGGCTAACTAATCCCATACCCGACCTGGACTGGTAACCGGACTAGAGGCCGTGGTTTGCCATATGCCTAAACCGTCTTATCGCCTTTCCTCTCCCCCGAGATAAACATATGTAAATCCTAAATCCCTAATGTAAAGTTATGTAATGGTAAAATCGCTTTGAGTATCAACAATTTCTTTAATATATTCTCATTACAATAAGGCTACTTATTTTTATTAAATTATTTGTAGGCCAATTGATACACTGCATGGCATGTGCTGACTATTTGGAGGACTCCGTATTCAGCCATTTGCAAAAAGTATATGAAACATTGTCTGTATCTGCTAATTTAGACCAACACTATAAATTAGTTGTTCTGGTCAGCAAGCAAAAGCATCCTATCATAACATACTTTGATAAGGTAGGATTTGAGACAAAAAGTGCTGTTAATAAGAAATATTTGATTTTGTTGAGTTTTGTTATCAGTTTCTCTATTTCATTATTATATGTTTGGTTTTAGATTTAAACTGAAATAACCAAAAACTGGATAAACTGTGTTCACAATCGAAGTCAACTATGTTATCAGATAAATCCAAATAAATGGAAGGGTGATATATATATCCCTTTCTATATAGTTGTTGAAAATACAATAAATAACAGTATTTATTGTTCAACTTTCAGCATTGTACTATTGTGTGCTAATCAAATGTTTGTATAGTAATGTTGAGCATAATATCTCAATCTTTTTCAATTCTCAATAAATTGAACATTTTGTGTTATTGTTTGTGATAAAATATGCCTCTTCCTGAACTAATATTTGTTTTTTTTACAGTATATCATAGAACTGAAATCTCATTTGGACAAAAACGAAATTTCTCAATATCTTGCAAAGAAGTTAGTCACTTGTGATGATGTGAAAAAACCTTTGATAACAATTGTCACATCTAATCGTTCTGGAGTTGGTATGACATTTTTTCCTTTATTGTCTTTGTCATTTATATAAACTAATTTGAATTTGCCCTCAAAAGTTGAGATTGACTTACCGTATTCAAACTTATAGCTTAAATATATGTACTCGAGCTTGAGACTCTCAGCTTGCTATTTAAGCATTTCTCTATTATGTTCATTCATTATGTTCGCTGTATAGACTTTTGTTCAGTCTTGTCAATATACACTTTGAGTTCTCCATTATTTTTGAAAAACTTTGTAAAGAAATGTTTTAAATGCCCTTTGTAACCATTCAATTTGATAGTTTCAGCAGAATATGTCTAATTTTTATCCTACATATATAAATCTACATTCAAAATTTTTGAAAATTCAACAGTGAAGTGAAAAAAACAATTAGATTGCTTCCACTAAAATTAATTAAGAATGATGACTTCATGGTGTCATTCATGTTTTTATGTTGAAGATATTATAATCGAGTGGTAAACTTGGGTGTTTGTATTTATTAGTAATTATATATAAAAAAATTTGTTATAGGAAAATCCCTTTATGTGCAAAGAAAAATGGACACTCTTGGTGATGAATTCAACAAGACCACTATTCGTTTATTGCAGAAAACAATATCAATTGATCAAGTAGTGGAAAAACTCTCGAGGAACGGAGTTGTCAACAATTCTAAACATTTCATTCACATGGATTTTACCCCAGCCGTATGAAATATTTATGCTATAAGTAGTAACCAACTGAATTTGTTCAAACACTAAGAGTTTCAATGTATTAACAAAATTACCAGATAGTGGTCAGATATACCTGGGGCAAAAATAAAGTTTTTAACTTTTTCAATCTCCATATTTATGCAATACATTTATCAAGCAAGACTTATGCAATGCTTAGCTGCTTTTCCTCTGCCAGTTTTGTTGTTTACAAGCTAAGGCCAAGTTGAATTATTTTACCCTCAGCTGAGATTACATGAGGCAGTACAATCTCAGCACACCTATTTCTGGGACAAGCATCATTCTAACAAAATCAGATAGCAGCATATACGAATACAGATATGACATCATATATGACACTGTTAAAGTTATGTATACTCTATGCATCAATAAAAACCATATTTCTAAAATCAATTTCATGTATTTAGATTCAGCATGGTGTTGATCAGTTAGTGTTCAATCTATTTATTCTTGGGAGTATATCAAATAAGCACGGAAAAATGTGGCGAAGATATCCACAACATACTTACGCAATTGAATTGACATCGTCAGTAGCCACTTCATTAAAAGTATTACAAATACAATGCCAATATACTGATCTTTTGTATGTCATTATTTATTCGACACAATAAAATAAACAATACTTTTTACAGGTTTCAGAAAATCAAATTTTATCCTTATTCCCCAAAATTTTGTGTGTCAGTCCAAGGAAAGCATGCCAAATTTATGAATCTGATAATGAGAAAACTAATGAAGTTCTCTTTGACGAAAAAGAGTTTCGATCGGACGTTTTTCAGCGACCATATCAGTACCTGAGTCGATTGCATTTGAAAAAAAATCTTGACAAATTTTCATATACAAGTGAAGTTGTAGAGGACAAAAGTGATTGCATCAATACATTGTTATTGTACTGTGGAATTACTGATCCGTCTTGGGCTCAAATCAAACATTTTGCTAGTTTCCTTAATCTGCAACTAGGATATTGTGAAACATCAGAATTTTGCAAGATGAGTGTAGACTCAAAAACATTCGATGTCCCATTTCGTGGTTTGAAGTCACTAGCGATCCGATTTATGATTAAAATGGCACAAGACCTTTCAACTCCCTCACTTACTGTGAGTGATGAAAGCATCCATGATGTCGAGACCAGTCTTGAATTTGCTTCTCATCAAATTCGTCGAAAATGGGAAGAGGAAAATCATCCTTTTGTATTTTTCAACAAAGATCATGTAACCATGACTTTTATGAATGTCAAGTGTGCCAAAAATGGCAATATTTTAGATGAAAATGGTATTGCAATTCCTGATACTGCTAAATTGGCTCAGGATTTGAAAATGCAAAATGTACCTCTGGGCGTGAGTTTTGACTCTCTCAAAAGAATAGAGAAACTTAGAGTTCTTTGCCAATTCATGGGTATTTCAAAAGTGTTTGATCCTGATCCCACATATGAGCTGACAACTGACAATGCTTTAAAAATGCTTGCTGTATACATGAGGCTTCAGTGCGACATTCCAGTCATAGTAATGGGGGAAACTGGTTGTGGAAAAACAAGGATGGTGGAGTTTATGAGTAAATTGAAAGCAGGTAGCCATAATCTACGAAATATGGTCACACTCAAAGTTCATGGAGGCATTGAATCTGCACATATTTATGAATGTGTGAAGTCGGCGCAAAGACTTGCCGAGGAAAATGCTGCAATTCCTGAAGATGAAGATTGTGATTTGGGTACAGTCCTATTTTTTGATGGAGCAAATACTACAGAAGCTATTTATGCCATCAAAGAGGTTGTATGTGATTTTTCCATTGAAGGAGAATCTTTTCGGGATTCTAACCTAAAAATTGTTGCTGCTTGCAATCCCTACAAACAACTGTCAGCTGTTGCTATTAAAAATTTGGAGGAATCCGGTCTTGGATATTGTGTAAGAGAGTCAAAAGATACAGAAAAAGTGGGTGGTGTATCGATGAGAACGCTTGTGTATAGAGTAGTATCTTTGCCACCGAGTATGCAACCTTTTGTTTGGGATTTTGGACAGCTTACAGATGACGTAGAGAGAATTTATGTTGCCCAAATGATTAGTCACTTTCGTGAAAGATTGAAATTGAATCAACAAGATAGAAAGTTGATACAGTCGATGATTTGTGTTGCACAAAGGCAAGTACGCAAAAGTGGCAAAGATGAATGCAGATATGTGAGTTTGCGTGATGTGGAGCGCTCAATAAAAACGTTCGAATGGTTCTACAATAATCATAAAAGTATTTTTCCTAGGATAGAAGTTGTAAATGGAAGACATGAACAGCTATCTGTTCTTGTACGAACACTTTTGCAAACTCTTAATGTCTGCTATCATGCTTCTCTTACTAACAGATGTGAGTTTCGCAACGCAATCAGCTCAGCTTTGAAAGAATGGGATATAAACTTATCACCCAACGACATTTATGAAGAGTTTATTGCTTGTCAAATTGCGTTTTTCAACGATCTCAAGATGCCTGATAACATTGCTTGCAATGAAGCTTTGAGAGAAAATGTGTTTTTAATGATTGTTTGTGCTGAATTGAGAATTCCTCTATTTCTTGTGGGGAAACCTGGAAGCTCAAAATCACTGGCAAAAACAATAGTCAGTGACAACATGCAGGGTGGAATGTCATCATCTCAATTATGCAAGAAAATGAAACAGGTTTGGGCTCTTATATTTTTCTATCTCAGATTAATACAAATATAGGTAAGTCATCAATAAATCATATATTTTTTGCAAGGTTCACATGCTATCATACCAGTGCAGTGCCCTTACTGATGCAAATGGGATTGAAGCAATTTTTAAGCAGTGCACTCAACTTCAAGCCAAGCAGGATCTGGATAAATATGTTGCTGTCGTTGTTTTGGATGAAATTGGATTGGCTGAAGATTCAGCAAACATGCCATTAAAGGTTGTTCTGATACAGTCAAATACTTGCTCTTTAAAAGCAGCAATGCATTTTTTCTGTTTTAAATAAATGTATAGGTGACATTGCATGGTGAAATTTTAATATCCAATGTAATATATGACATTTTATGAGAGTCTCACAAAGTTTTATTTCATTTTTTGTGAAGTCAACTGGAGTTGTTATTCATAAATCTTCTAGTATTGGTTCTTTTTCAAAATTTTTTTATATTTGGTTACCTGATTATTGTTTAGTTTTACAATTAATTAGAATTTATATTTTTTCTTGCGTTCTTGACAGATTGATATAGGCCTAAGTTTATATCATGAGGCAATCAAAAGTTATTGAATGAGATACTAGAAATTGAAAAAAAATATTTAAAAAAATTAATAATTATGAAATCTTTTATTTTTTTGTAGGTTTAATGAAATATTTTATATTTTTTGTAGGTTCTTCACCCTCTTTTGGAATGCGGAAGCACTGACAATAGCAGTTTAACTGATATCGACCCAAAAATGAAAGTAGGATTTATTGGTATTTCTAACTGGTCACTCGACCCAGCTAAAATGAATCGAGGTATATTTGTCACACGTACCAAGATGAAAAAGGGGGATTTGAAAGAAACAGCAAAGGGAATTTTTGCTAACCAGACAAGTAAAATAAATGAGCATGCGACACTGCTAAATCTTCTGACTAATCTGTACCTAGAAGTATATGAGAGCCAGAGGGAAGAGTATTTTGGTCTAAGAGATTACTACAGCCTTATAAAAATGATTTATTCAAAGTGCGTTCAAAAGATAAATGGATCCTTGACCCAGCGAGATGTTGAAGAAGCAGTTTCAAGAAATTTTGGTGGAGGACAGACTGATTACAAAAAAATATTCAGAAAATGTATGGATGTAATTTATCCAAAATTTCTGAGAAATCCCATATCCGTTCAGGATATGCTTGCTCAAAACTTAAAAGAAGAATCTAGTAGATTTTTATTGATTCTCACTAATCAGGTTTCTTCTGTTGACTTACTTAAATTGGCATTGAAAAACTGTCGATTTCAAATTGTTTTTGGATCAACTTTTCCAAATGATTCCACATACACAGAGCGTTGTAGAAATATTAACCGTGTCAAAGTTTGCATGGAAAATGGTCGAACTGTAGTTCTGCTCAATTTGTCAGCAATTCATGAGTCTCTTTATGATGTTTTGAACCAACAGTATGTTAGTTTACGCAATCAAAGGTACGTTGATCTTGGTCTTGGCGGACATCGTGTGAAATCTCGAATTGCTCAAGACTTCAGGTTAATTGTTTTGGAACAAAAAGATATTGCATACACAAAATACCCCATCCCATTACTCAATAGACTAGAAAAACACCATCTGACCGCTGCATCAATGATCCAGGGTGTGCAAAAGGAAACTGTTAAAAATATAGATGAGTGGGTATGTAAGTTTACAGACAGAGAAGGAAAATTTTCAACTACAGATTGTTTTATAGGCTTCCATGAGGACACTGTGGCTTCAATTTTGTTGTCCGGGTATCAAAATATTGAAGAATGCCAACATGTTTTGCTGAATTCTGCTGCTCCAGAATCGGTGTTTCGACTACCGAAATCGAGACTTCAAGTTGAATGTAAAGAACTTCAAACTACATATCTACAGATGCAAACACATGATAATTTGTGGGATTTGCTTTTGCATTTGAAGAACCATATAAATGAATCTGTTGTGAAATTATTAGAAATTCCATCTTACTCTGATATTTTATCAGGCAATGATAGGAAAGTTATTGAAACGTATCTAGATCTTCCTACTAATCATGTCATGCTTATGTCTCTACAGCAAATCAAAACTAATCAAGAATTCATTAAAAAGCTTGGGGATTTCCTTAATCAAGCTTTGCTAGTTGATAAAAAATCAGATCAACAGTCCTGCATGGTTTTACTCATTCAATGTGCACAAGCTCACAAACATGTGCAGTTGATTGCTTGTGCAAGATATGGAATTTTGAATACAATGCCAAAATATCTCGATGATCAAAAACATAAATCTGTAATTGTGGCATTTCTATTGTCTACTGATAGAACAGTCGTGCTGAACCAAAGTGATCACTCTACAACTCGTTTGTCTTCTATCTTGCAACCAACTTCTGACACAGAAACTGTATTTATTGATGAATTCAAACCTCATCAAAAACGTGTGAAAATCACTATGGAATTGAACCATCTTAGCATTTCTGAGTTACTTAGTGATGATATAAATCATGAAAATTACAAGCATGTACATATTCCTACACTTTTGAAAGATTGTGTCTGGCAAGCAATGTCGAAACTTAGTGATTCACCAGACAATGACGACAGATTGTATCATCGTATCAAAATACTTACAGAGTTATTTTCTGGAAATACTGATTGTAGCAAAAGATTTCTGAATATTTTTATTAAAAAGTTGAACATTATCCTGGATCAGAAAAACAAAGAAGATGTAGAACATGAGACATGGCTTGTGAAGGAGGCATGTGATTTTAGAAGACTCCAGGATGGTGGAAGTTTTGGCAAAACTTTGTGGCTTTGTTTAAAGAGACATGTGTCCGTAGTTCTGGCATATATTACATCAATATTAGATGAAGATGACAATTTGAATATTATTGAAGATGTGAAACTAAAAGGAATGCATAATATGTGGTTGCAAATATTTGATGGTTTTGAATTCCATTGGCATGATATACCCAAAAATCCTGAATTTCGAGTATTAAAACGACAGCTTTATATACGTGGGGAAATGCAAATTCCATTTAGTTCAAAACTTCGAAGTATAATGGATATTCAATGGATTATTGCAGGTGGTAATCGAAAAATATTTTTCAATCTGTTTCGAACATCTCAGCCAAAAATTGCTTGTGCAATAGGTGAAGCTTGGATAAAATTTAAGCAAATGGATTTTATTAAGTCGTATGCATCAGCATTGATTTATGCAGAATATAAAGCTGAAAAAGAAACTGAGTGCCTTGCTTCAGTTTTGTGTAAGGCTGCATTTCAAAAATTAGAGAGATTAAAGGAAAAGCATGAATTTGCAAATGAAGATGCTTTATCAATAATTTTTCATTTATCTAAGAAGTATTCCAAACACCTTCAGATAATACTGGATATTCTCAAAATGAATACAGAACTTTCAATAGAATATGACGAGTGGATCAAGGGCCAATCTGATTCAAAAGTTTTTATTGTTCATGAATTAGCACTTGATACTGCTATCACATTTTTAGACAAGGGAACATCATTTAAAGACGAAGAAGAATGCAGAAAATGGATAATTCTGGCTAAGAAATTGAAACATATATTTTATAGTAGTTTCGACTTGATTGGAAGTGAAGAAAAAAAACAAGACATTTTCAAAAAGTGGGAAAGGCTGTCAGTTTTGAATCTTTTACTGTTGCATTTGCTTCCTGATTTTTCTGATACTTCGAAATTTGCAAAATATGCAAAAGTAATATCTACAAGAGTTAAAATGCTTTCTACGAGTCTCAAAAATGGATTTAGAAATCAAGCTTTTTTCCGTCGTATGCTGGCTATTTTGAAACGTTACTACAATAGCATAAAATCAAACGTAAAGATGAACTGGAAGTCTGTTAAATGCTGTATTTGTAAAAATGTTGCCTGCACAGACTTTCAGGTTCTGTCATGTGGAGACTTTGCTGGTAGAAAATGTATACCAAACCATGAGAAATGCCCACTTTGTATGAAAAAAATTGATCGCAGCTCTGATATCAGGCTAACAGAACTTGAACAAAGAGAAGTTGATGTCTTTCTGGCAAACTGCACATCCTTTTTCTTGGAATTTCTTTCTCAGTTTTGTTTTTCGGAGAATGCTTTCGTGGTTGATGAAGTTCAAGATGATGATATTAGAGTCCTGCTTGAATGTATTGTGTTCAATTGTAAGTCTGACAATGAATCCAAACCCTTACTACTTCCTAATATTACAGCCTTAGATATAAATATTCATTCACAAAGTGCAATTTTGACAATGATAATTATGAAACATGATAAACTTGTTGAAAAAATGATAAATGAATGGATTTCAAATTACAACCCGGCAACATGTGAAAAAACTATGACTGTGTTGATGAGATCATTAGAACAAAAGTCTCTGAAAAGCATTAGATCATACAAAGCATATGAAAAAATTCTCAAGAATGTCAGAACTCAGTTTGCAGAATCTCTAATAACATCATCACCCACAGCCAGTACATTGTCCGTCATAAGCGACATTAGGTATTGTTTGTGTTATGTTGCGGCATTCATACAAAATTCTTCTATGAATGAAGTCAATGAAGATGATGACAATGATCTGTTATCGTTCATATATACTGCAAGAAATTTTTGCAATGATGATAAAAGTGAACAATTAAAAGAATATTTAGTGAAGATAGGCTGCCACGAATATGGAATGGAGTGGTTTAACCAATTGGTTGAAAAAAAAGCTTTCAAGGATTTCATTCCATCAAGCCTTGTAAAGACTACATCTGAACAACATCTTGTTGATTACTGGTCCCTACTTGGAAAGGATTATCTAGAGATGAGATCAATACTTAACAAAAATAACCCTACTAAAAGTGAAATGTTTTTACCATACTCTTTTCAACCAAATACACCCTTTGTTGATGTTGTATCAAAGTTACTAGCATTAGTGACGTTTATTGATGATGAACCCAAACATCTTGATAACTTCAAACATCATATCGCTGCACAGGGATGTGATACAACATTTGACTATCTTTTGTATGTTTATCAAAACATTCGAAAATCCTTGGCGAGGTATAAACTTTCTCAACAAATAACTAACATTATTAAAGCTTTCAACTTATGCTTCTGGAGTAATGATTCATGACTCATGTATGTTAAAGGACTTGAGAATACTTATTACAGAACCAGGTCAACTGCAATTACTTTATATGCCTGGGATGCCAGAATCTCGGTATTTTTCTCTCCCATCGGAAATTCTAGCTTTAAATGGCAAAGAAGCCTATCGATGTCCTAATGGACATCTTTACTTGATTGGAAATTGTGCCATGCCAGTCACTGAAGCAAGATGTACAGATTGCAATGCCTTGATTGGTGGAAAGCAATACCACGCAGCCCCAGGAAACACCAAATTTACACCACAAAAAAGGTCACAGGCTGGATACAAACTCTTGATCAAAGAGCCAAATACAGATGACCCGACCGAGAGGCTAACCAAACAAGGAGTTGCTTTCATTCATCTACTCATACATTGTGGAATGCTATCTTCACTACAATTTTACGAATCTGAAATCTTAACGTAGGTTGACATTTTACTTATAAATTATTTTGTCCATAGGTATAGAGAATCATTTTGGTATTAGCAATACCTTATTTTTGATATATACTCTTGTCTTGACTACCAAAAACTGGCAAACTTTTTTTATGGAATAAGAATGAAAACTTAACACTGTCAAATATAACCTTTGTATACCTTCAGCTAAGACATTGGGTATATGCTCAAGATTGATTGGCACAGTTCCAGGTTGCCATACCATAATATTTTGGATTGTTGCAGTTATTGAAGCCTTCTCCTCAGATGTCAGTGTCATATATCAAATAGTAAAATAAACTCCTTTTATATGCATGGAATAAGTGATTCTTAAAAAAAAGCTTATAATAGTATAGTGAGAATAATAATCAATCTGATGAGGAGCATTTTTTATTCACTTTCTTATTTTTGAACTTTCTCACACGACGAAGTGAAGCATTAGATCAAAGCTGCATTTTCTCCACCATCCACTCAGTTTTCTTTTGTTTCTTAACAAAGTTGTTTTTTGATGGTTTTTTGTACTGACAAATAATCAGTCCACCTCTGAATAAATCGTTTACCAAATTTTACTAATTTGGTATATTTAAATTTTGAGCAACATCAGCTAACTAGTCGAAATGCAAATATATTTGGCCGCTTGTTTGTAAACAAACTGTTCCCTCATTAAAAATGATATCTTTGAAACCACAAAACCTCCCTTAAATCGCATTCAAATCAATTTGAAATAGCAAGGTAAATAGTGTTACAAAATTGAAATACTGTTGTGAGCTGGACTTTTTAATACTAATTGTTTATTTGTGCTACATTCTTTGAGTAAAATTATGCATCATTTTTTTGAAATTCTGTATCATCATCATCAACATATAAAAATAGTCACAACTAAGCATTAGTTTCGACAACATACTAATTTCAATGTAAAAAATGCAATATTTCCCATAAAACCACTAACTATAATATGAACAGAAGCAATGTTTTTGTTTTGTTCTTGGAAATTTTTACAATATTGCTCTGAATTCATCCGTACTTCTGTAGAAATGAACTCGGAATGTCCCCGAAATAATATATTAGAAAACACTGGTTATCGGTTGCTTCGAGTAGCACAATATTCTTATATATTATATATAAGTATTTCATCAGTTGTTTAAACAGTTCGTTGGTTGCTATTTTTAGTATTGAATAATCAACATTGATGATGTTGTATTACCATTCACACAGTCTGTAAGAGATTAACTGTATAGCCAACGCACTAGACTTGCAACATAATAGACTTGCAATCAATATTTTATTGAGATAAGTTCAGAATCTCATTCAGTTATATAGAAATATACACTTGTGATGCTCTTGTTATTCGGATTAAAGGATACGGATGTGTGACTCTTAGTGGCAACAAGCAATGTTAGATGTAATACAGAGTATTCTGTTAACATGTTATTAAAGTACCAATTCTTTGATCACAACAATGTAGAGGAACAATGTATCTTCTTCTTGAATCAAATAAATAAAAATAAATTGTCTAATTAAAATGACGAATTTCTGAAAGTTTGTTATCACTTTTTACTGGTGTGCTGACATGGCATATTTCACATATTACTTTTTAGAATTTTAAAAAAAGATTCTGTGGATTCTGCCAATGATTATTTGGTTACAAAACTACTTGAAAACCTTCAAGATTTATCTTCTGCAATTGGACGAAACATAGATGCCACTATTCCAGTTGTGTTTGAAATCCTACATAACATGTGTGCGACTGGGGTAAGGTTTTCTACTGATGTGCATTTGTCATTAACATTTTGTAAAACTGAAGTATACAAGTACAGAATCGGGAAACATTGCTTTTCTGCTTTTCACCAACATTGTGTTTTCTCATTTTCTGAATAAAAGATGATTATGCTGCTAAAAAGAGTGCTTAATTCTAGAATGATGCTGAATATCAAGGAAACTGGAAAAGTATGGAAAATAGAAAAATATGGGAAACTGAATTTTATACTAGATATATTATGCCTGTTTTCCAAAATATCGATGGGATTTTAATTAAAGCTCAGAATAACATTAATAGTGCTGAAGATCTCACAAGTATGACATTACACAGGTACTCAAACTTAATATACATACATTTATAGTGCTAAAATATCATGTTGAGATATTTTACAGGTGACAATGCGGGCCAGGTATATTGCATTTAGCAAAAATAATTTACCTATTGGAGAATTTTTTTGATCTCATTCCGTTACTTAGAGATATAGGTAAATCATAGTATCAACATTGTTATTAGTAGGTTCGAAATTTCTAATACTCATGTTGGCTTGAAATAAGTCAATAACATGAAAACATAATTTCACCATGCCCACAGGCAATGCTTGACTTTGAATTTTGTATCATGCAAACACTATTTCTTTATTTGAAAAATAATATGAGGCATGTTTTGGTATCTGATCGTAGTTTAATAGCAGTTTACTTAATATCTTATAAGGACGGCATTTCACATTTCAGGAATGAATATATACATTGTTTATTAAATCAGTAATCAATTGCACTCCTTTTGCTATCCTTCATGTATTGTATCTAAACTTACTGTTGGATATACATTTCAAATTAACGGAGCAATTAAGTTTCTGATTCAACATTCATGCAACTTATTTATAGTAAAATTAGGCTTTTTCAGAATCCCAGTTAAACACAACTAAAGCAAAGCATTCGTGTTCAGAGTAATATTTTATAATTTGTTTTACTTTTAGACTTGTGTATGAAATACAAGATTCGCCTGTTTTGACCGAGCCTTATGCTGCAGAAGAAACCCCTTCACTAGCTAATCACCCTCCAAGCCCTAAGTTTTGGTCAACTCCATCATTGTGGAACATTATAGATCATCCATCTTCATCACATTTGCTGCATTGTATTAGAACTGAAAAGCAGAAGAATAATGGTAAGGTTGATATAAAAAAAAAATGCTTCAATTTTATGCTAATAACCACTTGAAATTTTTATACTACTATATTTCTTATTTCACCACCTTTTCTCACTAGTAGCTTGTTCTCTTGTTCATTTATATCTTGTTTTTATTTTTGCTTGCTAAATTGACATATCACTGTTTATTACATGGATTGGTATTTTGAATTTGAATTTTACATTTTATTTATTATCATATTCTATCCTTTGATGGCTAAATCTTCATATATTTTAGGTCAGGTTGTTCAAATTATCCTTGAAATGCAAGACCTCAATCTTTTACAACATTTGAAGATGGTATTAGACATTCAGGGAAATTTAATTGATCGGTATGAATGAATGATCATATTGCTTGTTATCAGATAATCTTAAGATTGTTGATAGTATAAAAAACTTGCAAAAACTCAAAGCTCAACCATGCAAGCATGCAATACAATACTCGCTTATTTGTCCAATCAAGAATATTATTTTATTTTTTGACCAACACAGAATCACGCCCCGAATGCACACTTCATATATGATGTATGTTTGATCTCTCGTACTTCTATTAAGAAATTTATTTAATGGGGTAATGGAAAATATATATATGAATGAAGGGCCGATCATTTAAATAATGACAACAAACAAAAAAATAAATTCACAACAGAGCAGATAAAATTAAAACCAATTCCTTTCTGTCAACTTACTAAAGAAGTTAATCTAAATTAATGAAATGCTCTACTAGATATACAGTAATAACTGCTACTTATAGTTAAATATAGCATGTGAGTGAAATATTTTCTAATACCTGATATACTTGAAATAAAGACTAGGTAAATTCTGCCTGATTAAAATTCGAAAAAATTATAATGTGGGAGGCACTTGTATGATCAACAAGCATTCATGACAATTCAGTGACAGGCATAGTTTCAAAATCCTTGTTGGTGGTTTCATCGATTTTTAAATTTGAGAGCGGAAAAAGAGCATAAAGTTGCATGGTCACTCAAAATAAGTAACTGAATGTCAAGGAGACTTGTTTTCAGATACTCCGACTTAGCATTACAAACCTTAACCATTGTCAGTCATAAGTAGCAAGATAATGATGCAGTAAGGACTGATGGAAAGTCAATATATATATCCCAGTGGCCAAGTCAACCATTTTCTGAGCTGTATCTATATATTTTTCTTTTTGAACAATACCTCCTTTCATATTTTTGTAAAATTGATACTGTAATAATAAATCAAATATATTACCTCCATGTGATGTATTAGTCCTACAAGTTTACAACTTTTTTCGATGAGAAGAAATTTGTTTATGGATTTATAAACATTTCACAGCTACCAAAACAAAATTGATATAAACGAAGCTGAAAAAATCACTCTAAAAAAAGCTGTAGAAGATGAATATGTTTCAGTGGAATGTGCACAGAATATATCAATTTATGGAACACGGTACGTCTTAAAGTTTTTTAGTTCAATTCACAAACTCTACAAGTCTAATTTTTATAATAGTTACAGAATGAGTAATACAAAATTAATCGCATATATACTCATTTACTACCTGTTTACACACTGTTTGATGAATATATTTGGTTTATCAATTCCATGCCATGATATTGTGTTGATGTTTTTGTGCCTTGTACCCACTGTTGCATGACATTTAAATAATTAGAGTAATTCTGTTATTATATCTAATTTGTTAAGCATCATAGTAAATGGGAAAGTAAGGTAAAGGTAATTAAAAAATATATATAACAGACTTTTGGATTAAAGTATAGCAAGTCTGAAATATTTTAGCACACATTTCAACAAGAAGGGGATTGGTTGAAACTTGAAGATGCAGAAATTAATATGTTTAATCAGTTTTATTATATAGATTTTAATGGTCTATATTAGTTTTCTGAATGCATAACATTCCTACCCAATAGTAAAAAAGGTTTTGCTTGCATTTGCTTGCAAGAAAAAAGTAGTTCATCATGTTAACAAGTAGCTGTTTTCAAGGTATTTCCTCAAGTTCAATCAGATCTTAAAAGTGAATGGTTGGAAAATATTTCCCTTGAAAGTCCAATATCAGTTGCTCTGCCCAGTACAAGAGGACGTGGAAAATGTGCAAAATTCCTATCCGAGCATTTGATATATCTTCACAATACTTTCCTAATCAGATGCAAAAGGGCAATGCATCTATGTAATGAGTGAGTGTTCATATTTAATTTTAATGAAAATTTTAGTTTATATGCCACCTCCTATTTTATTCACATAATTGGTAATTCAGTATATTTTGAATTTTGTACCAATTTCATTTTACATTAGCATATTTAGCAGTAACAGAATTTTCTTTTCAAAGTTGTGCATATGTCACACATATCAAAATAACTTGCCGACCTATTTTTATTTCTACAAATGGCATATTGAGGGCTTGACTGTATTAGCCTGTGATCTGTAGCATAAATCATTCTCTTCAATAAAAAATTCAGACTTATCAGTTTTACCAATTTGGTTGAATGATGATATAGAATTAGAGTAACGGTGCACAACCTGCGGCCGTACGAAGCCGTCATGAAAAGATAATGCGGCCGTCCACATACAAAATCCTATAAACAAAAAAACAAGAAAAAAGTTCAAAATATAGGGTTTGACGGCTATGCTTTGCAAACTTTTATAGAATACAGTATTTGACATTTTATCATACTTTTGGGGACAAGAAAATGAGGACGACCGCCCTTCCCCAACTTTCGATATTTTTTAAAATTGCGCAACCATTATGCAACTTGCTGCAATATGTCATCAGCCAAGAATAGGTCCGCCGAAAAAAAATCCGTTTAAACTGCAAATATTATACTTCCAATTAGTCCTACATACTTCGGCAGACTACACCTCGCATGGGTCAAATATGCGATTATGACGTCATAAAGGCAAAAATTTTGCCTGCCGATAAGGCCGTTTTGAATACAAATAAATGCAATGTGGCAGCCAATAGCAAAATGGTTGTGCACCCCTGAATAGAGTGTGGGTTATAATTTAGCAGGACTGACGTCCATGAACAACATTGATTCTGTGAAGCTAGAAAACCCCATTTTGACAAATGCACACTGAAAATGGCCCTAAGAGTGGTCCACCATGAAAATTTTATTCATAGCATATTTCTCCACCCAAATAAAACACAAACCTAACTTTAAACTCAAGTTTTTTTGGGGCAATTTGCTGAGAATAGTATTTTCCAAACAATTATTTTTCAATCATCATAAATTTAACAATCATCATATTATGATGAAAATCTGACAAGACGTCTATTTCTTCACTTGGTGTGAGAACGATGAATATTATGTTGATGATGACCAGTACTACTAAGGTATTACAATTTGCTACATACTGACTGAATTTTAGCACATTAACACCAGTCTGGAAAAGAGAATTCATAAGAATATTTATTAAAAAATTAGAATAAAATCGTAAAAAGTACGCTTTTTGAATACTGCGACAGGCATTGTAATGCTAATAAATAGGCTAAATCAAAGCTGATGTCCGCCTTCTCGCTAATAACTATGGAGATACATTGGCTTTGTTTTGTCAGCTTTTGCATCCTTAATTATATAGTGAACTGAGGAACTTTGGCTCTGAGATGGCATTTGAACTGGCTGCTGATCTGAAATTAATCGTGAAATAAATGAAGAGAAAATAGTTTGGATTGGTTTATAAAATGACAGATGAAGTGCCAGGAAATATTGCACAAATTTCAGAATACAGTTATAAAAGTCTGTATTGAAGTATCAATGATGCAGGGACATTAGAAAAATATGGACCAACTATGGCATTGTTGCCTGTCTTTCAGTTTCTATATGACACAATTTTTTTATTTCTATTTAAGTTCTATCAGTTTGTTTTGATTTTATGAATAGTAAATATACCAATTACGTGAGGTAATATGTGTCTGCATTCATAACTGTGCTGTTCTTATTTTGAGTTATCCTGAATGTTGGTCACCTGCATTTAATATCGCAATGCTCACAATCCTAAAGTCTAATGAGAGAGTAGCTCATCATGTTTTTTTATTTATATTTATGTATTATCATGATTTTCACAAGTTTAATTCATAATAGGAAAGTATCTCATTGTGTGTGTATGTCTCATCTTAGGATAGGATAGGATTTACATATTTATCCCGGGGGAGAGGAAAGCCGATGAGACGGCTTATCCATATGGCGAACCACGGCCTCTCGTTCGGTTACCATTCCAAGTCGGGTATGGGATTAGTTTTACTGTATTGTTTGTTTTCGGAAGCATGGACTTGGTGGTGGAGGAAGCCGTAACTGACCAGCGGTTTAATTCTTAACTGAAGTTTGTTCAATTTTTGTCCTCTGTGTTTCTCTAGTGATTTGTAATTTTTTGATGTCCAAATGGATTTGGGTTCCTTTTTTCACAATTGTTCTTATTTCGTTAACAGAATCACTGCAATTGATGTCCCACAGCTGCTTCCATCACACTTTGTTAAGATTAATCCAGAAAAGGATTTTCTTACTCTGATTGAACTGCATTCATCATATAATATTGAAGTTGATGAAACTGGATGTCGTCATCATATTATTTCTTATAACATAAGTGCTCTAGAAAAACAGGTTAGAACTTTATATAATTTAGGAACCACAATAATTTACCTTCTATTTCCAGTACTACAATTAAATATTGTGCTTCATATAATTTTACGTGAAAAGTTGCTAGTGCAAGCAATTATATGAATCGTTTTGTTATAAATTTTGTTAGCATTTTCATGTTAACAATTCATTTCCAATTTCCCTGAGACCATGGTTTGATGATGGCCAACAGGATGTTCACAACCGTCAGATTGCACGTTTTTGAAATCGAAAATCATAAAAATTTTCATTTTTTTAGGCTCAAGAATTATTTTGCATGTACAAGAAAATGATAAATGTTGAGGTGAAGTAAACCTATATTTGATTGATTTTTTTCTATTCTGATGCTGTCTTGGCTCTGCAGAATCTAAATAATAATATGAATATACTTGGAATTTGGTATGAGACAGGACAGGATTTAGATGATAAGAGTCTCCTAGAGTACTATACTATTTTATTCTTCTCAAAAATGATGTCACAAAGCTAATGTAATCAATTATTACGTCAAGATAGGCGATAGTTATTGGCTATTTCATAAAATAAAGGCATTATTAAGCTATTGAGCTAAAAAACTGTTTATCTAATTTAAATTTGTTAAGTTATATGGGTAGAGTTTATTGAATTTATGAAATTACATTCATTCGACTCTATTTCATTGTTTAAACTTGTAAGTAGGAAATATTTGAGACAAGAGTAATAGCCTTGTCAGTTTCAAAAATTATTGAACTGGTAAAACTGTTGAACAAGCCTTTTTGAAAACGACTTGAAAATGAATAACCACTCGAAATTAAATGTTTAAGCCTCTAAGGATTGGGGCTGCTAGGCTTCACCCCACCACACCTTATGTTATTCCGGCACTGGTATTAAGAGTATTTATGGAAAGCTATTTGAGATTAATAACATCGGTACGTTTCTAGTTTCAACAATGTCGTTATCTGTTTTTTATAATGTTTTAACCTGTTGGAGATAGTATGATTGTTTGATCAGCCAGCTATATTATTAAACATAACTCCTCTTTCAATTGCATCATGTTTTCAATTACCGGTATTTCATAATGACTTACATCAGCTTTGTAAAACGAGAATTAAAAAAAATTATTTTTTGAGTAATAAATGCTGGAACCCCTCCTTGAAACCAGCATTAATTTGTTTCAAAGTTTCAAAAATGTGGGGCCCAAATAGGGGGAAAATAAAATTAAGGATGCTGCAAAATAGATTTTGTTTACTTTATTCCACGTCAAGTTTTTAGTTTCTCTTGTCAACCATATTACGATGCCAAGGCGTTTTTGTGATGTAGAAATTTGATCAAGACTAATATTTGATCCTGTTTTTGTATTATTTAGTTCTCAATAGTTATCTGTTTTGAAGTGGCACTGACAAGCGCAAAAAGTTAATTAGACATGGTGAACATTTCGTTAACAGAGTACTAATATCTCGAATGCTCAAACATTTTTGTAGAAAAAATATAAAACTGTCAAATTATTTTAAGACTTTACCCTGCATGAAATATCCACAAGATATTGGAATTGGACAAGACTGGCAAGCTGTTGTTAGGAACACAGAAGAGGTAGGTATATTGCACCTCAAAAATCTAATAGCTTACATTTTTATTTTCTCTTTAGTGATTGAGAGTAGTAAAAACGGTTTTCTCTTTCCAGCAAGTTCCTCTGCCTATTAACATCATCAGAGTTCTTGAAGAAATAATTACCGAAAGTTCTCTCACTCAAATATGCGATGCTGTGAGGATATTAACTCATTCAATCAATTTTCTTGCAAAGGTTGGTGAATATAATTAAAAATTTAGAATGTTGTAGCAAGAGTAAAGACGACTACTCAGTTTAGTTTAGTGTGCAGAAAGACTCTTGAATTAAGTTGAATATTATGGGTAAACTACACATTTTCAATAAGAAATGAATGCATATTTGGGCCAAGTATTTTTGGATTTATATTGGGTCAACCATATTTAAAACACGGCATCTGATTCTTAGTTTGGTAGACAGCAGACAATATATATGCATTGATTTTAAAAGGTATTTGTAATAAATATGGTGCCAACAGCATTTTGTTTGCCTTATTGCCTCACTCGATAGCGCTTACGACAATAGCATACCTTACCGGACATATCATGCCCAATTGTCGCAAATTTATAAGCTTGCTTTTAATCTGATTTTTCTCACCTATCTGCCAGTTTGTCAATGTTCACGACTCGGCAATTTTGTTGGTTCTTTATTCTCATTTCTATTCATTATTACTCAAAGGTAAAATGTGACTGCTCTCGTTCACTTCTGGAATATTTGAGGAAGGATTTGTTGTTTTATGCTGACACGAATTTGTTGCCAAATTCAACTGAAATTCGTCACACTTTATCTCTCTACCAGTATCTAACGTGGAAAAAATTCGTACATTTTGTTCAAATTGGCATAAATCCGTATCAAGAGGCTCTTTCTGGTGGTTAGTAAACATTTTTATAAACATGTTTTGCCTGGTTTTGTCGACTTCAATTTCAAGCGTGCTAGTGAAAAAAAAAACTTTAGTAACATTTCTTATATTCAGTTGATAGGTTCCATCATTCATTCAAAGCACAACATTGTGCATTAACCCGTTTTTTTGCAAATTTGTTCAGTCAAGCAAGAAAGTATTCCTGATAAGTTACAAGACGAATTATTGGAAGCTTTTGAAACCATGAATGTTGGTGTTCTACAGCAGCAAATTAATGAGCTTTTGATACAAGCAAATGATTTGAAATATTGGGCAGATTACAGGTATGAAGATAATCAATATATTTCATTACCGAGATCACTTCAAACATGAAACAGCGGCTAGAATGTCGGATTCTCGCAATCAATTCTCATGTACATTGTTATATTTAACATTTGGTGTATTTGTGAGACGATGTGGAATATGGCCGAAAGTTTTATTAGAATATCGTTCTTTTGTGGTTTGGTTAAGCAGTCGTCCTTTTGGGCTCACAGAGATTGGTACACTATGTTAAAGTTTGTTTTAATTTCGTTCCCATGAAATCATTACAACTGCAACCACAAGACAATGGTGTAATCAAGATAGGGAACAAAAATTTAACTGAATTCTTTGATTACATCGTTTCTCTATGACCCATAAAACAATACTAAAGTTCATAATGTCAAACAATTTTTCAATTTACACTCACACGCTCAAACGTGCACATGACAAATATATCTCAAATTCCTTTCATCGTACCCTATAACCCTTACCTTATTGGTAAGAATATTTGTAATTACCAGTAGCGGGTGATCAGGTAAACTTCTCTTCTTTATTTTTCAATCCACCAAAGAATAGAAGAAGATTTTATGACACAAATAAAAAACGAGAATATCGGTCGGAGACCGAAGACTTATCGATCGAAACTGCGGATCGATTCATGACCATATAGTGACACCGCGTGTCCCATCACTAATTAATGAATAACTCGCTAATTATACGACATAATTCATCCAAAATCAATAGGGTCTGGTCCGAGATATGATGAATGCACATGCAAAATTTGGAGCAGATTCAACCTCGCCTTCGTGAGATATCGCGTTCATCTAACAGACAGACAGACAAATACCTATCAACATATTTACCGATCTCTAGATCGATAAGTAATGACGGTGTCCATATTTTAAGATTTCATTATCAGATTTATTGTCATTCCAGAACTAGTCCAGTTGAGGGTGACGGTGTTAATATCATTTGTTTTATCATTTTGCATTGCTGCTTCCGATTATTTTAAGATTTGGTAGATCGTAAAAGATTTCTATTGTTTTTTCATTTGATTTTTTCAGCAAGTTCCAATTATTCAGTGTCTGAGGTGAATAACATTTTATACTGGACCCCTCGAATGTATCGTTTTTCCGGAAGCTGGCAATTTTTTGTGTTTAGCAGAAAGTCTGTATTACGCTTTCTCTCTAGCCAGCCTTTTCTAAGTAGAATCTGGTAAAAAGAAATCGGAGATACCACACATCACATGTATTTAAAAATAAGAACTTCGTAGACGTAAATTCAAACGTTGTAAAAATGATTTATCATGAAATTTTGTTTTCAATCAGTGAAATTGCCATCAAACTCAATATATTCGAAATAGTGTTTTAGTATACAACTTTTTGAATGACAATGTAAAAGGGAGGTATGCACAAATTCAACAAGCATATTGAATGTGGTCTGTTGTCAAGTGCATATCGCAAGATAAAAACTGAACCATGAAACCACAAATGCACACTGACGAAAAAACCTATCAATAAAATTGAATTACCGATATATAAAATGGACCGTATTTCTCTGCCAAGCATTGCATTTATATTTAAATAGTTACTTAATACACATTATTGTATACGCCCTCGCGAGTGAAACACAGATGAGGAACCTGGAAAGTTATCTATCAACGCCCCAGGGATGCGGGTAAAATGCCGTGCTAGGTAGGGCCCCTGGGTATGCGGTGTGTTGAAGGTTCTTTCCTGATTTACTCCAACGCCTAGTGTTATTATAATCGATGAATTTCGTTGATTTCCCGTCATTCAGATTGATTTTACTAGGTGATAAACTATTCGATAGTGTTATCATATATAACTTTTTTTAGCCTTGTGGAAGATATCCTGCCTTACCATGATTTTATTGGAAATGAAGAAAGTACAGATTCAAGATTCGAGAAAATGTCGAAAGATATTTGCTTCAAGCACATATCACACCTCTTCGAACTTACTGTACGGTTCGCAAAGTAGATATTTTGTTCCTTGTCAATCTACAGCATCGTAACACTGTTCTCGTAAATTTCTTGTGAATAATTGTCAAAAAGCATCGACAAACCGCATGAATGAATTTGTATTCAATTGCAATACTGTATGCAATTGAACATTGTTGTAATTCTGCGGAGGCCACTATATATCAGATCGTGTTGCCACAGTTATTTAGTATTTTTCATTAGTGTGCTTTGAGAAAATGAAATGTTATTTCTCCGCAAGAAAATTTAATTAATTAGTCATTAGTGTATCAATTCAGTGTATTAGTTCATAGATTAGCATATATATTATTATCCCCATTTTAACTTTATGTATATACCAAATCAGACATATTTCATAATGCTCATCTTTCCTATTATTCCCATTTCAACTGTATGTATATATGTAATTTTATGTATATGTAACTATTATGTATCAGACTGATTTTCATAATGTTTATCTTTGCTATTATCCCCATTTTAACTTTATGTATATACCAAATTAGACTGATATTCATAATGCTCTGAAATCACCAATAGCAATGATTTTTCGTATGTTCAATGTAAATGTATTACTATCATTATATAGCTTCACGTGATGAGCCAATGGGGCACCTGGGTATAGGCTATTATGTGTTTGTATGAATTAATATGTGCGGGTTCCGTTCAATGTTCCGTTTTTTCTTCTGATTACCACTGCTTACTACAGGGGTCGGCAACCTACGGCCAGCGGGCCGGATCCGGCCCGCGGAGTGATATAATCCGGTCCGCGGCGCTTCACTGAATTATAGAAACAAAACAGCCGTTTTGACGATTACATTCTTCAGACCAAATTATATTATAACCTAACAAGTATATAATTCACAATTACTCGTCGTTAAATGAGCCCATAATATAATTATAATGAGACAAATGGCAACAAAACGCAGAGAAGTTAATGCTAAGTGCAAAGGGTTGAAAATATTCTAATGGAATTTTATTGAGATGCAATGAGGAAATAAATCCATACTTGATTTTTATTATAAAAAGTATCATCCGTTCGGTTTTCAACTTTGTGAAAATATGTGCCGCCCGCCAATGACTTACAACCCTCAATTTTGGCCCGCGAGCAACAAAAGCCGACCCCTGGAGCCTTACTACATGCCTGATAATATGTACATTTATATAATTGACTAATAACATAAAAATATACATACGATATATATGTAGCAAAAGTTCAATCTTATTAATTTTGGTAAATGTGGGGGACGTATTCGTCATGGACTACTCGCTACAGAATAATTTAGGTCTTTGATAAGAGCATTCAAAATTTAAATAGATAGAACAACCTGAAGCTTGGGAGGTTTCTATGAAGTCGTGACAAGTCGCGCTGAACCAAAAGATATTTTATATAATGATTACATATGTATATATCTCCCAACCAATGCTAGGAAAGCTTGAATAAAGTCGGTTCTTTTTGTTGTTTTGCTAAATTATCAGACGAGACCTCGTGAACGCCCAGAAGAAAATCTTTACCACCCCAAAATATCATTAAATTTTATGTGTAGAACTATGTATGCGACCTTTGTTCAGTAAATGTTTATCTCGGATCGCTATGAATACAAAGACGCGCCACTGTCATTTCCCACTTTCACCCCATCACACCAATTGGCATGTCTAATCCTTTCGAAGCACCATATGGTTTAAAAAAGAGCGTTTTCTCGGTTCAATAAATAACTATGCTATATTGCCCCGTGTCGTGCAATTCCAATCCAGTGTCAAAAACACTGCACCAAAACTTAACAATTGTGAACCACTTATTCAGAAAAGGCGGACATGCTCGGGCTGCACAAATCACTTCGACAACACTGTATTCAATTTATTTCAGTGAAACATCAGTTGGCAACGGAATGGATAACCTTGTTAACATTTCCAGTATTGTAAATTTATTGGCAGACAACCTCAACGTCCGACGACGGAAACTCAAAAAAAATTTCAATAAACCCATACATATTTGTCAGCGCAGATTATTTACAGTGAACATTATTTCAACTAGAAGAACTGATAACTTCAAATCCGTATTTATGATTGAAATGCAGTGTCACAGCTCCCGAACTTACCATTAGGCAAGGTAGGCTGAATCTTATGAGTCACAAGCCATGGGAGCCTCGGCATTCAATTTCGAACTGGTATTCATTTTCAAGTCGTTTTTTTTTTTTAACTTTAAAGGCTGTTGTTCAAGAATTTTCACTGTATAAAAAATATTTTAAACTGACGTTAATATATTTTTTTACCGGTTCAATTTAATGTCACAAATATTTAAAGTTTACAAGGGTAAAATTAAAGCAGCAGTAAAATTAAATACAGCGGTCGAATGAATGAATATATTTCAAAATTCGAACGACTCTACCCTACCCCTTCAACCTAACAAAATATACTAATCTAAATTACTTGAACTGTTATTACCCTAAAAATGCCTTTAATAATGTGTTTCTTAAAGTGTTTTTAAATTCAATTTACTAACCAATCTATTTGTGTTTAGCGTACGAATTTTTTTTTTTCAATTTTGCTTTGGTCTGGCTCAAATAGCCAAAAAAATATTTATTTTAGCTTGGAACATGGCACAGTTACTTATATTATTGATTTCTTCGAGAATGCAGATGAAAGTGCGGATGGAATGCTCACTCGTTTGAAAAACACTATGAACAATTTACAATTTGATTGGAAAAGAGTTTCTTGTTTAAGTGCAGATAACGCAAATTGCAACTTTGGAGAAAAAACATTCCATTTATACTAATGTTCACACACTAAATGATGATATTATTAGGGCTGAATGCAGTGCACACATTGTACACAATACATTGAATGAAATTTGCTTCAGGAAATTTGAATGTTGACATGTCATGTTCAATGTCAGCAAAAAGACGAGAAACTCTTATAGAATTTCATATATTTGTAGAGACGGAATTTCATGAAATTATGCGTCATGTACCTACTATGGTGGCTATCTCTGCACCCATGCATCGAAAGAATCTTACATTCTTGGGAATCTTTAAGTTCTTATTTCTTGAGCAGACCAGCTGAATGTTCCAAACAATTACTTAAACTTTTTATGATTGACAATGAGTCAACAGAAGGTCCTCAGCTTATTGAAATGTATTTAATATTCTCACAACATGCAATGGAGATATTTAAATTAGCTGCTCAAGAACTGGAAAAAAATGAAACTTCAACAACAAATGTTTTCATTATTCCTACTAAATTAAGAAATAGGTTAAAATCTCCATCTGATGAGGAATTTTTTGGGTATGATGTTCACCAACTTCTTACAAAAAAAAAACGTGACCCACAATTGCTGAAGTCAGCAAAGAGTCAGAACAAATATAACTTTAAGAAATATAAACTTATGCAACTGCAAAATTAGAGCTTGTTTGGATCAATGTTAAATGAACATTAATTAAATGAAAAACAAATGAAGATTTTATAATATATCTTTTTAGCTTGTATATATATATATATGTATTTCATTGTTTTATATTGTTCTTTCCTGCAAGTTACAAAATAAATAATGACGGTAATCTATGTCCTTTATTGAGACTTTCCATAGTTGCCAACCCTACACGCGAGCCCAATTCATTCGGCACGCAAGCGAGGCTTCGGAAACGAGATCATTTTCGTTCAGATAAAAAGTTTTGGGAGTCTGAATTATCTTATGAACCTAGGTGTTCGTTTATTCATTATTAGGCCGCGAGACGGGTCCGTTTATATTTCAGTTTCGTAGCGCACATAAGGTAACTACCTGAAAATGATTTTAAAATGTTCCTTAGAAATTTAATAACAAATAATGCCTTGTTCCCATTTCCAAAAGTTGCACGTTTTATGGAAAAGACGCGTTTACTACAATAAATATGTGTTACCATCTGTCCTATATTCTCTGCTTTTCCGGTACCATGGGCCAATGAACGCGGACTTCCGCACGACGTAACAAATCAAATTGGTCAGCTGTAGGTGGATCGCCGTGGTCGGATGAATACCAGATGTACTACTGCTCGCTTTTGCATTGAGTAGCCTTTCCATAGTCTTTTTTCAGTTATTATTAATTGCGTTATTCTAAGAAGATGTTAAAAAGTATAAGTAAGCTATTAAACACTTGTATATTCATACCATAAATAACAATTTTAATTAAGCACTAACTCATAAAACGTTGTTAAATAGGTACGGTACGGTAACTCCAAGGACTGAAAGAAGGCTAGACCTAGAATAATATGTCACAAACAACGATATTTTCTTGCTTGTAGGAAAGGTTTATGATTAATTTAATTACAATGCTTGACTATTCAGCAGATTTATACTACTTTATAGGCTACGGCATATTTAATACAGAAAATAATGGCTGTTTCTGTAATGCAATTTTACTGATGTCTGGTTGGTCTAAACTCTTAATTCATAGAGTCGACAAGAACCTGGGAAACAATGATAAGTTATGCCGGAGTTGAAAGAAAGTAGCACTGGAGTATTTGGTTGTATTAAGGTACAACTAAATTGTGGTTTTGCCAACCCGCTCCAATTCTTGGTGTATTGGGAGTGGCCTCTCCTTCTTGTAGTTTCTTCGAGGCCACCCCGGCGTTTCTTTAACGAATTCGTTTAGTATTTCGTTAAACGCTTTGTTTGCTTGTTACCTTTGTTAACTTATAGTCCTGAGTTAGTTTATAGTTATATCGTCTACTACCCTAACAGGTAGCCTGGTTTATACAGCCTTCTAGCAGAAATCCATCTTCATAAATAGTCTGGTTGCTGAGTGTATTTTTTTATATCTGCCAGGACACACTCGCCTCTCGGCACTGGTGTAAACCAGAGTGTCTCTGACAGACAGATGGCTGCTGAATCAGCTGTTGCAACTTCTTTTCCGGCTTCTTTCTCGGCGCCAAAGCCATTGTTTTCTAGTGTTGCTGCGTCGTTGACAACGTCAAAGACCAGTTGAACAGCTTCGTCTTTTTAAAAGCCTGGTGGAAGAAATTTTTCCGATAAATAAAAATCTTTGAAACGTAACTTTCAGTTCCGCAGATGGTGGAGAAAAGTTTTTGACATCCGTAGGAAGCCAACTCGACACCCCATCTGGTCCTATAATATTCTCTCTTTCGCGTATTAGTGTCCGCGGAATCCCAACTATTGAGCAGTTAACATCAATGCTCAATTCTCTAAAGCAGCGTTTCCCAAACTGTGTTCCGCGGAACACTAGTGTTCCGCGAGCGTCTTCCGAGTGTTCCGTGGAGAAGGAATCAAAAATGTCGCCATTGCGATCTAGGGATCGTGAAGTTGTCGTCCACCTGACCGTTCAATTTCGCGTCATCGTCGGCCTAAAGCGGACTAACTAAGGTAGAGGAGTGACATTTTCGTTAACTGTCGGCGTAGCTTTTTGACTGTTAAGTACAGCAATCCTTTTGGTTTTGTTATAAGCAAACAAGTGGGTCTAAAGAATAAAGGCAAAAGGTCAACTCTTCTTCCTCCGTCTCTGCCTGGCTTTACTATGAAATGCTGAAAAATTACTCATGTTAGCTAAATTCAATTCAGCAGATACATAAACTGCAGCTCGCGAAATTGCAGCAAGTACTTTTATCTCCATTATAGGTAACATCGGAGGCAAACACTACGTGATGGAAAGTAAACGACATAGACAGGTAAAAAATTGTGAATTGGTGAATTTATTGATTCATATACACAGCATTCAAATTAGAAAACAATGAAACATTTATAATAAATGCAATATGTAAAATATTCAATCATATTTACGGTTTAACCATAGTAGTATATATTTACGGTTTAACCGTAAATATATACTAGCG